CATCACATTGCGGTCACCCCCAGCCCTCGGACTGAAACTTCACGAAAAGCAGCTAACTAAAGCACAGTTGGCGGTTTTTTTTGGAGACCAGAGCCATTATCTGGAAAGCTCATGTATTTAGTTTTTGTTGGGTTGATCGTCCTCCTCGACTGCCTATTAATACCTAAGGCTCCGATGTACGTAATACAGTGGTTTGGCACCGCAAATTGATACGTCAGTTAGGCAAATAGACTTACTACCTATCTCTCATATGAACTGCCCATCGCTCAATTGGAAACCAAACACCCCACTTGAGTTCTATCTTGCTACTGGGCCACCATGTCTCAAACTACCACTTCCGCTCTCTCGAAGACGACCATGCTCGTCGGAGACCAGTCTTTGGACATCGCTGAGCTGGAAGAAATCAGATTGGAAAATGTCATGGCGAAAGATGAAGTCGAGATGGCGAAGGTTTTGAAGGCCGCGGAGTCTCAGGGATTCTTCTACGTCACCTTCAACGATGACCTCTCGGAGAAAATCTCAAGATACCTCCAAACCTCGTACCAGACCTCGCATGAGTACTTCGCCAAGCCATTAGAAGAGAAGATGGAGGAATTTCGAGAGGATATGGTCCACGGGTTCGTCAGCCCGTAGTGATTTCAGCTAGATGTCCAGACATTAACACCTTAACAGCTACAAACGTGCCGGCATTGAATCGTTCGAAGTAAGCATGCCCATGAACTTTTGATTCGTGTTACCTGACCACTCTCAGATTACACGAGACGAACAGAACCGAATTCCATTGCCAAGCCCCTTCGCAGAACACGCTGAGGAGATACTAGACCTTGCCAATATCTGCGACATCATTGTACGCACACTTCTCCGCAGCATTTCCGATAGCCTTGGTCTTGGTGAGCCCTCAAGTCTGGAAACTGCCCACCGCCCCGACTCAAAAAGCGACTCGGGATTAAAGTTTGTCTCGGGTCCAACCAAGGCATCCATTGCCGATGTACCCGATACTACCCATACCGACTCTGGCTCGATCACCTTGCTCTGGTGCGAAAAATGGGCTAGTCAGCTCCAACCCAGGGACACGAAAGAGTGGTTATGGATAGATCCTAAGCCGAATCGCGTCTTGGTAAACCTGGCAAACTATCTGCAAGATCAGACTGGTGGTCGCCTGCACTCCCCAGTCCATCGAGTGAGCCAGCCGTTAGGTGGTGTGGAGGATCGATACTTTGTCTCTTATTTTTTGAGACCGAATCATTAAATGTAGATATTGTTTACGGAGAAAGTGATCTACATGAATGGAGGAAATTGATCGGCCTGGTTATTCAGGACTTAACAACGACGAAGTATGTCCAATTAAAATAAATTGTCTTTCCCTTGTCCGTCGTTTTTGGTATATTGAGAAGCCTTGTCTAGTAGAAACAACCTTGGAAGCTTTGGAAGGTATCCTGTCAATCATTTCATACCAGTAGCGGTACATCCATGGAATGCAATTCTTGACTGTCTAAACTGTGAAATAAAAACCTCTTTGAAGTTGACTATACTAGATTGGAAGGGAATATCGTCTTGTTCCGTCTTGCTTTCTCGTGTAACAACTTTGTCTCTTGAGGATCACATCAATGGTCTTAGCTCAATTCTATAAAGGCCGTTTAGGAGATTTCCTACAATATATATATGTACTCTGTAGGAACTATATCTTTACAATGCTGTATGTAGTACACGCCGGGTCAGGAATATACCAAAGGTTCAGCCGTGTTAAATATGAGTATCGCAATTCTTCATTATACCTATGTCAAAGTGTATAAATCTTAAACTCTTAACTAGTCTTAGATCCGTTAATAATCGATCATTTGCGTGAAATATCACCATATGATGAGGCATCTTCAGGCATATTCAGGCAGCAATATTACTAATAATTAATTTCTGACCCCTGGCCGGGATATACCCTTCGCAATATGAATTGGCCAGATTTGTGCCAGCCACCTACGACAGCCTTTTTTTTTTTTTTTTTTTAAGCGAGAGTTGATCCTGCAGGTTTGATTAACTATCTCAGCCAGCCACCTAGGACAGCTCATCTCTCTCTCTTTTTTTTTTTTTTCTTTTTTTAGCCGAGAGTTGAACCTGCAGGTAGGTGTGTTTTAGTCCACGGGTGTTTCCACAGTGGGGCAGCGCCGCATAAGACCTATCGATACCTGTGGCTCAGTTGAATTGCAAACTAAGCCAACGCATTTCCAAAGCTTTCAATAAATGTCTATCAGCATGCAAGCTAATGCATCTGTGAACAGTTGGGCACAGAGTAACGGATCCTGCATTGCTTCCCATCTCAAGTGAACAATCAAACGACCACCGTCACAGACTCAATGAACTCGCCTTAACCATATATTTCCCTCCGAAATTCAACATAGAGGTAGACCTAGTTTGACAAAGTCTTATGCCCTCACCCTTTAGTACGACATTAGTGAATTTCAATGCAGACTGCGATTGATCCACAGTGGGTCATACATCACAAAAAGTAATATCTCAATACGGTGTTTATACGGAGTACTTGATGTCACGTTACAAATTACAGAGCTAGCCTAGGCTGCATATGTAAAATTGAAGCAAGAAATTTAGCTGAGCTTGCTAAGCCAATGTTGGCGAGTTACAGAGCTGATATTATCGACGTTGGGCAGAATACGATCACGATACTATGTTCTGCCAAAACTAGGTAAAACCACCAGAATCATAAAATGAAATGCAGAATTCGCAGAACTATGACAATAAATGAAATAATTCAGTGGGAGGAACAGAGACGAAGACCACGGCCGCCAAAGACCGATGTAGATCATGCCCACGTGATTTCTGCCCGCCGCTGGTGGTTTGTTATACAGGTCAGAAGCTTGCAACATTCTCTCCTTAGAAGACGTCGGCCGTATTTAGTTAGGGCCGATTGCGGATGCTCGTAGGGGGACTTAAGTACCCTTGGCCATAGAATTCGTCCCTCCGCCAACATCCCCGCAACCCCGAACGGCAGCACCTGGCACCTGATATCAGTCAACTGTGCTTTTGCAAATCAATATGTCTTCCAATCAGCCAGGAATCCCGTTAAAAATCACAGTGATCGGCTGTGGAATGGCTGGTCTCTCATCAGCAATAGCCCTCTCAGACATAAACCCCGACCACCAGATTACAGTACTAGAATCAAACGCCTCCCTAAGCGAGTTCGGCGCAGGACTGCAGCTCTTCGCAAACAGCACTCGCGTCCTAAACAAATGGGGACTAACACCGGCCCTGGAAAAAGTTGCCTTCCAATCCGCCCACTTGTCAATTCGCCGCTGGAAGGATAACTCAGAATTGTCCTTCAACTTGAACAATCCTTCCAGCACATGGATATATGGCTGGCCCCAATGGCAGGTCTACCGACCAGATCTGCAGCAAGCGCTCTATGAGCGGGTGAAACAGCTGCCCAACGTGTCCGTTTTATTCGGTAGGTCCGTTAAATCTGTGGACCATGAGACTGGAACTGTCCACACGGGAGATGGGGAGCTCTTCGAGGCAGATATCACGGTCGCCGCAGATGGGATCTGGTCTCGAGCCAGGAGATGCTTGCCGGCGTCAAAAGATGTGTCCCCTATAGCTTACCGGGAACACCACTACCGTGCTGTGATACCGCGGTCGAGAATGCTCTCTAATCCAATCACTGCACCATTTATGGCTTCCCCGGAGGCGAAATCATGGGTGGGGCCCGGTGTATTTGTATTGGCGTATACAGTTGCCTCGGCGGAGTTGTATAATCTTGTTATTGGTGTTCCGCGGCCGAGCGAAGGAGTACCCGTCGGGGCTTGGAACCACCCTGCCAACATTGAGACGATGCGTGGGCTTGTATCCGAGTGGTGTGAGGAAGTACGAGAGCTGGCTTCTCTCGTTCAAGAGGGGGAGTGTGTTTCCTGGACCTTGGGAGAGGTGCCTCCTATTCCCAGCTATGTCAGTACATCTGGAAGAGTAGCCCTAGTTGGGGACGCGGCGCATGCTCTTCTTCCTCACGCTGCACAAGGGGCCGGAATGGCGATAGAGGATGCAGCGAGTCTGGCGGAGTTTGTGGGACATCTGAGGTCGAGAGAGGATCTCCCGAAGGTGATGAGTGCTTGGAGCCAGTTTAGACAGGCTCGCGTGGATCATCTACGCAATATCAGCCGTGGCAATGCCGTTGACATGACACTTCCAGATGGAGACTGTCAGATTGCGCGGGATGAGAAATGGAATGCTATTCGCGACAAGCAAAGGGCACAGTTGGCTGAGCTTGGACAGGAGAAGGTTAGAGAGAAGATGATCCGGGAAAGACCCGCGCCTGATCCCGCTTGTAAGAGCACATTTGAGCCTGGTGGTAGAATGTGGATCAATGGATTTGACGTGTCTGAGGAAAGTAAGAAGTTCTGCCGCGAACATCTGGGACTGGAATGAGGGCTTGCTTCATGTGATGAAATTGGGGCCATATGGCAGTTAAGCAAAATACAAATAAGAAAGCATGTATTATTTAACCTCATTACCAGACTCATGGACGGCAAGTGGCTTTGTATGAAGTTAGCTACATCTATAGTTCGCCATAACATATCCCCAATTTGTAATCCATGTTATGGTCGGTGGTTGATATTGATCGTTTGAGGAACAAAAATGCACTAAACCCCAAGAAGCCAATAGCCTTCCTCCCTTTCATACACCCGAGAAACCCGAAACACTACTTGTGACAGTACTCCAATCCTCCATAACTTCAGTTGGAGGTTGATTCACCTTACCCAATACATCTGTTTATTATACAGCTGGTAATAGTAGCAGTAGCAGTTGTAATAGATTTTTTGTACAGTGTGTCCCGAAACTGGGGCCACCACTTTTATTCTTCAATTGTTCCAAGTTAAATTATTGAACAACCGGCTCCCAGGTGGAAGAACAGAGCATTTCCATCGCAAATCGAAAGTGACCCCCTATCATTCAAGCCATCGTAGATGTACACCATTTTCTCTTTGTCCTTGCCCCGTTTACTCAGAGTCGCAGCAGGTCCAGCAGCCCTAAAGCGCATACACGTTAGTCGCTTATAACGATGAAACAAGTGATCATTGGTGGAACATACGTTAGGAAGCTGGCTTTTTTCGGTCTCAGGAGGACACGTGAATCCATTCGGCTGCTCGTGGCAGAGGTTCAGGCAGTCGACATCGGCCTTCTGCCAATGTTCATCGGCGGCAGAGGCAGTAGAAACCATCAAGGCAACTGCAGCGAGGAAGATAGAGTAAAACTGCATCTTGGTTGTTCTGTGTTGTAGAAAGCTTGTAAAGATATGTTGCGTGATTAATCTTCAAATATCGTCAACAGGAGTGTTGAAAGATATTTATGTAATTCGAGCCTCTTGCCAAGACTTTCAAATTCCTATAGTTTGTTCAAACTACTTACTGTATAGATCCAATCTACATACCGCTAGGGACCTGTAATTAGGTACGTGATCGGCGTCCTCAGTTCTTCAGCTGGGTCGACCTTTACACTTTCGTCATTGAGCATTCCCCATCTACAACATAATATACCCCTTACGTCTTCACTCCAATAATAATTATTTAAAAAGTCATCTCAATTGGTATAACCAGCGTTACTACGGTCCATTGTATGTTACCGGTTACTCCAACATTGTGAGAAACGAAATGGATGACATCAACCACTATTGAGCCGATAGTCCTTTTAAATAGCTCGGTCCGCATTATACTACTCGGGGGTCTGCAGCGTTTATGTAACTCATATTTTGGTCTAGTTATTAAAGTTGAGATTACAGATAAGATTCTTTTTTTTCCCCTGGCCCCTTGCCGATTGGCCAGTTCATCCAGTTCATCCAGTTCATCCATACTGTATTCGTGTACGGAGGTCGATTCCAAAAATTTTGGCTCCATTTTGTATTTGCTTTTTCGAATAAAACCACTACTCTGTAATGGTGGCGTATAATAATTTACGATCGAGCCAGCGTGGTTCTGGCTAAAGAGATATACCACGAAAAATAGGGCCTTCAAGTCGAGGTGAAGCGACCAAGGCCTAGGAGAAAGTATAGGATAAATTACCCTAATAGCAAATCTACGCTTAGATTGAGCGAATACAGTTTTATATTGAGATGATCATTATATTAGGGAGAGGTGCTAGGGGAGTTGCTGGGTGCTGGGGGGGCGGTGCTGGGGGTGCTCGGGAGAGGGAGAAGGGGGGTGAAGAGAGCAAATAGTATATTTGAATTGAGATGGAGCATAAACATGAGATAGAAACGGCCTCGCTATATTAGGACTAGATTACTACGAACATCAAAAGCGGCGAGTTGAAATATTTGCACTCGACCTCCGTAGGGCAACAGTAAATAAGATCCGTTTAATAGGTAGGTTCTATGAAAAACCTCATTCGTGACAGCGCATAGATCATGATTAATAGGACGGTTGCGTATGGTGTCTCAAAACAGATGTAAGTATAGTAGCGGCAATTACTCGTCACATCCATGCATGGGCAAAAGCCTCTGTGTAACCAACCATAGCCACCTTAGCGCCGTCGGGCAACTTATCACTCAAGTTAAAATAAGTAATTCAGCGCTGATCGTATAGAGCGATCTTTGATGATATCTTGGCGGACTTTGCGGCTAAGCAGCGGGACTCGCGGGCAATCTAAGTAATTCATCCTATCACCCGTATATTGATAGTATTATTGAAGGAATAACGGAACTAATGTCCCATAAATCATAAACAAATGTGCGCTTAATATCCTTATGTATACTACAACTGCCCAGGGAGCTTCGGAGGGGTTAGGGATTGAGATACCCAAGGATCTATCTAACACTATGCCTGATAGATGCGCGTTGGCACACTAGCTGAAATCAAATTAAACATTCCTGAGATTCCTGCCCGAAAATACTAGAAGTGGGGTTAAGGTACCTCAGCTCGACGCATGGAACGCCACTGTATATGATTCACATGATGAGTTGGTATCCACTTAAACTCCTAACCTGCGTGATGATCTATCTGATCATGGTCATCTAGAATCGTAATCGTTTTTGTTGTGATTCGCTGCAAGCTAAACCCCGCACGAATAGAGCAATCTACGACAGCATAGCATGGCTAGGCATCTGGCCCCGCGTCATCTGAATTTCTTTTTCTGCGAGACTTCCTTACACCGCTATCTAAGGTTACACCGCTATATAAGGACCATGCCTGTCATGTCTCGACTCTGTCATATAACATTCTTCTTGTTTCCAACTGCTATACGATTGAACAATCAGTTCTTCAAACAAGGGAAGCGATAGCTTGACAACGTACCGAATCATCAATCGGACAAGATGCTAGACCAGAAGAACATCCAGGGTGATACCTGGTAAGTCAAAAAGGCTACTATTATCATTACGTTCCCGTTGATGGGATATGTATTGTATCTTGAACTGACGCAATAACCAGGCCTCGCCTGCCCAAGAAGGCTGAGAAATTTGTCTTCTTTCGAATTACGAATCCGGAAGAGTTCAAGAAGGCACTACCAACGATGGCCGATTTTATCACTACAGCCGATATAGCCCTGAAGAACCGTACCGATATCTTCAAAAAGAAAGCCGAAGGTACTCTTAATGGTATCATCCATTTGGTATCAATGAACATTGCTTTCTCGGCTAATGGCCTGGCTAAGGTAAGTAGTGGAAAAGTAGGTATAAGGGGTACACTTGCTTACTTTTAACAGCTTGGGGCGGAAAAGTTCGACGATGACATCTTCAACGGTGGCCAGTTCAAAGACATGACCTTCCCGGCGGAAGGCGAGTCAGCTGAGAATCACAAAGGCCTCGATCCTCAGGAGGAGTGGGTCAATGAATTCAAGCCCAGCAGTGGTGGCATTGACGGTGTTCTCACTGTGGCTGGTGACAGTCTCCCGAGTATTGAAAAAATGATCCGTAAGACATTTGATTGGGTCTTCAATGTCGGCAATGACAAGCAAAGTATTAAACAAGTCTATACCAGAGAAGGCATAGTCTTCGACAGGCATCTTGAGCAGTCAGTTTTACCAAACTCCATTCGAATAAAGGTATAACTGCTAACCTGTGGGCACAGCTTCGGATGGGTGGATGGTATTAGCCAGCCGATTGTTAAGGGCTTGGACGATATTTCGAACACAAAGGACAACAGAGGAATGGCACCGGTAGATCCCGGGTAAGTTATCATTGTCTCATCTTGTTGTATGGTCTGTCAAATCTGATTCCGTGATACTTCAGAGTTATCTTTGTCGGACATGAGGGCGATGAAAGCAAGACTCCCGCATGGGCCAAGGACGGTAGCTTCATGGTCTTCCGAATCTATGAGCAGCTAGTTCCCGAATTCTACCAGTAAGTAGCCCTATTGTGAGATTATTATCTGTGGATTTGGTTCAGACATACTAACTTTCTGTACCTAGCTGGTGTGCTGAGAATTGCCCCATTGCCGCGGCAGACACCAAAAACTCCATCGAAAAGGGAGAACAGGTCAAGTGGTCTGACAAGGCTATGGATCAAATGGGCCTATTTTCCTCGCGATTGGTGGGACGGTGGCCCGATGGTTAGCATTTCCGTGCAGGAATCATATTCTGCTCCTAACTCAGTACTCATGATACTGATCAATTGCGACGCATTAGGTGCCCCAATGGAGCTTCATCCCCAGACGGACCCCAACTGGTCCGTAAACAAAGGACAGTACGAAGCGAGCGCGCTCAAGACGATGAATAACACCGACAACTTCAACTATAACCCCGCAGACCAAACGAAATGTCCTTATGCCTCCCACATGCGCAAGACTGGTCCTCGGGATGACTATCCGGATTACACCAAGCACGTAATGATGCGCCGAGGAATTCCTTATGGACCATGGTGTGACGGAAAGGAACGGGCAGGTGGATTCACGGAGAAAGAACGTGGCTTGCTGTTTGTTAGTTACCAGAGCAGCATTGAGAATGGGTTCGTCACGCAGCAAAAACGTATGTACCCCTCATGAAAGTTGAATGTGTTGTATTTTCTGACGCTCTGCAGGGTGGGCAAATACTTCTGATGGTCCAACGGACATGGCGAAGCACTCTGGAGGTGCTAGCCAGGGAATTGACCCTCTTATTGGTCAAGTACATCCAAGCCGGAATGGCAAGAATGCAGGTGTTCAAATCGCTGGGGAGAGTACAGGTGTTCGGGTCAATGCCAAGTACGAAGATGCTCCTCAGATTCCCTTCCCTGACTCGGACCTTGATAAGCCTGCTTCCCAGGTCCAAGATAAAACTGTTGCGCTGGACAGGCTGGTTATTCCGCATGGTGGTGAATACTTCTTTACCCCCTCACTTTCTGCGTTGAAAAATTATTTGCCCAACGCCTAGGTAAACTGAAATCTCATTTTCGGTGGAATACCTATCTCAATACTACTTGATATTTGTCCTTTCACGTAATTCAGATTGCGAAACCTCCAGCATGTCTGAAGATGAAGTAGCTGTAGGAAGTGATTGTCCAATATCAGGATATCGTCAGAGGGCATGGCTGACAACATTGTAGCATTAGGAGCATGGAGAAGAAGAGAAGCTAAGATACATGAGGACAGGCTACAGATGGGTGAGAAAACATATCGCATAATTAAAAACAAGTAATGTTGCGAATATTCCTGCATTTTCCTTGATTCCATTTGTGGATTCCATCATGCTTATTGGACTCGGAATCAAGGTCCGCGAGATCTTGAAATGCTATGCTTTGAAGCCTTTGTGTGAAGGGGTCAGTTACCCCAATGCATCATGGGACAACAGAGGTCAGGCTGATTGGGAAACCAGCGTCAAATGCTGCAACATGCACAAAGCTACCTGTAACATTAACATTAAATTTTCAATTTATGGGATGCTACGCCCCCTGATTCTAATGCATGTACAAGTTAACTCTCAGTGTAGAATTGGGAATCGAGACTCATGATATAGAGACGAAATTTCCACCAGCGCAAAGGAGTGGACCGTGAGGTAAATCAACTGACAGAAATCAAGGGATGGCGAGCATACTGGTGAACATACTGGTCAGATTCACAACGGTAAAATTCTCTAGCTAAAAACAATAAGGGTCTATATTTGGAAATATATGTACTCGAACATCATCAGTAAGCAAAATACATTATAGTAAAAGGTCACATGTTTCAACGGTAAGAAACCGGTAATCAATGTAACACGTCGTTTCTTGAAATTCTCTATTTCCGCATATTGGCCCTGATACAATCGCCAATCTCTGCCTTTGCCATAGCATACCCATGAGAATAGTCCATGAGCAAACCCCCATCTGTGGATATGTGTTGTTGGCACTCTTGTGAGTAATGGTATTGTCGACGGAAAAGAACCTGCAAATGAACGCAACTTTCCGGCGAAAGCAGTCCAGCGCTAGGGGCTTCTGCGATGACCCCTTGGAGCTCAATCAGCGCCGCGGAGATACCAAGCAGGATACCCAAATTTTGTAGAGGTTTTGAAGATAGCTGAAGCATTTTGTCTGCAAATTTGGAGGGCCAACGTGCGAGGAGCATCACCAGATCAGTGGGAACAGGGAGAGAGGCTCGTTTAATCATCTCCAGGCCAATTCCAACGATACCATTGTCTTCTGCTGTGTGTGACTCATTTATCCCTGTGACAACCGTATGCTCTATCTCAAATCCAAGTTGAGCTCGTAACAAGCGGACCACTGCGCAACCAATTGGATCTGCGGTCCTCCCTGGAGCGTATACAAACGACTCCAGGAGACTGCACTGCGTGAACCAAAGAGGCAGCAACCGTGGTAAATCAAGATCACCTGCACCGAATCCCCGCTGGATTGATGGTTGTGGACGGGGGAGCAACGGTGCAATCTCATCTATCAGGTCTGTGGAATTCGATGATCCTGATAATGGCTCAGGAATATTCGAGTTGCGGCAGCCCTGGCAATGGGCAGCCTCTGAAAGGCCAACGAACTCGAAATAAAATGGAATGCGGTGTGGACTTAAAGAATCGATCCATTGTTGTAGAGTAGTAAGCTCCTCTCTTGTAAAGGTGCCGAACATTTTGCCTCCCCAACGGAGTTCTTTCACCAGCCTGCTCTTGTTGCTGTCGCCGGGATATATCCACGGCTTGGAGTTGGTCAGAGCTTGGAGAAAATTCGGTTGCCATTTCTCATCTAGCAAGCTACTTGGGCTCAGCCAGTCATCCAAAGGGCGATTCCCAATCTTTGCTTTGCATCCAGCGTGTATTCCTTGCGCAGCCTGAGCTTTGGCACGGAATATCTGGCCCACTCTGGATTCAAGCTGGTCACAGGGCATAGAATCAAGTTTGAGAGGGATGTCTGCGGTCTGAATCCCCTCGGAACCCAGCCATTCACTCAAGACGTATCCTGCCTGAATCCGCCGCCACGCGGTATGGGCGGCTTCTTTGCCTTCCATCTCCGATATCTTTTGTATGTAGTCCACCACGCATTCCATCGACATAGCGGCATGACCGGAATGGCTGTTGTCAATGGACACGTGAAGTATGAAATAGTATGGATCGAGTCCAACTTCTGGTAGCTCCTTTGCTGCTTGCATTGTATCCAGCTGAAGCATTTCGAAGTGCATGGTAAACCCCAGTATCTCCGGGAAAAACTCCTCTGAAAACCTTGCGATCATCAATTGAGCTGCAGCTGCTCTCCAATACCTGATGCAGCTGAAATTCCATCTAGGATGAAGAATTTCCTTTGTCGTTGGGGAGGGTAATTCTGGTTCGAAAGTCTTTAAGAGCTCCTCATAGATGTAGACGTGGTGCTGATGAAGATTACCATCACCGAGCTCTTCAGTGAACACCTGCCATGTTTTCTTCATGATTGGACGTAAGTCGAATGGTAAAGTGATTTTGTTCACCTGGCCCAGCCAGGCGCCATCAACCAGCTTCAACGGTGCAATCTTCCTCAGCCAGAACTCTGCATCCTGTCGGTCACGAACCAATTGCCGAGGGCCACCCAAGTCTCTCTGTGCGATATATTGTGCGTATCGATCCGTGACATCCTTCTGATGTTTTTGGAGAAACTGGGAAAGTTCCTCTTCGTTGAAAGTCTCGATTGATAGGATATTGGGATGAGACTCTCGCTTTGTATATTCGCTCAATGCTTCGGATAGTAGGAACAGGATTGCTTGTCGTGCAAGTGGTAAAACCTCCGGGTTATGCTCCACATTTTGTAGTTTGAAAAAGAGACTTTTGTAAAACTCCAGCTCTTGGAATCTTGACTCTTTGGCAATCGGTTTCACGGCGGAGGGAATAGATGTCGACTTCCTTGGGAAGTGAAGGGGCGTTTGCAGAGGTGCTCGGTTGTGCTGAGGTTTCCAGATTCGACGAAAACAAAATGCGGCGGTAAGGAGTAAGAGGAGGGCGATTGCCTTCGAGATTGATGAAGGTAGGAAGGAACCAAGCCGGATTTCGCAGTCAAACCCCATCGTCATTTTGGGTGAATCCGAAGGCTAAAGTGGGGAAGAGGAGAGCTACGAGGCATTCACTTATTTCAATACGAATCTCCGATTCCAGATCCTAGATGCCAGGTTCCTATCCGAATAGATCGCATTGGGTTCAACAGGGGTAGATCATTGTGATCTGTAAATTTCTTCGACTTGCTTTGTCGATTGCGACCAGTCACGTAAGCAAAGAATAGCTCCAGGAGAGGGCTTGCATGCATGCATATGTACGGAGTAGTTCCCGGTCCTCGAGAGGTTACACCAAATCTTAGATCGGCAGCTGGCATCACGATGCACACCGCCACATCCATTCTGCACTTGACCTGTAAGGAACGGAAACTATCGATCTATACATACATATACGTACGGTCATTCTGAAAATCGGCTTCAACACCTGGGCGGTACTCCGTACACACTGCCCAACTCTTTGCTGTGCCGCCAAGACACTAGCGCCGATCATGAAGTTAAGAGCGCCACATCCAGCTGAGGGAAGCTGAGGGGAGCTGAGGGTCGTTCTTCAATACACCTTTGCATGGTATTATACCTTTTACTGTAAAGTTACATCCTCCTCCTCCTCCTCATCATCATCATCATCATCATTGAATAGCGATGGTAATTACACTCGATTCAGGAATTGCTGCGCCAAATCTCATCTTTTATAGACACTGGATTAAGAATCGCCGCTAAGGCCTTGGCGGTGGGAAGCACAGAGAGTTTCTTAGTGTGTACTGGTCAAGTTCATCTCAAGAACGGGTTTACATGTATATGTAAGACACATTCTCTTTATTAGTCAAACTTGGTGAAAATTGTAGCCTACGAGCCTTGGGAGTTCTTAGACGACGGAAGTAACTGTCGGTAGAGTGGAATGCTAAAAGATGGTAACGGAAGGGCCCGTAATCGGCCCGTTCCAGAAATTCCCATTCGTCATGGACTCCGGAGGAAGGTCTACAACGTGTTGAATAAATGGAATAAATGGAATAAATGGAATAAATGGAATAAATGGAATAAATGGAATAAATGGAATAAATGGAATAAATGGTAATTTATGTAGGGAACAGGTTAGTACTTAGGTATATCCTGAGTACTACTGACTGTTTTGGCAATCTGGTCTTTACACGAAACTGCTGCCATTCAATCCCTGCCTTGTGAAATATGCATGTCTCAATCATCTATTCACAGGGTCTTTCTATTATCGATCCTCCGCCGCGCTACTCTTGAAATGACCGATCGAAATATGCCACTGGCTGAGCGTCAGTTATTCTCGGAACACAGTGCCACACCTCAGTACGATACAGAAGCGAGAAAGGAAGCACCCCCTATCGACCGTGTATTTATTTGAATTGCTTTTGTTCGGAGGAAGGACAACGTGGTGCACGTTGAAGTGCATGGTGTAATGTGAGACTGATATATAACTAAGTATTACAATCTAAAATTAGAGGATCGCTAAGTATCATTATCATTATTGTTATTATTATTATTCTCTTTATTTTTTTAAATATTAATTAAATCTCTACAACTTTTAATACCTATTTTATACTCCGCAGAGAATAAACGTTTGAACCCTCCTCCTCCCTCCTCTCTTAGTTGTCTCCCAACAGTACATGAGTATCTGACTTCGACTTCTCTCTTTAATATAGTATCAGCCCTCTAAAGTTCGTTTCAAAATTGCTATCTACCCTCATAGTCATCCCCCAATGGCATCTCTCATTCTCCGTTTTGGCGGTTACCCCTGTATCGGTGCCTGTTCATCAACACATCGCATCAACTCACCTCCACAACCCGCTTCTCGGCGCATATATCCTTTCCCCACATTTGAAGTGACTGTCTGGTTGTGTATAGGGGAAAATCTTTTGTCTTCTTCAATCAGCTTAGTAGAGCCACAGCCCCCCCCTCCCTCCCACCCCTCCAAACCTTGTCACAACCCTCATGGTTGAAAGTCGCACTCCCCATGAATTTAGACATTCGCCACTTTGTAGACCCATGGCGATGAGGTCATATGTTGACATATGTTGACACGCGAGGGGTACCTACAAAACCAGGTGTCCATGTTGTGGCATTACAGGGATTCCCTTTGAAAATTGGTTGGAAATTGATGCTGTCACCACCGAGGAGGAGAGTGAATATTAGGGAGCTGACGAAATGACACACAGGGAATACTGAGAGCAAGGCTTAACCGGTGAAAAGGCGGTTCATCAATGTTGTCTATAAGTATAGAAAGGACTCGGATGGTTCGGGTTTTTGGGCACTGATATAGGCGTGCAACATTGCCGGGCTCAAGAAGGAAAAAACCTTGGAAGGAAGAAAGCGTCGTCTTACTAAGCTTCTTGCCGGTCATGGAGCTGATTACCAACCCCTTGTCCAATGGGCGCAGAACATAGTTGCTGTTTGGGATATAAAGCCCCTTATCTAATATCGACTTATCAGGATGTTGATAACTAATGTATCAATTAACATAATCATATCAACATCGCGTTCCCCAATTGTTAGCCACGGGTGAACTTCTCCATTCGGCACGGATCACTCCACAGGTTGAGCGACCATGTGAGACACAAGAGACACAATTTACCAGCACTGGCTGACACCAGATGACTGTTCTCCGCAAGATGGTGACGAATCGGTCCTGGGAAGGTAAGTCTAGGCATGGATGTCTCAAATGGGAGGAATGGGTGAAGAATCTTGGCCATAGTTTATACGTACCTAAGTACTCACCTGGGCACTAATTAAGGTCAACCAGTGTACCTATCCGTGGGATCATTGTGGGGCGTGTCATCAACCAACATTAGCGCATCCTTCGGCCGAAACCCTAACGGGAACCCAGGCTGCATTATTCCCATGAGTACGGGGGACAAATATATATACAACGGTTAGGCTTGCCTTCACACCTACGTCTTAATCACCTTACCCTTTCTTGATTAGCCCATCATGAAGCTACAAAGCGGTCTCATTCCGGTCCTGCAAAACATTGCCGCCTTTTCCTTTCTCGCAACTGCCACACCCGTCAACCACATCGATTTCCCATTTGACAGTCCCGTCTGGAATGTTGGTCAGTCTGTGCGGACTACGAGCGGCCTTGTTGTAGGCCATTCTGCGGCAAACGCCTCCGAGGTCTCCGAGTATGTTGGGATCCCATATGCCGTCCCTCCACTTGGACGTCTTCGTTTCCAACCTCCAGTCCGTTATACTGGAAATGACACCATCAATGCCACCACATTCGTAAGTTCAGTGGTTTCATGTTCGCTTTCTTGAAATTCTGATGTGTTTTGATTTTCTATCCGATTCGGACGATTGTTAAAACGCCATTTTTACATAGGGTCCGACATGTATCCAGCCACCATCAGCACCCCCAAGCAACAATACCAGCAGTGCACCGCCCCAGAACCTTGGTATTCCCCCTACCTTTGCCGCAGCCTTCGCAAGCGAGACATATCCAGCTAGCGAGGATTGTTTGACCTTGAATGTCTGGACCAAGCCGCAGACTGGAGAGGCAAAGAAAGCTGTTCTTGTCTGGGTCTATGGAGGTGGCTATGTGTCAGGTGAGTGATATTCAGGGAACCCTTATGATCAAATCCTAACTTAAACGTGTCCCAGGCAGTTCTCGACAGGCGGCATACCGTGGGCAATTCATTGCTGACGAAAGCGATGTTGTCGTCGTCTCGATGAAGTGAGAACGTACCAATTTGGGCATAGACATATCATGTACTAATCGGAGAATAGCTACCGTGTCAACACTTTCGGATTCCCTGGTAACCCAGCCACTCCGGCCAATATTGGTCTCCGTGACCTTCGCATGTCCTTGGAATGGATTCGTGACAATATTGAGCAATTCGGTGGTGACCCAGAGCGCATTACTATATTTGGACAGTCTGCTGGCGCTGGAATGGTTGACTTCTACTCGTTCGCTCATGCCGATGACCCCATTGCTTCTGGTTTTATCTTGATGAGCGCCACTATTTACGGTTTCCCAGCTCTTACTGCAGAAGAGACCCACAATCGCTGGTTCCATGTCACTGACTTGGTTGGCTGCGGAAACGCCACTTCTGACCCGGTTGCCGTCAGCGACTGCATGATGAATAAGACCGTCGATGAGATACTAGCTGGTTATGACCCTGCCAATGTTCCATTCAACCCTTCGCCATACGGGCCAGTCATTGATGATGAATTGGTCTTCTCGAGCTACCTCAACCGGACGGCCGCCAAAGGTGGCTACCTGATTGGTAACACTCAAAATGAGGCAGGTATCTTTAAACTTGGACAAGTTCATAATGAAAGCTACTGGACCGACTTCAACGACCGTCTGTACACATGCGCCGACGTCGTGAGAATTGAACAAAGTATCACTGATGGCAACCCAACCTGGAGATACCGCTACTTCGGCGACTTCCCCAACTTGGTCCTTACTACAACGCCACCGAGCGGTGCTTACCACACTGCCGATCTCTATCCATTGTTTAATACTGTTAACCAAACCTTACTCGCTAGTACTCCAGCTGAAGTAGCCATTGGAAACTATCTCCGTGATGTCTGGTCCAGTTTTGCCAAGAACCCCCAGTGCGGTCTTGATGCCTTCTGGCCTCAGTACAACGGGACTGAGAAGACCTTGGCTCGCACTGGTTTCAACAACGAGACAATTAGTTTGGCGCCCGGTAACATGTATGATCATGTTTGTCGCTGGTCTTATGATGCTGTCAGTGACCCAGCCCCCCTTTAATGGGTTTATTGTGATTGTTTGCATGCTATTGAAGAATGCTGCATTGTATATGTGTATATTATCGTATGTACCTATCTCAAAGTGATTGTCAAAGCTGCTTTTCTTTTGGCTGCCAACCGTTCGTATCCTTTTGGGCAGTCACCAGTCTTTTTTTTTAAACCTTAGTTTCATCTTATTTGCTATAATAATTTGAGTAAAAGAATCCATAGATTTGGATATTTGACTTGGTATTCATTCAGCTGAAACCAATCAACTCACTCGGAAAGAGCGAATCATTTAACCTTTCGAAGATCTACCCTAGCGACAATACCACCAGTTATCGTAGTATTGGTAGTAGAAGCCGCATTGAACGGTCCTGCAGAAGAAACGTAAAGACTGTCACGATCGAACAGAGTTCGACCTACCGACACAGAAGATGCCGATTCCAAATATGGCGACTCGACAACAGCCCGCGCACTTTTTCCTGGAATATCGACCTCGAGTAGAGTGCTTTGGGAGTTTAAAGCAATCCATGCAGTTTTCCCATCTGCGGAAACGGCAAAATCATCGCCTTGCACATCATTGACAATAACCTCCACAGGGCCGGTAGGGAATCCGGTGGACAAAGAGATTGGAATTCGACCAAAGATGCGCTTATTGAAATTGGTGAAGAACAAGTGTGAACCTCGCATGTGAATTCCATTCACGCCAATTTGCAAGCCCGTGGGGGAGGACTTGAGCAAGTCGTCATCGCTGATTGTTTGATGTGAGCCGGTGTTCACGTCCAATTTGTATATTCTCCCAGCTTCGGAGTCACTGATCAAAAGTGATGTTGTATCATTGCTTGCCAAGCGAGACATCCCATTCATCAATTGCGCATTGGAAACATTAGCCACGATTGATGGTGAAATCGGTGCCCTTTCCGTCCGGTTCTGGCGCACATCAAACTTCCAGACAAAGTTGGAATCGGGGGTACCTTGAACCCCGGTAGTATTTACGCCTATCACATAAAAGACATCTTCTTCCAACTCTGCAATACCAAACAATCCAGTCGTATGAGGGATGTCAACGATGGCTTTCATCGCACGCTGGCGAAATGGGTCGACCTGATAGACTTTTGGGGAGACGGCAGAGGTCAAAAGAAGCTGACCATTGTGTCTGGTCGCAATATTTTCAAAGGTTTGTGGCTGGGTAACGTTTTTGATCACAGTAAGGGTATAGTTTGTGGTGACATGCCATGGGAGGGCGAGAGAGAGTTGGAAGAGAGCGGAAAGCCACACTAAGTGCTGTAGTGCTTGGCCTCGTAACATTTTGAATGGATCATCAATGACAACTAGAAATTCATGCCTATTAACAGGGACCCATTGAATAATTCATATTTATATTAAAGACTTGTATATCCAACATAGTATGTCGATCTTTCGGGGCTAGCGGCCTTAAGGTCAAAATGCTGACAAATGCCAATGACGTTTTCTCCACTTCTCCTTTCGGGGTTAAGAATTTTTGAAGGTAAGCAAAAACAAACGGCCAGAATATGGGGTGGTATATTGGACAATGCACAATTAGCCGTTTTTGTCCTGACGAATGGCTAATCAACTAGCGCCATTATTTGGTTGGTTGGCTTATCTATATCTGAACAACTCTAAGCCGTTGCCGGTGCCGTGATATTATGTGTGACCTAAAAGCGAAATTGAACCCCTATTTGACGATTTATATCCATTTGCCATTGTTATTATTATTTCCTTTTTTTTAAAAAAAAAAATTTATATTAAGAATTTAAGCTACTACAGTTTAGTGGCCAACCATCGATTGGAAGATGGCAGAGAATCGCTCTCCAACCGGCTTGGCAGCTTCCACGATCGCTCGCATCTCTTTCAACTCTTCTTCTGTAAGTTCGACATCACGAGATTTCCAGTTTTCTTCCAAGCGCGAGGCTTTGGTCGTTCCTGGAATAGTAATCAAGCCTTGCGCAGCAACCCAGGCCAGGGCGATCTGTGCGATCGAGCAACCCTTTTTGGCGGCTAGCTTCTTGATTTCGTCAACAATAGCCTTGTTCTTGTAGAAGTTTTCGCCTTGGAACTTGGGAACTGAGAGTTGTCAAAGTTAGTTTATCCGAATCTAGCAGAATGTTCGCGAATTAAAAGGGCACGACGTACCAGTGCGTCGGAAGTCATTGGGGGCGAAGTCATCAGGAGTCTTGAACGGGAAGTCATCCACAAGCCAGCCATGTCCCAGAGGGCTGAATGCCACAAAGGCTACATCCAATTCCTTTGCCGTAGCAATAAGGCCACTAGTCTCGTGCAATGTCTCAAAAGCAGAGTACTCGGCTTGAACAGCATCGATCTTGGCGACTGAGTTATGTTAGCATGCACTCTTATGATCTGTAGTTACATATAGACTTACTCGCGTTTGCCTTGCGCAGAGTCTCGGCCGAACATTCGGATAGGCCAATGTACTTTGTTTTTCCGGCGCGTCGGAGCTCATCCAGAGCACCGATAGACTCCTCTAGGGGGGGTGTCTTGAGTTGCAGAGTTAGTATACCGATTCCAATCAAATCATTTTCGGTGAATGTCACGTACTGGGGTCGATTCTGTGGAGGTAGTAGAGATCGGGAGTGAAACCAAGTCTGTCGATTGTTCCCTCGATGTATTCTTTGATATGGGCGGCTGAGTTGGTTACCTTGCGTTCAGGCCCAAAGACGTCAAATCCACACTTGGAGGCCACTGCGCGACATGAGCTAATGACACAATGTAGACAAAGGTAAAAAACAAGTTGCTCACCGAAAACCTTGTCGCGAACGTTGTGCTTCTTAATGAAGTCTCCAAGAAGCTTCTCATTTTCACCGTTTTTGTAGGCAACCTAGGGTTGGCGAAAGTTAAAACTATCGCACTTGGGACAATGCGAAGAGAACGGCTTACTGCAGTATCCCAAAATGTGCAGCCAAGCTCGATAGCTTTCAAAAGAACAGGCTCAGACTGTTCAAGATTGAGGTCTGACCCCATCGCAGAATTAAGGCCCATGGCGCCAAAGCCGGGAACGGGGACCTGCTGTCCGCCAAGCGAGAGTGTCTTCGTCATATTCGTTGATTTTTGCGAGTTTAGGTGCTGAGAAGGTGAGAATTGGAGGTCCATCAAATGACGAACCTCAAGCTTATTTATATTGCGGCCGAATAGTACCACATCGCAGTAGGTACCATATTGCAGTCATGATGCGGCGGCGAATGTGGCGATACCTGCACCTTGATGACAAGTCTTATCTCATTGGTCGGATGGTATAACTTTCATGCCCGGTGGGGCGGATGAATTGCCAATCGTCAAGCGACTTGAGCCCTAATATTTACATGCTATGCTATGCTGTACGGCGTATTAAGTTTGCTTTCACCACTGGAGTAAGCTTTTCTATAATTGATGACATCATTAGTATTATTGGTCAGTACTACATAGTATGGAAAATGGAAGAGACAGTCCTGTCAGTCACTGATAGTCTAACACTAAAGCCGCTTTAAATCCGGCTGGCCAAACTACCAGATGAGGTCAACAGCATGAAGTCACATATCACTAACTTAAGCTGGCTTCCAAGGTTGATACCATATATAAAGTCAACAGAACAAAAAGGCCAAATGCATTCATGTTCGGGATGACGTCATGTCGGTATTCCCCCGGTCGAGGAAAAGCGCAAGCAATAGTCTAGGCAATGTGTGATAAAATGTTGGAGACTAGGATTTGTGATAGCAGGCTGTTGCATCAGTATGGTCAGTCTTAGACCTGTCGCCAGACTTTTTGCGGGGCTGGAAGAATTCCCGAGGTCTAGGTGTGCCGTATGCGCTTACTTTGCAGTCAACATATCGGTAATTCAATTATCCCTTTCCCCGCGGCGGTTATTGATTTCACTAATCAGACTACATCGCAACACCGATAAAACGTTTGCCCCATTTCAGGGTGTATGGTGATCAACTCTTGGCGAATGTATGGGGTTGTGATGTGAGGCACGTTGAGGGCTATGTACATTATCTTTCTTTTTTTGCTGGTGCATGATCGGATTCTAACAATTACACATCTATGAGTGCTATATTAAGAAATTCTTATGATAACTATGTCTTGCATTTTAGGCGCTTTCTATGTACATCTTATCTTGCTCTATATAGTTATACAATTATCGCTCTAAGTATAGACAGACACCTTCTTGGCTCGGAAGAGGCAACAATCACAGCTACCTGAATAATGTTGTTGTTTCCTTGAAGAGTCCAGTTGAGTTGAAGAGTTTACTCTTCCCAGATGATGCTGCTCAAGCCCGACGACGAATTACTAGCCTGGCCGGGCTGTCCAACCTGCAAGTTGGCGACTAGATTGCCGAGCGTTCCACTCCGCGGGTCCCGTTTGACAATGGCAACATTAGACGAAGCCTGGTCCCCAATGGCGACCAGAGTACCTCTCTTATTGATGACAAAAGTGCGGGGAATGCTGCCATATGCAGAGGTGATCTGACTGAAAGACACCGTACCGTTGGAGGAACGAACCATAGTCGACATGGAATCGTTCGGGGCAAATCCTTGATCAAAGCGAATTGAAGCATAAAGAGAATCACCAGTCATGCGGAGCTCTGCTGGTGCACCCGCAGCCGGTAACTGTCCGCCTGGGTATGGCACAAAGGATTGTGTCTCCTTGAACGCGAGACAACCGGAGGATAAGTAAGACACAACAAACGCATTGAAGTGACCGCCCAATTCACTGACGGTGTAAAGCATAGTCACTGGGGCGTGTCTTGAGTCCGAGGGATTGGATTTCCAGAACAGTCCGTGTCGTGGTCCACTACCAGCGGTGTAATTAAGACTAGGGCACACATTTAGATGTCCCGATTGCTCATTGATGGCATACACGCGGACCTGGTCGGCACCCAAATCAGGAACAAGGATGAAACCACCGGTTGGATCAAGGATCACCTGATGCGGGTGCGGAGAATCCTGCTGAGGTTTGATACCGGGCTGGGACATTTTGTAGCGGAAGACCTCTAAGGGCTTCTTGTCGGACCTAAGGGGCAAAGCAAAAGTCGAAAGGGCAGAACCGCCGCTGATGAATGTTATTTTGTTTGTACACAGCTGGATTAATTAGACATCAATTACTCACTAATGCGCAACAGCTAAATACTTTTCGCGTCCGTGCTTTCCGCCATAAATAACACTGTGGACTGCGGCGCCCACATCCACAGTATTTGTAAGCTCGGTCAGTCTCCCATTCCGATTCACGGAGTAGGAAGTCAACAAGCCATTCATGCTCGCATTTCCGGCGTGATCGGAGCAATACATCGTACGCGTTGACGAATCGAACGTAAGCCAGCTAGGCCCATCACCACATGACTTCAAGGAGGAAGTGACTGAAAGCGAGTTTTCGTTATCAAGAGAGAGTGAATAGATGTTGCCGTCATAGTGAGTGGCATATAGGTTCGTGGCAGCTGCCAGGGAGATAAAGAAAGGAAGATAGCGAACCATGATGGAATTGGGAAAGTCGGGAGAAGGATAGATATGGGCAAGGGAGTTATGGGGTTAACGAAGAAATATATACCTCCAAATTCAGCTCTACGGATCTAATTATTCCGTCTTTCCTAAGATTCGTTTTGTTTCGTAGATTTCCCCGCAAATCACTGCATGTCTCACCTCTACCTTTTAGGCGTAGTCCTCAATGGGCCTTACGGTCGGCATTGGCTCCACTATGGATTGCCATTACCCATCCTGCAAATTGACGTCTTGCCGAAGAAGAGAGTCAATGAATGCTTTACTGTTTATTCTGTTTAGTACCAATAACTAGACAAAAATATCCCTCTAACTCTATGAACTGCCGCTGCGGTCAGAAACAATCGAGTCCGGCAGGCCGGTCTATCTACTGACATCTAAAGTACAAAACCAGGCCATATCATTTACATTGGTTGTGAGGCTCGGTAAAACGTGGATCGGGTCGGCGTTTGAAAGGGTATTGAAGATATAGCGGCAGTTAGGGTTTGAACGCTAAACTCCAGAACAAGGAGAAATCCGGGGGTGGAATTGATTTAGTTCTAGCACAACCGGGCTACTCCACTTATGAAGATAATTTTATGTAAAAAGCCATCGATGAAATACCTGCTATAGGTCAATAATTTGTTAGTTATGGCCTACCTCGGTTCTTGACACAGGCCAATCTACCCGGTAGCGACTACGGATGAACGAGGGCCTGGCTACGTTAGAAGTAGCCGTAAAATGTGGATTTGGAGATCTCCTTCCTCATTATGCTCTAGTTGTCGAAGTTCCCTTCTATTCCATGTAGGAATCGCCTCCAATAGGGATTGATCATCTAGAGACAAAATCTTGTCCCTTCAGAGCAGCAGTTGAATACATAAATCGGACGCCGGCCGGCTGGTGTCCCAGGCCTTGATTTTACGACAACTCGACGTCTTTTGTACCCTTTAAGGAAAATTGTGGTATATTATTGTCTCGTTCTTATATCTATACAACTTGAGGTAGTTAATTTATTTCTACCACCTGAATCAGCAAGCTCTCACTCTCTCTAGGGCTTCGTGGTTCTTTTTTTTCCGGCCGTAATTATTGTTGTAGTTGAGCCCTGAGGTTGTGGGTTACCCAATACTCCGGACGAAGTGAGAAAGGGATGAGGGAAGAGGCGCCAAATTTGTTTGCTATAAGATCAGGGTATAAATATGATCCTCGATCTCTAGCTGCTTTCTTTATTCTTCCTTCTATTTTCGAGCTCCTCAGTCTAAGCAAATGCACATTTACATCCAGCAAGCTCATATCAGCAACTAGCCATCTTCACCATGGCTTCCAATAAAATTACCAAGGCTAAAGCTCCCAAGAAGAAGAATGTCCCCAAGTCTGCCACCAAGCCTCGCAAACTCGCCTCAGATACCAGTCGTGAGATACTAGAAGAGAGACTCGAGTTTGTAATTACTTGTATCAAGGAGACAGGAATTAAGGTGATTTGTCCCTCATTTATCACTTAATTTCCAGCACTAATATCATTGTCGTGTCACAGGTCGACATGGCTGCTGTTGCTCGACACTATAAGATCTCCACTAATGCAGCAAATCTACGCCTTCGACGTGCTAATGATTATGTCGCTAAAATGGTGAGCGCTAGAGAGGAAGCTCAGAAGAGTGATGAGACTCAGAGCGACAACGAGCCTCAGAAAGACAATGAGGACCTCGAGATCACGGAAGATGAGGACTGAAAGGAGAAACAAGAAACAAATATCTGCAGTACACGTGATAGGGAAGACCTTGACCGCGACATGGTGTTGGAGGTGTGGTTGTCAGAGGCATACCTGTCCTCCTGTCTGTCCAGGATATCTCTCCCTGCTAGATAGATCATTCTCTCCCTCCATAGTTTGTCACTGCACAATATTCATCATCTTGTTCGGGCATTATCCCCACATTATTACAGAGCAGAAACTAAGTCGACATCAACGTCTTCGGGGTATTGTACAAAGATTTCTTCAACGGCCGAATTTTGGAGACGTGATAATGCCGTCTCCTGCATGTAGGAAATGGTTTTCCAATCGCCTCTATGATCTAGATCTACTAACTCTCCCTCCTCTTCTTAATTATTGCTATAGGGTGAGCTCATAGTTTGACCCACACAGGTACTCCACACGCATTTCATCGAGAAAAGTAGACGAGGGTATAATTGTGAATAAGTTGATCGCATCAAAAAATATCAGGAAAATGCCGGAATTTCTCAGGGTATGAATATTCTAAATGTACATGTATTTAACGCCTTTAAATTCAAGTATATCTACTTGCCTCCAACAAGCATGAAAGTTACAGCCCCAACCCAGAGTATAACTAAGATCGCGGTCAATATTCCCGCACCAACCCTATCACCAGTAGTGATAGGTGCAGGTCCCACGCTATCCTTGTTATTACTGCCTCCATGTGGGTCACTTCGGGATGTCCCGCCATTGTCAGCATTGTAAGGACCCTCAGACTTGAATGGGAACATGACAGCATTAAGAACACCCAAGACAGACATCTGCTGTTCTAGGCCCATCGTCCCATCCCATTCTGCTTTCTTCGTCCAGCGAACTCCGCAATGATTTCCATCGCTTCCGCCGGAACACTGTTGACCAGCAGCAACAGCGGAGACCTTGAATCTCCCCATTACGTCCGCCGTGACATTGGCCGGTACAATCAGGGATATGAATCCGAGCCAGCCCGCGAAATAGGCCTTGAAGGTTTTCTGGTTGCGATCACACTTATTGATGGGCTCACAGGTGATGTCGGATAAGATTTGATTCCCGCCAGAGGCAGGGAAAAATTGATTGGATGTCTTGATCAGTCCTGTCACACCTTCGAGCCATTTGCTTTCGGTGCCATTGGTCTATAAAACCGGTTAATTGGAGAGTCTGGTTATTGCGGAAAGGGGATAGACGCACGTAGTTATGCATATATCCAGCACCAGCGATATATGTTGCGTAATTGTAAGTCCATTGGTGATCACCATGATCTTTACAACTCGCTGCGTTAGTGGTAGTATCGGCGATAACCCAGGTTTTCCTCAGCAGAGGCGTAGACGCACTCCAATCCCAAATCTTCTCGGCCCACTCGGCATAGGTCGCGTTCTTGGTATATAGTGCCAAACGCGCTGACAGTTGGAACAAACCGCCGTTGGAGATGGCGTTCTTCATGCTATATCCATCCTGGTAAGGCCAAATCTGCCATCGCAAACCTCCACCACAGTTATTCATATCCCAGCGGGGAATCTGTCCATTGAAGACACCCTCGGCCAGAGAAACCCACGAGGGCTCGTTTTCTCTCTCTGGGAAGTTCAGTTCTCCCGCAGTTATCGCTGCTAAACCCCAGAACACTTGATCGTCGTTACCCAAGTATTGGGAGTAGTTGCTTGGGAAGAAGTCGTTTTCGCCCTTTTGCCAGTACATGCCATCCTGGATCGCATCATTGAACTGGCTGTCGCCTGTAAGATACCAGTACTGGATGAGTGTCATAAACATCGAGCCACCCTCCCACCAGGTATCGTCCATTTTCCCCGGAATATCTTTCGAGTCGCGGGCATTGTAGAAATCCATCATGGTGGTGGCGACAGTCTTGGCGGCATTTTTGAGGGAGGCTATCGGGAAAGATACATGTCAGTCATCTGAGTTGTTTAGCCACCGTTTGAATAAAACCCACTCTCATCCTCAGGATTAACCTCAATCGCGATGACATTTTGTATGAGAAGGCAGGCCAAAAGGGTGGCCAGCCACCTAGACATAATAACAGGCCTCATTTGACACGAGCCGAGCGGTGACCGACATCGGAAGAAATGCATGGGACTGAGAGATGAAGAGCAGAAGTTAAGTGCATTGAGATCAGAAGGAGAATATGAGTGCGTATCTCCTGGAACAAAAAGGCAATGAAACAATGGAACCCATCAGATTATATCGAATCATCACGATGAAACCAGTCACTTGGCAGACGCCGTGTGAGCGGGATTATGTAGAAAGTGATAATCCAAGACATTGGCACAGCCAATCCTGCTGCCTGACTTTGTTCTGGGTGCAGCTCTTCTCAGCACTGCCCAGTTTTCTGGTGCTTGGCATTGAGATTTCCTTTGGGAAATGAGAGTGTAGTAATGCCAAGAGACCCCCTTACCCGGTGTACCCGGGGTAGGCGCTTAGGGGGGGCACAACTTCTGCATTCGAATGTCTTTCAAGGCTTTCTTTGAGTCATAGAACGTGGAAGTCTCCCGACATATTTGGCTTGTATTTGGCTTGGAAAAAGGATCTCTGAACGTCATTTCATCAAGATCGGGGGGGCAATATGCCAAGTCGTTTTCCGCTGGCGCGGAGTGTCACGAGCGCTAAATTGGGTCTTGGCGGTACCATATTTTTAGGTCCGCCAAGAAATGTGCTGAGACCTGGCACTGCCACTCACCCCTTTTGCGGGAATCACCTGTTTCTGGGCTAGTCCATAAATCTTTCATAGTTTCATCCACATTTCAGATCCTGGGGCTCCAAAGTTAGTATGTGAAGACACATACGAATACGGTGTAGTTTGTTTCCATTCGCGGTGCAAAGTATTCCCCTATCTATCGAATAATAGGAGACGCACTTAGTCCAGCACTTACATTTCGGAGACAAAACCTGAGATAGGGTGCTGCATTCTTTGTTTAATGTATGCCTGGGATCTGATGTTTTAATCCAGCCGTATATAATTCTTGCTTTCCTTCATTTCTAGCTCTTCCTCAACCATCTCCATCGGCTAGCCATTCTAGACTCTGGGTATATAGCTAAAGTTCCAGGCTTCTTTCTTACATTCAAACATAGTATCCCCGCACTAAATTCAAGGAAGTCGTGTTTGCCTGGCCCGTTAGGCAACGTTGGAACATCCCCAAGATCTCCTTCCTACTTCTCTTCTCCATCCTTCCTCCAAAGAACCACACCAAGTCGTCTCTACGGATGGCCATCACTCGGCCTTTGAGAGCTGCGAGGAAGTTGAGTCTACTTAGCTCGCTAATGTATTTGTCGACCACTCTCTGGGCACCCGTCCATCCCGGCCGGCTTGCCATCAGGATCGCAAATCTTACGTGAAGAACCTCGGCACGACGACCTGGCTTTAATAAAGTTCGCGGCGGACTTACACTGGGAAGGATATAATGCGCCAACTACCACACTACGATAAGTAGTTTCAGGGTATTGCAGCGGTTGGGTGTTAGTTCGCTCAAACATCCAGGACAATCCCCATATCGTGATGCAACTCGGTCGAAGGTATCTCAAGGCAAACTCATTGGGCGTCTCTTCTCCGTCTGTGACGTCCAGATACCTCGACCTATCTATGTCTAAGTGTCTGCTCTTATTAAGGCAAAGGCCAAAGGCAAGGATGTTCGTATCTTGTCGGGTGCATCCGCCAGCAGGGTATGGCTGTGGCGACCCAAATGGCTCACGAGAAGAGGGTCATATCTGCCGTATTGTGAGATTTGAAAACCGCAGGACTAGAGGAAGACGTGAAGAATTCGCTCGGCATCTTTCGATCTGCAATGTCGCCGCCTTCTCTACTTCACTCGTCCACAAATAGATCACTTCTACCTACTCCACAACGTGAATCCGCACTGTCGAGACCGATGATTGACCTGGCCACGGCTCATTCCCTGTATTCTTATTGGGAGACTTCCTGGGAGGCGTTGGACCGCATATTCCAGTCGCGACGGTGCTGGTTCTCGTTGTGGAGTAGGTGACAATGTGATTGTACCTTCCAAAGGCAGTTTTGCAGTGGCCACTACAAGATGACACCATTATTCATCGTGCTATATAAAAATGCAAGCCACCAGCCGCCTCTGTGACCACATTAGGTAGGTCGTCTCGCATCTATACCCAGCGGCCACGCTAGACACTTCAATATGAACTTTTTTTTGTCGCAGAATCTAATAGTATAGTATCATAGCCGAGAGACTATCGAGCATCCTGAGTTCACCACCGCCTGTGTCCAATAAGGCTGGAGCGTGACCGTCCAAGTTGACAAAGTCCACAGCATCTCGTTCAAGACAGCAAAGATCTGCCTCCAACCGACAAAGAGCAAGTCATGGTCCACGTACCGTGATATTTGTCGATCCCAAGAAGATCTCCTCGAAGGAAGTCATAGCCCGGGTGTCTACCATTTATATGAAATTCAAGAGCGTTGATGGGACCCTATTATATCCCCCTTTGGGACATATCGCGAGCAATATATCCATTAACAACATTGAGTTACCACTAGCCAAATCTTCTCTGTGAAAACTAAAGTTTTAACTGATCTGGATCGATGGACTGAGCAGCGTATCTGGGACAAAGTTCTGAAAGACGTCCGTGTTGTTGTTTCGACTTATGATGTCCTTGCTGATACTTTGGGCTATGGTTTTGTTCCCATGTCCCGACTTGCACCCCTTATCCTCGATGAGGGTATCACGCATGTCAAGGCCCTAAAGCATGCAAACAACCATGACAAAGCGATTATGGGATCCAAGGTGCAGAAGTCAAAAACCATGCCAGATGCCCTAACGCGAAACAATGGAACGAATCTTTGTTTCGAGGTCTGGAAGACATCACCCTCAGAAGCTTGAGGCGGATACCGACCATCACCCACTGCCGTCCATCTCAATATCTATGCTCGGAGCCGTTACAAGAAGGTACTCACTTTTACATTGGAGGCGCCAATTCAAGTTCCCCGAACGTCGACTCCCAAGACATTGCCATGTACTCCGAATGAGCGAGGAAGATGTCTAGTGTGTGGGATAGCCACACTGGTAGGAGCGCCTCTGTGATTGTCACTTCTTCGACACAGCTGATCTTGAGATTGGGCCGTCAAATGGCACAGCTGGCGGTGATGTGATCTCCTACGGGCGATGGAAATGATATGTCGCTACTCGACTATCTACATGTCCGGTTCCACCCAGCGCTCCCTGGACCATCTTTAAGCTCGTCCTCATTCGGTGTCGACGGTGACATACGACATCACAGCCTAATCCTTCGCTTTCCTCCGTTATGTGTACCTAGCTGCCGAGGATCCCTTCTCTTGCTGCTCAGGTCGGGTAGCCTAATTTTTGATGATGCGTTCTCGACGCCATAAGATTGCGACTTGACCAGGCGAACGATGGGGTCACCGAATACACGGAGCACACCTAAGACAGCCGATTAACATGGGACCACATAATGTGCGGTAATGCTGGGTGTAAGCTTGCGTAGAAAAACTAAAACCGGCACGGGTGTTGAAGTTGTTCGTTGGTGAAATTGCAGATGATGGCAGCAATGCAATGCGGTGGAGAATGAGTGGGAGAGTGGGAGTGATGATCATTGAAGATGGGAAGAACGAATGAAGGAGCGGGATGCCAACAACATGACGGATGTCGACCCGAGTTTCTACCTATTTAGCTCTATCTACCACCAACCTTCTTATTGGACAATTTTGACTATGTGTAGTAAGTATCCAATCCACTCTAGCAAGTGTGTAAGTCATCTGCCACTACAAGGCGTTTGTAGAAGGCGAAGGACCATCCCGTGGGCATGAGAAGTATCATTCTCATTTTGTATAAAATTGAACTGTATATACATGTAGTTGACTGTCACGATCGGCTGGTCCAACCATTCGTAGACTCTCTGCATTTCGCGGTCACCTGGGATGAGCCTGGTGACCTGGCAATCCAATTGATTTGGTTGCTGAGGACATGTTGATTGATATGGTCTACCCAGCAGGGTGATACATGCTAGCCATGCAGATGTCACGAACCGAGGGAGATCGGGGCGGCGGTTATGGCTGACAGACCAGATCGAGAAACGAGCTTTCGCAAGACAGCTTCTGACTGCAAGTCACCCATATCAAACCGCAGCCGTCGAAACTGATATCAGCAGGGGAATCCTACCCGCGCCTTCAGCCCACAGCCAAAGCAACTGCCCAGAAAATTGGAGCGCGTATCCAGCTGGATTTGGTGATCCGGCTTCAGCCGCAGCAGTCCAGAATGAAAAAAAGAGGTTCTTCTCTTACTTAGTCACCATGTAGGCAACAAGAAAAGGCCAAAACCAGTGTCCAATTCAGACCATCGACCTCTGCTTCTCGTCCAATCCCTCCCCAGGCTCCCTTATACCACCGCCATGTCCAATCGCAGGATTTTCACCAGACCCCTGTCCCTCATTCTCACCCTCAATATCAATCCCCATCCCCTCCTTCCACATATTCACCAAACTCGTCGCGCCCATTCGCCGATTCTCCTCCTGGATATTAGACTTGACGCCCGCGCCAATGGGATACTTCTTGCTCGGGAGCGTATCAGCCAGTTCTTTGAGCGGAATACCGGTCTCGTCGCTGATCAGATCTTCGTATATGGGATTGTTTTTAAAGAGGTTGTAGGTGGAGTAGAAGGGGCTGCGTTTGAGGGCGGAGGCGTGGTTGTGGCGGGAGGGTTGGATTTCGAAGGTTAATGAACGCGCGGTATTGGAGGGTGAATTGGTAGATGTGAAGGGGGTAGAGATTGAATGTTGATATTTAGAGGAGGTGGAGGTGGGTGTCGGTAAGGGAATGGTTATGGGCGAAGCTGCTATCGCGCGGTCTGCTGCGTCCGATGTCTCAAAGATCGCGAGGATTGGGCGGTTTTGGTTTGGCGAGTTGTTGGTTGTGTCGTACTAAGGGGCTCGTTAGATCAGGGCATGTGTAAATGGTAATTGGGAGAGGACGCCGTACCTTGAGGTTGCGGTATGTTATTACTTCTCCGAATTTCTGAAGCGCGGCCAGTAGCAGCTTGCTTTCGGATAGGTTCTTTGGCATTGGAAGTCCGGTTATATGAACCTGCGCGGTCAAGCGCGCTAGAGTAGGAGACACCATTGTGAGATTTGTGAGGTTTGTGTTGTTGGGAAGTTCACAGAGACGGAGGTTGGAGAAAAATGGCGGATCATCGAGATCGGCACGTCTTGGCGGAGTTGGCTATCTACACATGTTCGACGAGATTTGTACGGTCGGGAATAGCTTCAATTGCATTTACAAAATATGATAAGTAGACTGTTCTTTAAGATCCCAAGGTAATTTGATTTGTATTGTCAAGTAAGAAGGAGAGATACCTCAAGTGCTGTTATTCCCTTGATATACTGGTTGGCGTTTGTTGATCATCGACTCAACTTATGCAGTTGGAGCTCGAATTTCAGTGTTTCTGCTTTGGCCTCCCAACACGATGTACTAACGGTAATCGACGTTATTATACTTTTTAAAAAAAAAACATCTATGAGATATGACAGAGACCATAACAAGTCAAGTACCCCCAAGTTCGATCTCCAAAATTGGCCGGTAAAATGAAGCTATTCCCACCCACGCAAATCGGGACGGCTTTACCCTAGAATTAGTAAATATGGAACAGACCTGGATCCTGCTACGCTGGTTAATATGGAAAATATGATTGGAAAAGGGAAATGGTATGTTTTATTTAATTTATCCAAGGCATAAAAATCGTCATAAATATCGCGGAGGATTTCCCTCTCCGGATACGGCGGAGACGGGATTTCATCCGTCTCCAAGGGTTTTTTTGTCTGGACACGCTTAGAAGATGGGGATTCCAAGGCCGTACTAAGAAAACCAAAGTCAGTATTAATAGTCAATACTCCGTAGAAACGAAACTTACAGCAACGGGGTCGTTGAACCGAAGACCCTTGTCCAGAGCACTGATAGCCTCAAGCTCACTGGTCTCAAGGTCGAAATCAGTGACAGTCAAGTTCTGAGCAAGACGAGTAGGGTCATTGCTCTTAGGAATAACAGCGACGTTACGCTGAGTAGACCAGCGCAGTAGGACCTGGGCAGGGGTACGGCCGTGCTTCTCGGCAATGGCGGTGATAGTAGCATGCTCGAAGAGCAGGGGAGTATCCTTAGCGTGCTTAAGGTCAAGCTCAATAAAGCTCAGAGGACCGAAAGAAGAGTAAGCAGTAACAGCGATGCCCTCCTTCTGAGCGTAGTCAACAAGACGGGTCTGGGTGAGGTAGGGGTGGTGCTCGATCTGGAGGGTAGCGGGACGGACGCGGGCATAGCGGAGCAGATCCATCAACAGCTGTGCGCTGAAGTTGCTGACACCGATGCTGCGGGCCAGCTTCTTGTCGACAAGGGTCTCCATTGCGCCCCAGGTCTCGTGGATGGGGGCGTTGGCGAATTCGATCTTGCCCTCGGCAGTAGTCCAGCTGGGAGGGTAGCGCACGGAGGGGTCGAGGTACTTCAGGGCAATGGGGAAGTGTACGATGTACAGATCGAAGTAGTCGACGCCCCAGTCGGCGAGCTGCTTGCGGGCAATGGGCTCGACCTTGTCGGCCTCGTGGAAGCTGTTCCAGAGCTTGGAGACGATGAAGAGCTCCTCGCGCTTGACGAGTCCGTCCTTAATGGCGCGGGCTACACCCTGACCGGCTTCGACTTCGTTGCCGTAGTCTGGGATTAATGGTGTTAGGGTCAATTAGAGCTTGGGCTGGGGGAGGAGGAATGTACCGCAGGCGCCATCGAAGAGACGGTAGCCAGCCTTGATGGCGTTGTAGATCTGGTCGGCACAAGTGTCGTTGTTGACCTTCCAGAGGCCGAAACCCACAATGGGCATCTCATAGCCGTTGCTAAGCTTGACAGTAGGGGCAACCATTGTGAATGTAGTTTAAAGAAGTCTTAAGGAGGAGGAAGACAAGAAATTGGGGGGCATGGAGGGGTATATAAGTGACCCCGCCTACTTAGGTAGTATCATTTAAAATATCCAAAAAAAAAAAAAAAAAGATGGAAAGGTCCAGGCTAAATCAACCGATTATACCTCAATTGGTCTCTCGTTGGCCTCCTTTGCTGGGAAAATCCCCAGAATTGCCCCACTGTTTTGCGGCTAAAGTGGTTGATTGGGACAATTTAGCCGACAGGGGGAGATATTACTGCAATCGGAGAATAGAATAGCCAAATAGAAAAAAGTAATTGGTGATTATGGTATAGTATTCCCCATTATTCCAAGTAGAAGTAAATTCCAAAGAGTATTCCAAAGTATTTTCCTCCAAACGCCACCTAAGACATTCCCTGCTATTCCGATTGTATCACAAAAAAAGACAGAAATAGAAAAAGAAAATAGGAAAATAGGAAAAGAAATGAAGAAAATAAAGAGAAAATCACAGAAAAATAAGAAAAGAACACTCCCAGAATGATTATCATTACTTAAGTTTTGGTAAAATATGTCGTTATACCGCATCCACCGTGGCGTTATCGTACGCATCGGGGCCCGCCCCATGCATGCTGGGACCATTGGAAATGCGCCCGACGATCTTATCCATTAGTTCATCCGATGGCAAGATTCCGTCGAAATGGTGTGGTTGCTGCGACTCGCGCGACACGGATCCATGTCCATGGTGCTCCGCCTGGTAGGGGAGGTGGTAGCTGCTGGCGCCGACATCTCCGGGAATGGAAGTGGAGTGTGCACCCCAGGAGGCCTGGCCGTGACTGAGATCATCAAGCGGCTGCGTGTTAGAGCCGTAGTAACCTAGCACGCTGTTGCTGTCGTGCATGTTCACGCTGTGCTGTTGAGGGGGCACGTAGTGGGACGCCTCGTGACCCATTGGGTAGCCCATTACTGGGTGGGAGAGCGGTAGGTCATGCAGATTAAGCATGACCGGTGCACCACTAGAGCTGTGGAGGCTTGTGGATGGGATGTTCTCTGGTGCAAGGCTGGCGGAGAATGAGTCCAACACGGAGGTGACGGCGGTTTTATCATTGAGGCTGTCTTCGGCTTTACTGATGGACGTCATGAAGTCGAGTTGGTCGGCAGAATTAAAGAGATTAGCCATGTTGTTGTGGTGGGATGGTTGGTACATAGGCCATTGCGAGTGGGATTGGCTCGGGTGGTGGATAAGGTCATGGGGCTGAGGGGCCGGGTAGACACTTTGGTGAGAAGATTTGTTGAGAAGGATAGAATCCAGAGAGAGGGGAGGAAGATCAACACCGGAGGCTGGGCGCGGGCTGTTGGTTGTGGTCCGGTCCGGCGCCGGAATTAGTCGCCTCCAAGTAGTTGTGCCAACTTCGCCAGGCTTGGTTTGTCGGAACTTCCAGGCGAGAATGGCCATGCGCTTGCTCTCATCGCCGTGGTGGCCTTGGTATTGGTTGGAAAGCCGGCGAGCACTGGGCGATGTAGCACGAAGCTCTTGTACAGCAGTCAATGAGCGCAAGTGGTTACGGGTTTGGTTGTCAGCGTCGCGAGCAGCCTGGGGATTTCCCGAGTCCTCGGCCATACGCTTCTCTTGAGTGAAGTGAGTGAACAGCTGAGCCCACCAAGATGATTCGAAGAGAGGTTTGACCTTGGTCGACTGGGTTTTGGGTAGATCGTGGTAACTCTCTCGGATCATCTGGCCATCTTCATAGATATGCGTGCGGCAGGTCCAGTTGTCCATTTGGCTAACTCCCAACACATCACCAGCAGTGGGGTGACCGTAGTCAAGGTCGAGCTGGATTCCGAGACGCGATCTCGCAGGAGGGAAATCGGTCATGAGCTCCAGGTTCACTTCTAACAAAATGATATCGCAATCCAAGGGGTTGTTGATGTCATCCACCATGGAAGCTAGTGTAGGGAAAGAAGACCGCCACCCGTTCAATTGCTCAAGGGGCATGGCTGGTGCCCCGGGGTGGTGCAGATCACCCTGTAAACGAGTGTATGCATGCAATGCCTTGTCAATGCCATTGGCCTGCTGAGGAGCGCTGACCCACATGTCGAAGCTAAAGCCATGAATGGTGCTAGCGGCAGCCTCCTGCAGATTGGACCCAAGGGTATAGTGTGGCGGTGGGAGATCTCCAGCGTATGGTTGCATGGATCTCATGTGGTCATGGTAGGAGGGGTGTGCGTGGCTGCTGTAGTGACTGGATGCCGAAGGGTGCTCGACTGCCGACCTCCATTTGGGAGCCGGTGCTGACCCATGCACACTCGACGAGCGTTCTGGTGATGACTCACGGACAAGTCGCTCCCCTGACATAGTGTATTAGTAAAGAGAAGACGTAAGATTCCTTCATATTTGAAACTCACAATCGGGATCACCCTTCAGGAAAGAGTCGAGGACCTGCAGATGGCTTGACACCTGCTTGCGGGTCCTCCGCTTGCCGGTCAACTTGAAGATGTACTCGGCAATCAACTCGTTGCGGCCATACGATTTGCCCCTTTCAGACCACTTTCTCCGACCCATGGGAGGGTTTGCTTCGAGGGCTGGAATCGGCTGTCAGCTTGTGGCCAATGCATCACTATAGTGGTATAAACCTACCCTGCTGGAAAGCGTCCTCTAACTCGTCAGACCATACCGGCTCTCCATCCTTCCCAGTATCACGACGAGGGCGAGCACGGTATTCCAAGTACTTGTGAGACTTGAGGTAGCTGCTTCGTGTCCGGCGACTTTGAGAGTTGTGCGTAACCGAGTTAAGTCTGCGAAGCTTCCGATGATGAAGCCGAGCCGCTACATGCGGATGATTCAAGCCAGTCGCCGACAAGGATTGAGGAGCATGAGGGGCAGGAGGATACTTGTAGCCAAGTTGATGGAGCGGATCCTCACGGGCAGTGATATCAGCATGAGCCAACGGGTCCGAATAAGACTGGACATTCCCAGTGGTATTCTGAAGAGCTCGATCAGAATGACCTCCAACAGCATCCAGTGACTGCTGGTTCTGAGTGACAAGGCACTCGGGTTGCCAGTCAGTAGCCATGGGGAGGGAACCAAGGACGGGCTTCTCGAAAAGAATGACAGATTCCAATGAGGATGGGACTGAGAGGCACCGTCAAATGCTTACTGCCTGGCAAAGAACGCAGCTCAGTCACAAACAACGACCTAAAGAACGCAAGATGTCAAGAGAATGTAAGAACCTGGGAAAGAGAATGTGAGAGCGAGCAAGATGGAGTTTATAGGGAACCACAACTCCCCTTTGGAGAGGGGTTCTGTAGCCCCAGTAGCGACATTGCTCCGCCAGGTCTACTTTGCCTGGCCTACGTCCCTCGAACGCCTTGTCCATACTCCTGGGCAGGTCCCGGTCCTGGCCTGCGCACATCAAGGCCGTGTGGGGAGCATAGGACCAAAGGACGACGGTAAGCCGACCTTGCCGCAGCAAATCAGGAGTCAAGACAGGGCTCGATATGAAGGAAGTCATCCACGATGCAAGGGATGCTCAGCAGCACGAACCAGTGATCAGTGGGTCGGAGATTTTGTACAGCACGAAGTGACCTTCAAAATCCATCGCTCGGACCAGCATCAACAAAAAAACATAACAATCAGTGGCAATCATGGCGTCGCAGGAATGTTGGTGGTCCAACGACATCGTCTTCTCGCACGGGACGTGGAATGCGCGAGCACCGCCAGACATCACCACCGGAATGCAGGCTTGGCTGATCTCTGTTGATGATAGTCCTGCGTACCATCAAAAGAATAAGCTACATTAGGGGAAATGACCCTGCAATCCAAGGCAGTTTAATTGAAGTTGTGGGGAAAAAAGAAAGGTGTAGGGTACACAGTAAGGTAAAGTAGGGTTACAGTTACGCCTGGATCAAGAGGGCACGAGACGCACGAGGGACGGAACTACTGCAGGGTAATTGACAGCCGCAAAGAACGTGTTCAAAAGTATTCAAAAGTATTCGGGGTATCTTTTTATTGCCATATTGTAGCTATGGTAGTATGCAAGTAATCGTACATGGTACATTAATCCACCTTTTCCCTGCAAGGGATGTTAACAAGCCAATCCATGGCCGCGTCCTTGTCAAAGGGAGAAGGGACGAGGGCTTCACTCTTCCTCCTGCCCTCCTACAGTGAATTTCTTGCGCCCGGCGCCAGAAGTAAGCTGTTGAAGTTTGACCCTGTCCATCTGCTCTCCTACCTTCTTCTCTAGGCGCGCGAGCTCCTCCTCGGGATCGACGGCCTCCTCGTTCACGAACTCCAAAACCAATCGTCTCCCCAGGAGATGCGTGTTTTTCAACGCGTCCATGGCATTTTCCGCTTCGCGAGCGCTTACAAAGTCTGCAAAACCGAAACCACGGGCAGTGTGATCAAACTTCTGAGGAACACGCACTGACCGAAGTTGTCCATATGCCCCAAACAGTGATCTGATATCCTTCTTCGTGGCCTGGAATGGCAAATTCTTGATGATAATTTTCGTTCTGCGCGCCGCAACCTTCTTTGCGTTATCTTCGCGTCTGCGCTCCTCGGCGGCGTCCTTGCCCTTGTGAGATGCGCGAATGAGAAGTTCGTGCTGATCTAACTTGTAGCCGTTCATAGCCGAAAGAGCAGCCTGGGCTTGAGCTTTCGTTTTGAAATCCGCAAAACCGAATCCCATGCTGAGAGTCTGTCCTGGTCGCTTCGGATCGGGTTTGGTCTTGATGCGACCGGTGATAAAGCCGTCCAGGGATCGGAACACTTCCAGGAACTTCTCATTGGTGGTTGAGAAGTTGAGGTTCTTTACGAAAAGTGTTGTGGTTGCTACGCTGTCGTCGGCCTCATCTGCAGCAAAGGTGTCTGCAGTTGAGAATCCTTGATCCTTGCCCCGAGTCTCGGGAGCAAGTGCGCGTGGAGCCGCTGAACCATCGAACAAATTCTTCGGCGCCTTCTCCAGGAACAGGATGGAATCACCCATCTTGCGGTATGCCATACCCTTGAAAGCCCTTTGGGCCTCGTCAGGTTGCGCAAACTCCACTATAGCAATAGTGCCACTCGGTGGCATCAACAGTCGGATGATCTTGCCATATGGTTCGAACAGACTCCTAAGCTCTGCCGATGTGACACCGTAGGAGAAGTTCTTGACCAGAATAGCCGTATTGCCACGCTCACGCTGCTTGAAAGCATCGATATTTACCCCATTCGAGGCAAAGTAGGCTTTCGTTTCTTGAATCACATGCGTTTCAGCATGTGCTTGCTTGACGGCAGCGTCTGAAGAGGTGGGATCAAGCAATTCAGATTTGGAGACTCCCAGCCTTCCAGCCACTGATGACATTACAGCATCGGCCTATATTAAAATTAGTTTCAGTGTCTAGTTATATGGCACAAAGGTAAACTCACGTTCATGTACAGGGAGTTCCAGCTGAATGAGGACCCAGCGGCGTTTTGTTTCCGCTTGATCTCCCTTTGCTTTTTCAGGGGAAGCTTTGACAATTCGTACTCGTCAATCTTGTATGTCTTCTTCGCAGAAGCAGGCAAGATATGGAGTAAACGACCCTGGAAATGCTTTCCATCAAGAGTCTGGTAAGCATCAATGGCCGCATCGGCATCGCAGTATTGCACATAAGCAAAACCTTTGCTGGTTGTGGAGCGGGTGTCAAAAGCAATATGAATCTATATCCAATTAGTACCCAAGGTCATTGAATGTAATGTGTGAATGTGCAAAAGTGGGTTTGAGTTGGCTCTTTCAGATAGTCAAGAAGCATCTACTAAAATCTCTTGTCCTGGTAACATCATATGCAATTTGCATCAGATGTCCCTATCGGGAAAGTCATCATACGAGCACTCGTGGCAAGCAGGCTGAAAGCCAGCTGCCCGGTTGGAGGGAACATGTTGGGCAGTGTTGAAAAACCAAGTTAAAAAAAAAGTACTAACCTCTTCAATCTTTCCAAAGCGTTCAAAAATCGGTTGGAGATCCGATTCTGTTGTGTCGTATGCGAGATTTCTAAGGAACAAACGGGCGGAGTTCCGAATAAGATCAATATTCGGATCTTCCGGCGTTGCCTTGGTGATGCTGTCAACGTCAGTCGTGTTGGGCGCAATTTTCTCAATGGCCGCAGTGCGCGATTCCTCGTCACGCTGCGGCAACTCATCGTCAGACGAGGCAGGTGAAGCAACTTTGGTTGACACAGTAGTAGTTGTAGCAATCGGCGCGGCGGCCTTGTGTTGATCAAACTCATCTTGCTCTTCCTCATCGAGAAGGCCCAACAGACGACTCGTCTTAGACCGTAGCCAATCTGCATCAGATATAGGTGCAGCCTCCACTTCAGGCTCCGCAGAGTTGTCCTGTTCAGGTGTTTCTTGAACCTCCTCTTCCTCACTCTTGTCAATTACCATAGGCTCAGGCTGCTCAGGCTCTGCTACCGTAGGATGTTCTTCTGTCCTTGCTTTTTTCCGGTGTGAAGGCAACTCCTGGATCTCTTCTTCCTGTGCAGGTTGGTTAATAATGGGAACAGTGTCCACAGCCGGCTTGATCATTTCATCATCATTGGCCCATGTCCGAGTTTTTGATGAAGATCCCATAAGAGAAAGGTACTCTTGTAGCTTAGGGTCTTTCTCGCCGTCCCTCTTCCGCTTGAGGTTGTTATCCAACGATGCATCATTAACATTCGTAGTATCACGTCTTCGTGTGGGGTGAGCATCCTCAGCGTCATTTGAATCAATCTGTAATTATACGGGTCAGTCTCAAGACCACCTTAATTGGTCAGCGTGCACAGGCGAAAGGAGAGTGGCTGAAGCAAAAGAGCTGAGAAGTGACATACCGGACGAGCGATGTCTACAGCGATCTTTGACATCTTCATATATGTCTTGTTGAAGTGCTTCACAGCTTGTTGGGCAGCCTCATGGCTCTTGAAGCCAACGAACCCCATCCTACGTTTGGGTAGGACATGAGCATCGGTGACTTGAAAGCGAGTTGCAAAATGTTTCTTAAGCTGATCATTAGAGCATGTGGGTGGGAGACCACCCACGAACACTCTTGTGCTCTCCATTTTGAGATTTTGTGATGAGTGTGAAGACTCGAAGTTTGTATGAAAAAAACTTTTTTTTCTTCTTTCATAGTGCCGCGGGCGGTCTGATGTGCGGGCGGTGTGTTTGTCTACCGGCAATAAAGTTACCCTGGCTGCTTCACGTTATCGCGAGATTACGCTACCCAGTCTCTTTTGTATCGCATCACCAAAACACCCCTCTGAAGTTCTTTCAATACCGCGACTACTAACAATGGCACTCCCCCAGCCGAGAAGAAGGAGCCTATGGAGGGTAAGTCTGTCCTTCGTGAGTTTAGTGGCTAAGTGCTAAATGCTCCGTGCAGCGCAGATTAAGTCTGTGGACATGGTAAGGACACTCATGAGGAAACGCAACGGTCAATTTATTCTGACACATCTTCTAGACCGAGGATATGCAGCAGGAGGCTATTGCCCTTGGTATGAAACATTGAGCGCGCTCTGGATAAACAATGCTAACATACCCCTCAGCCATCGAGGCCACGGAGAAGTTCAGAGTTGAAAAGGTATGCGCACTTCTCAACTACCTGATATGACCATGATAATAACAATTTATAGGATATTGCCCAGTACATCAAGAAAGAGGTTCGCCAATTCTACCCCGCGCCGATCGCACTTCTAACCCCATACATCAGTTTGACTCCCGCAAGGGCGCTACCTGGCACTGCGTGGTTGGTCGTAACTTTGGAAGCTTTGTTACCCATGGTCTGTGGATACTAGAACCCTTATGTTGATAGCCAGAGATTAATATTTTGTTCAACAGAAACCAAGCACTTCATCTACTTCTACCTCGGACACTGCGCCATTCTGCTCTTCAAGACCCAGTAACTGCGATTGATATGTCTACGCTCAATGTGCTACACTGGCGGGGAGGTGATATCCGGAAAAATGCGTTTTTCAAGCGACTCTTTTGTCTTCTAATATTTGGTCTTTGGGGCTGTTATCCTATGGTGAACAGCCATTAGTGAATTAAGCGCATCTGCCCAAAATACATAAAACAATCAAAAAAAGCATTGCCCGAGTTTAGGTCCTCGGAGAGAACTTCATGCACTACACTAAAAGTATCTGTATAATACTCGATAGTCTATGGGTGCCTGTTGGAATCGACAATCACATGTGCTTTTTTTATACAGGGGCGCTTAGCCAATCAAGCACCAGTATAGCTCACGTCACGTGTCACTTTGCCAAGGCCGCCAAGCCACAGCGCCACACCCCCAATCCCGCTGCCTTCGTTTTTGATCGACCTTCAATTCCTCAAATAGCTCTCATCTCTCTGTTGATTCTCTTTCGTAATTGTGTGCCAACTTTTCCCCATCTCGCGATCACCATGGCCTTCTGTATTACATTCGGAACGCATGGTAAGTCCTCTTGTTTTGACCCAGAAACCAGAGTGGACCCTGTCCCAGGAGTTATATTAAGTGACGGGTATCGCATCCGTGACGTTGCGAATATACCCTGTCATACATATTGAGCGAGATACTGACGATAAATACAGAGTTCTCTTCTCAGCTAGAGGGCTATGAACATGTTCGCGCATACTGTTACAACTGTAAGTTCTGACGTCAGCGGTCTATTAACCCTGTGATGGTTTATTGATTCTCCGCTTTTAGGCCAACATTGGAATGGTCACTGCATCACCCGATGGTATGTTTATCCCCCAAAATACTCAACCAAGATAGTTTGAACTTATCTAATGCTTCTTCCAGGCCCTTTTTCACTGTTTGCTTCATTGTGAGTTCATGCTCGGCTGAACATCGTCCTGAGAAGCAGTTCCAGATATCTAATTCTCACCTTGCTGCAGCCGTTGATTCCCCTTGCTATGCACAAGTACAAGGTAAATACGGTTTTATCAATTATGTTTTGACTCTGTTATTAACGTACTATATAGGAGGTCCAATGCTACACATGCCGTTATACACAAGACCTACGGTAGGCTTTACCCTGAAATAATCAGATACCACTGGCTCGGTAAGCTTGGTATTAATACTAACAATGACTACATCAGTGACCGGCCTGACATTACGCCTGACACACGACCTCCGGCAGGCATGCAATATGGCATCCAACCGCCCCCTCAGGCTCAAGGAGGGTGGCAGCAACAGCCTCCTCTGCAAGCTCCACCTCAAGCACAGGGTGGACTTGGATACAAATGAGTTTCCAAAGATGCTCAAATTCCACTAGCATGATGACGCAGTAACTTTTACGGGTATGGGAGGCAGAAGGAGGGTGTAACAGGAGACGCATGTTGCAGCTTAATACCGCGGATTTACCCTTTGGCGTTGGGTACTTTTGTATTTTGTTTTCATTTGCTATCAAACTTTGAAGTTTTATCTGATCAGCCTAGCATGTTTTGTTTCTCATAATGAATATACATGGTTGTTATAGAATGTTACCTTGCTACCACGAACTATCTACCCTGATTGGAACACGTAATAATTAAGCGGGTGAAGTTCAAATTCAGATAAACTAGCAAGTAGGGGTATATGTAGCCGTAAACAAGATTATTAAACCAGGACCAAAGCGTAAAGAGATGGTCCAGTAAAAGGTAGCGCCGTCAAGAACCTCAAACCTCTCTCTCCGAGGCCTTCTTATCCTTCTCGCCCAGATTTGTAGGCGTCGCAACCCCAGAAGGCGTAGCCACATCATCAGCCCCAGCCTTCGTACCCCGGTAAACCTTAGGCTTCTTCCCCACAAGATCAAGCGACATCATCCGCACAACACGAACAATGCTCGCCCGTCCCTCGTACAACGGGAACACCACAACACCAAACAGGGTAACGAACAACCAAATAATTCCAACAACAACCCAACCAGTGAAGAACTTCCTGCTGAACACATACGACGATCCGTACATCGGAATCGGCCAGAGGATCAAAAAGGCAAATGCCATGAACACTGTCAGCGTGCGCGCGTAGAGTGCCGAGCGGTTGAGCAGGCGCTCTTCTTCTTCGCTCTCGTCTTGCGAGGGACCCATCTCGCCTGGAACTAGTTCCAGGTCGACATGAGCTTCGGCGGCGACTTCTGTATCGTCGACTTTGCGGATTGCGCGCATGGATTCGTAATCGTAGTTTTGGGGGCCGAAGATGTAGGTGAAGAGTGGGACGAAGATTACTGGGCTGAGGAGGGCGGCGACATTGCCGGCAAGCATGGGGTAGCTAGAGCAGTTTGTTAGAATTGAGTTTGTAGTATGGACGTTGGGAAGGGAATGCTTACTTGGCACCGGTGGTGTCGACAGTTAGAGTTCCGTATTGCTTCTTAGCGGTAACCAGCCAGGCAATGAGGGAGACCGCCAGACCAAGGGGTGGTGAGCAGGCTGCTGCGATACGGTTCTGTCCCTTCCAGAGGAGGGTCATGGCACCTGGAAAGACAGCGGACGAGATGATCACACCCATCAGCAGGTAGAGATATCCCATACCAATGCCAGCGTAGTAGAGACCGGTCGCAAAGCCCGCCATGATGATTGAGTAGACGACGCAGGACATGTGCGAAATCCAGACCAGTCTCTTGCCCTTGGCACTTGGGTTGATGTAGGCCGCGTAGATATCGTAGGTGAAGATCGAGGACACAGCGATCAGCTGAGCCGAGAATGCGGATGTCACAGCCATGAAGATCATCAGTGTAGTTGCAACAGCACCGCTGTAGCCGAGCAGCTTGACAGCTGCGAAGGGGAGAACTAGTCCGGCGGTCACATCACCAGAGCTCATGCGATTTGAGCCCTCTAGTGCCAGCGCCGAGAGACCCATTGTGCTGGCGCAAAGCCAGGGAATTGCGAACCAGCAGATACCGCCAATCACGTATCCTGGGAATGCGTGGACGGGGCTGGCGGCGATAGCCTTGTTGTAGTATCCGTTGTCCAAGAACACTGTACCGAAGTTTCCAACTAAGTTGATAATCCAGAAGATGCCACCCTCCTTAGAGCGCATAGTAAGGTAACTGCCTTCCGCGTTACCCTCAACCGGGTGACGCTGGGAGGCTGCAACGAGCGCATCGTACACCTTTGATGGAGATCCTAGCTCGGCGTTTGTGGCATAAGCGGAGAAGGCGAAGAGGAAGATGACAACCAGGATGACTACAGTGTGCAGGTAGTCTGTGATGAAAGTAGCCTTAATACCACCGAAGAGAGTATATAGCACCACGCCAATCGGGAGTAGGAAGCAGGCTGCTGCGGTGGGCACTCCAGTCAAGGAGGTCATCACGGCTGATCCACCGGTGAGCAACATCGCGGTAACCAGAATGTTTGTCATCAAGCAGAATACGATGAACACTATGTGCACAAGAGTCCCATAGCGAGCACGTATGACTTCCAAGAAAGTGTGTGCATTCGGCGCACGGCGTTTGAGCTCGATAGCTAGTGTTGCGAAAAGAAGAATCTGAACAGTGGCGCCTATTGATACACAATATGTCAGATATAGAACTTTTCGAATCATACTTATATAGCTGGAACTGACCTGATGCGTAGAAAAATGGACCAGAGACACCATATCTGTATGCGACTGCAGATGACTGGAGAAGGGTTGCAGCCCATGTCCAACTACTAACAACGGCGGCGGCAACCAGTCCTGATTTGACGGACCGGCCTGCGGTTGAGAACATTTCAGATGTTTGGACTTCATTTTGATAGCTGTGTAGAAGTATTTTGTTAGCTCATGCGACTGTATGAAATGAAGCATCGAGACCCACCGTTTCAAAGCCCAAGTAATAAAGATCATCAGCAGAGCAAAGGCAAAGCCTAGTCCCAGGATAATTCCATATCCAAAGCTTTGGGACAAAGGCGCTGTGAAAATAACCCCGTCGGACGACATATCGTAGACGTGTATAACCAGGGACCTCAAAAGGGTATATAGCCAACAACAGAGGAATAAATGAGAAAGATGTTGGCAATATGCCTCAAATTGGGAATCAGCGACTAATGCTCCAATTGATATGGAAAGTACACTTTATATAACTCTCCAATACTGACTTGGCATATAAAAATATCAAGCTCCCCAGATGCGGACGATAGCAACCTCATATAGGGCCCGGACGCACAGCATCAAGAACATAGCACGGACTCCAACTCCGAATTCGCACAACCCGGGGGAAAATTTGAACCAGCATGACGATCGCTGACCTGAGCTTAGATAGGGATGCTGCATGTTGATTGTTAGATAAGGGCATGCTCTCGTAATGCCATGGCGCACATGGCAGGGATGTGGACCGTTTAGGTACGCCACTAGAATTGGAGAACCAACATCTCACTGGAGAACTGCACGGAGAATTTCAAAGAGCCACTCTGCTGTCCACGGGTGAAGTACAAGGAAGGTTTTCACCGAGGGTATACACGTCGTCAATCATTGGTTGGTGCAGGCTGTTATCAGTTACCTTTTTAGGGTACTGCGGTTGGGTGGTTGTGATTGGCTGGTAAAGATCTAAGATAAGACCCGTGGGTGGACATTACCAGTCGGCAAACTCGCGACACTAACTGGACACTAGACGGTTGCAATTTACCTGTGAGACTGCCGATGCACATAAATTTGCCGATTGAAGTGGGAAATATCGGAGTGTCCCGGCTCCAAAGAAGCTTAGTGCTGATCAAGATGTGCTTGGCAGTGAAGGTTACTCATTCTTATTAGAATACTTTGAGATCCACTATCTCCCCACGTCCACTTTAAATTCTGTTAAACGTTATATTATTACCTAGCTTAATCAGACAGTTTCAATTAAGCGTTGGCTTTACCAAAGGATGAATTAAATTCGTTATCATAATCTTCCCGACCTCGGGGACCTTAGTCTGTAGGCTGCGTACCCGTATTCTCATCCTACCTAGACTCTGTCATCAAGCCACAACCTTATTAATGGACCCTTTATAGGATTATTAAGCTATCGGAATTGAAAATAATACCAACTTATCTCTTTTAGGAGAATTTGTTCTCTATTTGGTACCCTTGTGCAACTGGTGTGGATATGTATATATATTTACATAGGGTGTGGAGCTATGCATGAGAAATATAGCCTTGGAATTTATATTTGACAGATTATAAGTGTGAGAAAAGGAACTAAAAAAACGCTATGCAGAACATATTTACTCCATAGTGCGAGCTACATTCAACCCAATAGATGAAAAAGACCACCCTGTGAAGAAAGCGGGGACTATATTCCAAATCTAGATTCTAGATTGTACCTTAATTGAAGATCGATCCAAGGGACACAGGAGATAAGGTTGTCAAACAATTCTAATCCTAAAATTTAAATCGTATGTGAATCAAGGGTCAGGGCTTGGCTTTGGTGTGTGAGCTATGGTATGGCCTGGAGCCCCTAGCTTCTTCATCCATCGATTCTTGCAGTCACCTTCGCGGGGTTTCCACTCGATAACTACATGCGCAGCAACCGTATCATCACTAGAGTCTACATCTCGCTGCTATGTTTTGATAAATGGACGTTATACGGAGGGGGAATGGGTTTTCATATATCATAGAAAGACGATGCAGAGAGTTGTATAGTGGCCACAGTTTCGCGGGTGGCTAGACTCCATAGATAGCTCTACAAGTGCCTGGTCTCCCACAGCGCCGTTCACATTCCCTTGTTGACCATTCCTATAACCTCTCCCCGCCCACCCCCAATGTTCCGCAGAAGAATAAAAGTTCATCCCTGTCTACGGCAGGTTTGAGACGCCATCGCGCCAGCCCATATAATTCGTTTACCGCCTTGCCCTCACCTGTGCACTTAGAAGGACTCTGAAAGACGCCCTAAGGGGTAAAAGCAGACTTATTCTATCCCTTTCTCTGGATGTGATATTAGTACGAGTGAAATTCGTACTATGGGTATAGATTGTTAATTAATTATTAAGAAGAATAGTCGGCCGCTTATGCTCTTTTTAGATGCCCTTTCAGGCGTATACAAAGGCAGTCAAAATAAGCTTATTCTACGCCAGAGAATTTTCTATGTATAACCTTTGAATTTTCTGCCTGGCAAAAGCCGTTTGGTGCGATGGCGTCTAAAACCTGCCGTAACCCGCCCAGCACTATTATGTGTCGTGTTCTATGATCTCAAATCCGAAAGGAAACTTTGTCCCCTCATTCTCAGCCGCTACTAGGGTATGGTGAGAATCTCAACAGGTATGCATTGATCTGAAGTTTTCACTCTATATTCCTATGTTGTCTTTGCCGAGTACAACTGCCAGAACATGCCCCGCCTACTCAAAAGCTCTTGCGGTGCTCCTAATTCAGATACTGTACCGTGGTTCATGACCATGACCAGATCCGAGTCTATCACAGTATTGATTTGATGAGTAATTGAGATTATAGTCCGCCCTTTCAGCTTCTCATGAAGAAGCCCTATGACCAACATTTCAGTATGTTCATCGAATCCGGCCGTAGGCTCATCCATGATGACGATCCTGCCAGGAAATAGAATAGCACGGGCAATGCATAAAATCTGCCTTTGGCCATTGGATAGATTCGTTGCATCGATGTTCGCACTCAGGCCACCATGGTCTCGAATTTGACACCAAAGTCCTACTTCCTTCAATGCAGATACCATCGCCGAATCACCGATAGTCGATGTTATTCCCAAGGCAAGGTTTTCACGGATTGAACCGGGAATAGCCAATGGTTTTTGAGAAATTGGAACCAATTCAGAGTGGAGCTTCTCTTTGGGAAGAGTTGAGATATCGATCCCGTCAATGAATATTTCGCCAGACGTGATCGTCACGAGAGAGAAAAAGCAAGCAAGCAAAGAACTCTTTCCACTGGTCGAGTTTAGTCGCCACTCATTATAAGGGCTTTGCTAGCCTTACCTTCCGGCTCTCCCACAAATACCTAGTTTCTGGCCGCCCTCTAGGCTAATTGAGACACTTCGCAATGTAGGGGTGGAAACATGTCCCCTAGGAGTAATCTTAGCCCTTGGTTCAATTGACTTGCCTCGAAAGTGATGCTCAAACAAAGAATTACCCATATGACGCAGAAACCCTTCGAAATTCCACTCGGCCTTCCCACGGCCAACCCTCTGGACAAGCTATCTCGTTCCTAGCCAGTTGTAGTTGCAGGTCTGTCACAAATTGTTTGACTCTCATGATTGCCCCTAGGGAAGTCTCCAACTGTGTCCAGTTCGTGATTAACGATGTCAATGTTGCGTTGAATGAAAACAGGTTCACAAGAGCAACGCCGAGGGCTCCAGAGCTAGTCTTCTTGCTCACAAAAATAGCCAATGTAACTAGAACGGTCGCAAGCCCTGCCATAAGCAGATCCAAAACAACCTGCAGCCACTGCTGGATGGAGTATATAGTGTAAAATGGCTTCTGGGACTTGTCGAGGAGCTCGGCATTTTGATTTTGATCTGCAAATTCTTGCTGCCAATGAAGTGCACGGATAGTTATAAGACCCTCTGTGGTTTCCAAAAATTGGGCGTAAAGGGGAGCCTTTGCTTCTAGATCAAGGGGTCTGATCTGCCGGGAAGTACGCAAGTAGAAAGCCTGGATTTTCCATACTGCCATAATGCAGAAGGGGATTACAACAGACATGTAACCTGATCCAGCAGCTATCAAGGCGCCTTGTGCGATACAAGTCAAAATGTCTGTTCAAGAGTCAATATGATTAAACAACCTTGAAGGATCGGAGATCATGAACTCTGAAGACTTATGCCGAATGCAACAGGAAGCTGCATGTCAAGAAGTGACATGTCCTAGCTAAACCTAGAAGGAATCAGCATTCATTGAAAATAAAATTTCGTGGCGTCTCTCGGATATCGTACCTATTGATGAGACCACCTGTATCCATACGAGCCACGCTGGGCCAAGGTGCTCTAGAAAGCTCTTTAGTAAGAAATCCAGACCTGAATCTAGTGGGTCTCAATCTCTCACCTCATGATCGCGTCCAGAAAAATTCTATGTAGCTGGACAGCTGACCTGGGAACAGCCCAGACAAAAAAGAATCTAAGATGCATGAGAACTCTCCACGAACATATTGAGTGAAGCGCGTTAAACATACCCAATAAAAGCGGCCATCGCAATCATAGCAATAGATGATATACCGACGTAGGAGCCGAGATATATGTAATTCTTTTGGGGGGCTGAGCCACACCACCAGCTCAGTATAACCTCTGGAATGAATATTTAGCAACTATTTCTCTGGATAGGGAGGGCCGTGGAGATACTTACGCGGAAAGGAAATGCAGAACACGAATATAGATGCGAATACCACCGTTAGCCAAAATACCCACCAGCCAAACGATCTGATATAGTAGGCGTAGAGCGAGATGTCCCCTACTCCGAGAAACGTTCTCCTAAGGAAGATGTCGAAGCTGCTTGGTTCGACAAGGCCTATGGGTCGAACTAAATCACAGAGTATGTTGGTTCCTTCTCAAGAGCATTTTACTGGAATTGGTCGCTAATCCCGAGTACAAGAAAGTAGGGCTCGGCTTTCAGGTACTGCGCGATATTGCCGGGTCATTCAATGTGATGATCAGTTACGACAACGAGCATTTGTGAAAGGTCGATGGCCTTCCATGGTGGCTTCTCGTCTACGTTGCATGGAAGGCTATCTATGTAATTTGAGATTTCTTATTTTACTCTTCATGTCGCTCATTGGATGCCTATTGCTGAACAGCCAAAGATAGACAAATCAGTCTGTATACCGAGGTACCTAACACTAAGTGAGGCGTGAATCAGTAGCCGAGATTTCTCATTTTAGCAATCTTTAAATTCATCATCAGTATCTTTGCAGAAAGGTAGCGCGGGATGTAGTCTTCCACTAGTCAGCTCTATCTATACGCTAGTTCGCGAAGGCGCTATCTGGCACAGACGTTGCTGCATATTCATTATAAGCTGCGAAACCTTATATCAATTGTCAGGAAGTGAGAGATATACATTGGTTAAAAGTTCTGTCAAGAACCAGGTTGCAATACATACTCAGCTGATACAGAGTCGAATACCCGAATATCACCTTACCACTGGTACAAGTCATACCATACAAATGCGTATATTACTAGTACAGTTGTCCGCCATTATTTTCACTTTAGAGAATTCAATATGTAGGTATCCCTCGGAGGTCACTAACAGGTCCATCCAACACATCCTGGTGTACTTAGAATATTCCCGGTATTTGCGCTGACGCAGATGCTTTCAGAACCGAGCAGTACAGCGATATTATATAGTATTCTGCGGGTCAAAATACATTTATTGAGAAGCTAGCCTTGGAGATTTATGCGGTTACCAAGAACAACGAGCGATAAATGGCTTCATGGCTGCACAATTCTACTTGATGCTATCTGAGGAAGGGAGACTTATGAGGAGATCAATAATGTTGAACTGACTGTGTAAATGTTTGAAATCTCTCATGGTTATTTGGTCTCTCTGTAAAGTGTTCTCACGGCCTTTTCCTTTCCTTCTCTTTTTATAAGCTCTATACTAGATAGAATAGATTCCTCTATTCATTACCTGGTGCTGGCGATGGGAGTCAAACGGCGGCATGCCACTTCTAATTGTGTTCTTTTGTCATGAATCAATACATGGATGGGTAGGTAGCCCCATATACAACAGTACCCAGTGGTTCAATGACTATAGAATGGTAGCTGGGCCCTTCTTCTACAGACGCAACATTGAAACTTCAGTTGAGTGTATGTTCGAGCCGTATGGGGGGTACCAAGGAGAGAGGTTATTCTAGGTGCATTGCCTTGGGCATTGAAAAGGAGAATAGAGCCTATTTGCCATCCCATGTACTCTGAGCCACCTCGAGATTCAGCATAGAGGTTGGGTGAAACTGACCAGAAGCTTGATAATCTACAAATATACCAGGAAAGCAAATTCAATGCCAGGAACAGATTCAATCAAGTCTTTATATTGTACAGACAAATGTCTGGATAGAACAGACACCACCCATGTTTCAGTCCAAGCTGCCACAGCCACAGCACGTTCCAGCGCATGATATCGCCAGGAAAAGAGCCAATGGACATAACACAGACAGAATAAGACGGATACACGACCTGACTAGTTCTACCCAGAATGACCTATACAGCAGATAGGTCGATGAGTAACTCTCTTTTGCAACGCAAATGAAAACACCACACACATCAAAATGAAAACGGAAACGGAAATGGAATCACGCCAGTTGTTTCGGAAGGGTTGATTTGGTTCCAGCGCCACCAACGAGAAATGGCCCAAGGGTCACGGGGTATAGGAGTGGGTAAGTGAGATGGTAGGAGGAGAGGAATATTTGAGGTCGGGAAGCACGCAGCCAACACTCGAGATAGACAAATAGTACACGGAATTGCTATCTGACGGGGTATCAACTGCGCAACTGAAGCTGATCAAGTGCTTAAGCAGAGAACTTGCGGGTGATCTTGGCGATGACTAGAGAGAAGAAAGCAATTAGCAACCAATGGTCCAACCACAACTCCAAGCATCCATTTCATCTCCAGTGGTGAATTCTTACCGTGAAGACCAACAACGGAGAAAATGAATCCCAGACTCAGGACGAGGACAACAACGGGGTCGACGCGGAGACCGGGGCTCTCATCGGTGTAGAGCTTGAGCATGGTTCCGGACGAGCCACCAGCGCCGGCAGAGCGGGTGGAGCTAGGACGAGCATTGCGCAGAGTCTCCTTGTGGTCGGCAGTGGCACGGCGGCGCATGGCAGCACGAGGACCGCCGGGGGTCGAGGGAGAGGAGGGACGGCCGACGGAGTTGCCAGTGGCTGCGGCGGCACCGGACTTTGAGTCAGGGCCGGACTCGGCGCCTGAGGTGAGGGGAGAGGCTGGGCGGGGGGAAGCCTGGTGATGCATTGTGTTAGCCATGGGATGGACGGATTGAGGAATTGGCTAGATAGTTCGCAATGGGTTGTTGGGTTGGTGGTGGATGGGGCAAGCTGGCTTGATCGTCGGATTGACGGCTGATGGAGCTCGGTTTTGGGGTAGATGAACTTACCATTGTGATTAATTGGGTGTGGAAGAGTGTAGAGGGATAAAAAAAGGTATTAAAAGAAAGATGGAAAGACAGTTCAAGAAGAAAGGAAAGAGGGAGCTTGAGAGAGTCTGAAAGGAGGTTTGCGGAGTTGAGGCCACGATCGCGGTTTCTTGGGTAATACCGTATTTGACTTGTCAACCCCAGCAGTTGGGGGCGGATTGGGTGGTAATTGTCAGTAATTACAGTACATAATGATCCACCAATCAGAACGATTCGGCGCACATTACTGCAATAGCACGACTTATCTACGAGACATTCGTTAGCGAGTTGAAGAAGTTGATTTAGTATAAGTATATGTACGAATATGTTACATTTTTGATACGCAGAAATGGCAGTGAGGAGCAATATTCATGTTCCAATACCACCGATATCCTGTGTCCCTACAAGGTACTAAGAATGAAGTATGATATTGTGGAATCAATTACATTAATATAGCTACTAGAATACCATCCACGTGTCTAGTCCATTGAATTAATAAGAAAGACTAGCTCACATTAATTGGAAAAAGCATTGATGGTTGTCGTAAGACATGGAGAACACCTCCGGGAATCAAATCATCCAGATAACGCCGTCGGTGCACTCGTGTAGGGGGGGGTATGAGATATGGGGTATGGATATGAACATGTAAAGGGGATCAAGGAAAGTAAAATCACAGGAATTTTGACAGCTCAGAGCCAGAAAAGATGGGGGGATGATGGGTAGAGCACATTCGACGGGGATGAGGTATCATACTGAGTCGAAAGCCCAGAAGTAAGAAAACAAAATGCACAAAGAGATCAGGCTAAATTTCAATGTGTCCACACAGACACGAAGTACACAGATTAGAAAAAAGACAGACGCTCCAAAACTCAACGCCGCGGGAAATTACTTATAGAAACACCACCCTTTGTTCGCACCGGGTGATCAATCGATCATCATCCGTGATGGTACTTGGGTAAGGTTCGAAGAGAGCTCGGTTGTCTTTGCTGCTTCCTTGTTCTTCTTCTTGTTGATGTGGGGCTTCAAACCGCGGTTGAAGTTGTGAGTGCACAGGCAGGCGTTGATGATAGTGATCACAATCAGGATGATGGTGATGACGGCGAAAAAGGTCATCGATGGTCGAGCGGGCAGGTATTTGAAGTAAGTCAGCGCGGAGTACATCCGGAACAGCTTGAAGCAGAAATATCCCATCGCGGCGAATAAAAGGAGCTAGTAAGGTCATTAGAAGCCAAATCAACATTGCTAGTATTTTCGACTTACAATGATAATGATCATGCCAACCATGGTCTCTCGGCGCACAAACCAGGCGCCACAGACCAAAATAAGAATGGTCACGGGGATGGCAGCCACAGTAAGCGCAAATTCAACATCCATGCTGGCCGAGGAGACCAAGACGAGGAACTGCACCGTAAAGCCCAGGAAGAAAAAGAAATCGAATTTCAAGAGAGCGATATAGATCTATGTTATAAGCGGTTAGTCGTGTTGTGGATGGGGGAGGTCGAACCAAACACAAACCTGATAGGTGAGGTAGCGACGCTTCATTTGCAGATCGGCACTGATATGCTTGTAGATGGTCCATGCGAACTCGTCGTAGAGCTTATAGGCCACGAAAGTGATCAATAATGTCCCCAATGCCACAATGCATGGAATGATGATGAGGAACGGCTCGGACTGAGCCCAAACAATCGGACTGATCATATTCATCAAGGCCAAGGTAGAGACCGCCTCTCGAATTTGTTTCACTTGAACGGCGCCGTAGATCAAGAGACCAACATTGCAAAGACACAGTCCGATGACCTGAATTGTATTCTTCATGCGCAGCGCATCATATACCAGCACAAGTTCGTATAGGAAACCGAAACCGTAGAGGGCGAGGAAAGTAGGGATGGTTTTCGAAGCGGGACTGTTGTTGGGGATTTCTTGAATTTGGAAATTTGCGAAGATGTAACTAGAAAAACCACGACGTTAGTGGTTGCTTTCCGATATCCGCTTCGAGCGGAGTTCCATACCTTTCCAGGCTGAGTGTCACGACCGTTTGGACGAGTGTGACGATCGCAAAGGACCACGTCCAATGTGTATTTGGGAGGTAGCACATCCTGTTATTATTGGTTGAAGGTGTGACATTAGTGTATCCCTCTCGTGCGCGAAACCCTCCTGGACCTCGTCGAAAGGCGGGATCGAAAGACCCCCTAGAAGAGAGGCGCGCGACCCGTGTGAAGGAATCTTGCCGAGAGGCTCCGTGGTGGAGCTCAAGTCGGCGGGATGGTGAGGGAAAGACACGATGACGGTGTGACCACCTGACGGTGGCTTTCGCTTTTATAAGACCGGTGGGAAATAGGCCCGATACGGGGGAAGGGGCAGATCGAAACAACCGGAGGCTCGTGTGCTTCTTGTGGCTTGGCAATTTAGTTGGCCTCAAGCCGGGATTCGTCAGGAGACGTGATTTGATGCAGGTCTCAACAGGGGCATGCGACCGTCAGGCAGACTGCTCGAACCAGTTGAGTCGAATTAATGATAGACAATGATTTCTCTTTTCATTCCGTTTGTTGTTTGTTGTTTGTCTTTTTTTAATAAGAAAATCCCGCGGTGTTCCGAATTGTCAGGCGGGGGGTGTCGAGAGAATGTGTATGGAGCGACCGTACAGTGTCAAATGCAACCCTTGTAAAACAAAAAAGGGAGGGAATAAGGAACGAGTGACAGGGAGAAAAAGAAAGTTGAAGAAGAAAAAGAAAGGCAAGAGGATTCGAGACGGGAAAGTAGGGGCACATCTGGGGTTCAGAGTTGTCCACATACCATGGGGCGGGTCACACATTACGCAGTATGCAGGCTCCTACGATGTACACTATGGAGTACTCCGTAACTGACCGTACTACAAGTACGGAGGACTAGGTACTATGCTTACTACAAAGATTCTAGACGCATCGTAGAGGTCCCTGGAAAAAAAAACAGTTTCTCCAGCGACCCGAACGAAGCCACACTATTTTTGCCAACGCCTTTTTTTTTTTCTCCTGATTCGAAGCTGGTGGAGTAGACCCCATCGACATGCGACAGGTACCAAACTTAGACGAGTCTGGACTCTCTCTCTTGTTTTTATTTTTTGTTTTTTTGTTTATTAATTCTTCTCTTGTTTTTGTGTCTTACGTATATCAATACTCTTCTGGTTCGTCCAATTGGTAAAGAGAGAACACCTAGGTTCTTGAACAGTTCAACACCTTATAAAAAGTAGGCTGTCGCCTAGGCGGGCCCCCCGCCGGCCGCCCGGTCCATTTAACTTACTTAATCCTGTCACTATGAGTGGGTTAGGTCAATCCATACCCTCCAGGGCGGATCTAAGGCCAACTTAACTTGTGACACTGGCCTGTCAATTAGTCCAAGCCACACTGAGTCCTATCCTATCCCCAGAAAGTAGTGTGGAGGTAAGGAAGTGAAATACCCATGGGTGCTGTAATACCAATTGGGGGCTGGAATGCGGCCTGACCAATGTGGCTGAGACAAGAGGTGGCTGAGGCAGTTTAAAGGTTGTCCGAGCCATGGCCCCCGACCAGGTCATCCTTGGTTCATGCAGGTGTGTTTACAGCTGTACCTCGGTACTGAAATATAATTGCATCATCACCTGTATGATCTTATTTTCATCAACGCTCTAGTTTGGTCAATTTATCACTTCATATTCATTCGCGGCCTAAAACTACAAAAGCCAAGTGCTTCCGCATGTAAAATTCGAAGGCAACGCGTCCACCGGGTTAAGCCCCAATATGTAAACCATACCTTGCAACGGGAAGATCAACGTCCATATCCATCATATCATAGTGGGTCAAAATCCATTATCGTTCGAGATTCTCAGATCCAGACCAGAGGACTTGTATCAAGTCGGATAAACGATACGTTAATCAACGCCGACACATCCCCAACCCAATCGAAGCATCTATGCACCCACATCGATGACCATATTCTAGAACATGATCGTCTCCAATCCATGCTCCAGAATTGCCCCACAACATCCACAGACGAGTGACGAGTTTTCCGACCTGGGTACCGGCACCATCTAGACAAAACTGTCCAGCCAAATCGAGAAGGACCTTTGGAAGAGAGGCACTGTATCGGGTACACAGTGCCGGATCCTATCAACAGAAAAGCCTCATAAGCTTAGCCCCTCGGGTTTCTAGTACTGAATACCCGAGCCAAACTCTCACTTACGTGTTGCGCTAAACCTGGTTCACGCGGCTAGGCGGCCAACGAGCCACAGCGGCCCGTTTGTAATATCTCGCGGGATAGCTAATTAGATCGTCACTTCCTATGTCAATACCGAGGTAAGAAAACCAGCTCAGGACTAGCTTATGCACCTGAACATAATATATGTGAACTCATAGCTTCTCGCTTAGTCCACTGCCAGGCTATTAGTTTGACCCAACGCACCATCCATCGATTATTATACCATTATGATTAATGCAGCTTTTACGGATCAACGCAAAATAAATCAGAAGTGTTTCGTGGTTTCGATTTTGGCTTCGGCTGCAGCCGCGGACTTTGTGTCCAAGAGCTCGTTGGGTGACGTCCATGGCAACCTGTACATCGGACAGATCTTTGAATGAACTTGCGGGGATAGTGATTTTTATTTGTTGTGTTCATCTTCCCTATTCACTCAGACTGTTATAGAAAGAGTCTTTATATTCCTTCCCTCTGGCATACGTCTTAGATATGAACGTGACAAAGGATCAAGACAGGGTAGCGAGCATAGAGAGCAGGCCGATGTTTATAACAATCAGTTTGTCGGAAACCCTGCCATCTCCTCATATTTCCCTTTTTAGTTTAAAGTCTCAAATCTTATCGCAACCCAAGCCCAGTCCGGACGTCCGTTGGTCGCCCTTCCCCGCACTGCGATAGCGATGATATCGGCAAATCCTAGCCGTTTGAGCATAGACTATCAAATCTCCAACTTTATGTCCATTATCTAATGGGAATTACAGGCCCTTCGATCAGATCTATGTTATAAATAAGCATAGGATTGCCTACTCGCTACTCTTGAAGACAAACCTTTCATCATCCAGAAGTCCTCTGATACGACAACAATATGCTGTCTTTGTGGGTTGGGGCAATCTTTCTTTGCGGGTGCATTGTAATCTTCGGATTCCTTTCGCCGTTGTCTACAATTCCAGGGCCATGGTATACTCGATTTACAAGCTTTTGGATTAAGTACCAGGAGTTTACTGCAAATCGACGAGAATCAGTCCACCGCTTGCATAAGATCTATGGTCCTGTTGTCCGGCTAAGCCCTAACGAACTATCGTTTACCAGCCTGGATGCGATTAAAGAGATATATGCTTCGGGGGGTAGTGGATATGACAAGACTGAGTACTATGATCTTTTCAGGCAGTTCAGGATCAAGTAAGCATTTGTACCGGAGAAATAGTTGGCAAACGCTAACTTAGGATTAGGACAATGTTTTCTACTTTATTGAAAGACGAGGTGCTTGTTCCTACTATAAATGAAATACTCGAGTGCTGACATCCACCAGCACAGCAAAAGAAAACGCATCTTTGCCGATAGATACGCCATGACCAACATCATGAAAGAAAAACCCATGGCTGTTATTCACAAACGAGCCGTGACGTTTGTATCTAAGTGTGTCGAGGCTGGCCAAAAGAGCGTGGATGTTTATGTGAGTTGTCAAGAACATTGCATCCAACATGAGAAATGCTAATATTCTTAGTCTTTGCTTCACTGTTATGCCCTGGACTGTGTCACCCATTTCATGTTCAGCCCCGGCGGCCTCAAATCTCTCAATGTAGCCGAAGACTACGAAATCATGCACGAACTGACCTATCACCAAAGTCTCCAAAGTAGGCACAGCCCAAATTTTCCATACTCCTATGATGAATAACGCTAAAAAAAAAAAAAGAAAACTTACTGGAGTATTACCTCCCTTTATTGGCACCCTATTTCCCAAGATTCCTCCACGCCCGCAGCTCCCCAAAAGCAAATCAATACGTGATAGACATGGCCGCTCAGACTGATCTCGACAGCCACTCCCTAATGGAAAAACTCAAGCGCAAAGAATCAAACTTGGAAATAATGCAAGCCGCCGCAGAATGCAAAGACCACATGGCCGCCGGCATCGACACAACAGGCGATGGTCTGTGTTTCTTAATGTGGGAGCTCTCACAGCCTCAGAACCTCTGTTTCCAGGATAAACTTTACAAAGAGCTTACGACTGCGCCGGCCAATGCACCCTTGGATAGCTATGTGTATCTCGATGCTGTCATTAAAGAGGCGCTGCGGTGTGCGCCGCCTATTCCAATGTCGCTGCCTCGCTACGTACCTGCTGGTGGGAGGGAGATCGATGGGTTTGTCGTTCCGGCGAACACTATTGTTAGCTGTCAGCCTTATTCGGTACATCGGGTGAATGACAGCGTCTTCCCTGAGCCTGATCGTTTCAACCCTGATCGCTGGCTTGTTGAGGAAGGAGCTGTTGAGCGGAATAGGCTTTTCTTTTCTTTTGCCACAGGTGGGAGGGGTTGTACGGGAAAAAAGTAAGTTGGTTTCTTTCTTTATTCTCTGGTTACTGGTGCTGATCACTGATACCGTTTATAGTCTTGCGTTGGTTGAGATGAAGATGCTGCTTCGGGAGGTGTATTCTCGTTATCGGACGACGGTGGCTTCGGATATGACTGCTTCGATGAAGCTGGAAGATCAGATCATCTCTTCGAGGCCCAAAGGACAGAGTTGTAAGCTCGACTTTGTGGACATAGAATGATACTGAATGCTCGTAGAGAAGTGGTGCTTGGCTCGCTTGCTTGATGCAACCCCGTTTAGTGAGGTCCTAGATTACGTCAAATAATATCCGATCACAAGTTGCATGCTCTCAGAAGTAGTAAAAAGGAATAATCCCAGTTTGTCTATGCGGGGGTTAGTAAAATGCTTGCCTATAAATTAAGGGGCAAATTACAATGAAGTATTGTTCGACGGCTAGGGTACCCCAAGGGGGGGGCCAGTCATGTCCTCCATAACGGCCCTGTGGAGAAGATGAGAAGGGGAGGGAGAGACGGGGTAATTTAGAAGCGGGGCAACACTCAGACCCCAAGTGGAGGTACCATTCATGGATGTCATTCAGATAACATGTGCAACCTTAGAATTACTTTGATAGGACGGTCTTTTTCTCTTCAACATTCCTAATCTAGCTTCCCATATCTCGTTCGGAATATCTCTATCTATTTAAGGTACTAGCTCCGACTCCCACCTAATATAGTCCACCACCTCCATCCACCGAATTCCTACAACAAACAATATGGCCAGTATCAAACCCGACCAATCTACCTGTCGCTTCTCCAAGCGAATCTCATTCCGATGGCTCATAACGCCCGCCGAGGAAACAACCGATACAATTGTGATGTCCGTGAAGGACTGGTACGTTGATCTGCGGATAGAAACGGCAACGGGCAAAATAGATTGGGCAATTGCCGGACAGAGGATTGTCGAGAGCGAGGAGCCTTGTAAGTGACCTATGTCTTTTACTACAAGATGCATTCAGTGAAACGATCAGGAACAACCATTTAACCAACTCAATAGTGCGGGTGACTTTCTCCCACGAGCTTGACTCTCGCAATGCCTTTGAGGCTGTTGATTGTGGTACTTTCGTGCCCTTACCAAACGGCGATAGTCTCGAGATGGGGTCGATGCCTCGTCATGATCTTCCTGGTGCACCTGACAAGGAGTATGAGGAGGTATGGCGGGAATTGCCATTCAGAGAGGGCCCCGAGGGGCCTAAAAAAGGTCTTTCATGGGTGCTAGAGTCGGATGATGGAGATCTCGGCAGTGGAGAAGAAGAGGTGACGGTTACGAAGACTTTTATCGGTCGCATCTGGGGGACTTATTTGGCGCTGAGCCAGACGCAGACTCATACGCGGCAGAAGACTGCATCTGGTGAGCTGGTTGTTAAGAAGTCGGGCGCTGATGTTAGTGCTAGGCGGGAAGAATGGGAGTCGGGGTGGAAGGAGAAGTATTTGGTCGGGGAAGCTGCGGGTTCTCTGCCGTCGATGGTGGTTGGGTTTGATGGAGAGGGGGTGGGATCTTGGAGAATTCCCGGGGAGAAAGTAGAAGTTCAAGGGAAGACGTATATCGTTCGAGCTTTTGAGGAAATTTAGCAGCACCAAGGTTTTTTTTCGATTATGACTGGCATTTGTATATATATATATATCCAAGCACAGTTCTCGTGATGTCGGAGAATTACCACCAGATCTCCTATCTTCAAGGTATTTAATCATCTCGCCATTAGACAATGGATACGATAAAAAGAACCATACTGTACCCCCATTGTCCGGTCGTACACTGCATCTATGTATCCAAGCGATGCTGAACAGAGCGGGTCGGCCTAAACCGAGAGTATAAGCTAGATTCCAGCCATGAATTGCCGAAAACCAGCTTAGACAATACAAAAGCAAAAGTCTTCCAAGGTTACATCCAAGCTCACGCAAAAATAAGCAACATAACCGACCTTCGTAGTACAACTAACCCAACATCCCAAACCATCTGCCCTATACCTTCCCAAACAGGCCAAGCGCACAGATGACTCATCCCACGTGACAGCAATATAAAACCCGCAAACCCACCCGCCGACCAAATTTCCCTCTTCAAGCGCCATCCCCACCAATGCTGCGTTTCTTTGCTACACACGGCGAGCTTTCACAGCCCGTCCTCGTGACTCTGGGTCCCGCCCAGAGCTTCGCGAGACCCCCTTGCAAATGAGAAATTCGGAGGAATCTTCAAACCCCAACCCGCGTCGTCGTTCGTTCGCGCGCGTCGGCGTCGGTACTGCCCGTGAGGGCCTGGTGTGATCCTAGATCACTTCTTACCCACACTTGCACTTGACATCAGAAACATCGGGGGACGGGGGCTTGCTCCTGGACCCCTTGGGAGAGTCGGTGCGGAGATTGTGTGTGATGACACTTTAGTGCAATACGCAGCATACCTTGCTCTGTTTCTCTTCGGAGAGGCGGATGGTATCATTCGATTCCGATCATTCTGGTGGGGATGGCGCTTCACCTCTTTTTTTCAAGGTCAGTTTATGTTTCCTCCCCTGGTTCTTTTTTTGGGGGTGTCTGGGAAGAGTTTTTTTTTGGCGACCTTGCTGATTAGTGGGGTTGTGGACCTTGCGAGGTTCCTTAGGGTCCTTTTGCCTGCGGGCTCGTTGGGTTTCGGTCTCTGTGTTTGGTGTTGAGGTTTTATGGAGGCTTTTATTTAGAGTGGTGGACATAATAAAATATATGAAGTCATGATGAAATATACATTTTTTTTTTGCTAGCGCAATGGCTGGTGAAATATTCTAAGAATCTTCTTTTACTCGTAATTGTGTTGGATTGTGTTGGATTATGTTCGAAATCTTTGAATTCTAAGTGAAGGATGCGTGTTTAGAAAAATTTGCGAGGTCGAAACCTCGACCGCTGAATGTGTAAATTATCGTGAACATCTTGTTAAAAATCCCTGTTATCAGGGATGTAGTGAAAGAACATTTCCTCCAAGTTCTCTCCATTATCATCGAGCTTCATTTTTAGCATTGCCCATATCCCCTCAAATCACCAGACGATTCGTTTACTCTTCATCACCGATCTGTGTTCAAACCCACGTTAGCTCGGTTTCAAATGATGTTGACCTTTGAACAACCATGAACTTACCTTAGGAGCGAGGTAGAACCGGAGGTGACCACTGCCCAGACCGTACTCAACAAGCAGAGGCACTTCCTGGGAGAGGTGCAGCACGACAGATGAAGACAGGTTGGAGGCCTTGCAGAAGTTGACGAGGTACTTAAGGGAGAAGGTCAGGGCGACGGGTTCGGAGAGGTTGATGACGACGTTCTGGTCGGGCTTGTCGACGTTGGTGTGTTGGCGGATGGTGACGGATCCGTTACCGATATCACCCTGGCAGGAGAACTTGACGCCCTCCTTGCTGGCCTCAATTACGACTGTGGAAGAAATTAGCATGAGACTTTGTGTGCCACCCGGGCTTGGGTATTTCTTCAAGAGGAAAGTTACTTACCAGACTCGGACAGTGCGTTGAGATCTCTGCAGATGCGCTGGAACTCAGAGGAAGGCATCTCCACGGTGGCGGCGTACTCAGTCTCAGGGATGGCCAGGTGCTCCTGGTCAATATCCATGAGCTTGATATCGTACTCGCTGAGTCGGTCTGTCTCTGCGCTCTCGAACATGAGGTTGACGGCATCGGGTGAGTCCTCAGCCTTGAGGGTCAGGATGTCCTCATTCTGGGCGGCGCGGAGCACCTTGGTCAGGGAGAGCAGGTTGATGCCCAGGGCGATGTTACGGTCGCAGCGGTATGGGGAGAAGCCCTCGGCACGGAGCAGCATGGAAACTAGGGCAACGTGCGAGTTGTCCATGGCCTGAAGGGCGATTCCGGAGTCATTGCAATCGAAGTTGCAGTCCTGGACAAGATCCTTGATGGCGTCGACGACCTACACACAACCGTGTTAGTAATTTGTCGATTACTGAATTGGTTGAGTGGTATAGATCACATACGCGCTTCAGAAGGCTGGCCTGTTCCAATCGAGCTTCCAACACTAGAGAGTGGGTTAATTGGTCGGTTCTTCGCACACAACAATCTTTTCGATTTGAGGGTTGGCCGACTTACTCTTGATGGTTTTGTGTGTGTTAGGGTATTTAAAATGGGTCGTAAAGAAAGAAGAGGTGAAATAGTGTGTTTTCGAAGTGAAGAAAGTGGCAGGGAGATGAGGATAGTGAATTGGGTATGTATTTGAAGGAAGATGAAAGAGGCAGCACGTCTAATATAAGGATCGCGTTGGAGGGTGGGGAAGACGCGGTCGCGTTTGGCGATATGTCCCTTTCGGGTTAAGTTTGATACCTCAGGCGTCAAGGCAATAAGGCCTCCTTCATATACATCGCCGTAAGGGTTTGCGGATATCCATGGATAATGATCAACAAGTACAAGTAGTATGGATATTGGAAGAATGTTTCATTTGCAGAAGAGCCAACTGTTATGTACAAATTGGAAAAAAAAAACAGACGTCGAGGTTAATCCTCGCACTCAACAGACACGAGTGTCGAAAGAACCGCCATCCAAAGCCAGTTAAAAGACAGACGAACAGATAATAATGGCACAAAAGAAATAAGTAATAAGCAATGTAACAAGAAGCAAGAGGCAATAGTCCTCAAATAAACGCCGGTGTCGCCGAGCCCCGTCTATATGTACATGTTGTGGGTATCAATTTATGACTTCCCTGCTGCTAGCGCTGGTCGAAGTCAAACCTGTGCCGGATGGCGCAGACGAAGAGGAATTCTGTGTGGAATGCATCAAGCATGAGACAGAAATCCAGGCCTTGTCTTAAATGCTGGTAACTCGTTTTGCAGAGTTATTTCCTGGTCGTTGCTTGATGACCATTTCCAGTTCCTTGAGCATATTATTGCTGGCATCTACCTTTTCTCTGGCAATCGCCTGTCTGGCACGGTCTTCTCGGACACGTGCAAGACGCTCGTCTCTGGTCAAAGACATTCTCTTGTTTCTCGAGGCTGGGAGTACAACAGCTTCGAAAATTTCCTCATCATCATAGGTGTGGGTCAGATCCGGCCGGCCCTCGCCAGTCAGGGCTTTCAGTGCATCCGTTGGACTGCCCTCAACTGCCGTAGACCCTCCCAGGCTGGGGGTGGGGGACATGGGTAATAAGAAAGTACTTGGTGGCCGCGAGCGATCCCCGACACTCAGGCGATCATGTTGGTTTACCAATGCGGCTTTACCAGCTTCCCACTCTTGGAGAAGAGCCCTAAGATCACTGCCAATCGAGTCATATTGTGTAAGGAGGTTGGCTTCGAACTCATCAGGGTCTGCGCGTTCTAGATTGGCATGTGACTCCTCGCTGGCAATGTGCATTTTAGCATGCAAGGCACGGACCCCTTGTGACAAAGAGTTGAGCCGTCGAAATTGAGAACGTAGGTGGTCCTTGCTTGGTGAGGCGGAAGGTAATGGGGATGGAGGAATGGTATCACCTGCGCATATTAGCCAACGTCTTTGTGTCATAAAACAGGAACCATCACTCACGGTCCTCTTCATTTAGAATTGCTGTCATTTTTAGCATGCTGTTGCCGGTCACCGTAGCGAGCTCACGCATTTCCTCGACAGCAGAACTCCACCGAGCAATATCGGAGCCACCGCCATCGGCGCTGAGGGCTAGCAAGCAGCACAGCACACTCTTCCTCACACTATACAGTTTTCCAAATAGATCCCTCAGAGCACGCAATGAGTACTGGTCTTCGTTGGCTCGCTGCGACAGCGATGCCTCAACCGCTTCGAGTTCTTCCAGTCCAATGTCATAAATGTCGTAATATTTCGCAAGATTGCCGTCATCGGTAAGTGGGCGTAATGTGTTCTGGGATTGAATATACCGCTCGAGCATGGAGTAGAAGCATTCTGAGACCGCTCTGCGTAATCTCAAGCATCGTCGCGTTTGTACTAGATCCTCCAGCCGACTGATGGGGGGTAGAGGAGTGCTTCTGTGGTAGTTTGTTAGTCCTGTTGTAATCTCGAACAAAAACGTCATGTTCTTACATCCGATAACCTCTCGAGACAAGCTCGACCTCCTGAATGAAGACCACCGAAGCTGACGCAGCAGAGTCAAATCCCTGAGCGTTTCCAATGAAAGCGCCAGCTGCCTCAACAGCCTGGTGCCGGAGATATTTCAACCATTGCCGTTTTGCGAAAGCATAAAACAAAACACCGACAGCGGGTACAAGTATCAGAAGCACTCCAACTTTCTTGAGACTGAGTCCTGACCCAGTCCTTGAACGGCTCCAATGTAATAACCAAGCGATAGAAAAGGATGTGGCGGCTGTGACGATGGCGCCTTGAATTCCAAAAGTTGTAGATAGGGATGGGAGAGCGGAGGGTTGCTTTGCAGATAGGACATCTGCCGCGGATGTGTAGGAAGGAGCGCTGTGTTCGTTTAATAGTTGCGATGCGACAATAACGTAGCCAAATTGTTCCAAAAATCGTTCGTTGTCGCTTCGTGCCAATCGCACGTTCAGGGCGGACTAGATGAGAAGAAGTGTCAGCACGATACCCTGCTGCCGTAGACGAGGGGTCGTACCGAGCAGGTGTCGTATAGTTTCCCGATTAGTTGCCCCTGCGGTGTGCCTCGTAGATTTAGAGGCTTTGGTAGCTTGTTTCGAACGCGATTCTGGAATTTGGAAGCCCCTCGAGGGGCAAAGTTTGAGGAACGGGTATGATCATCGTCGCTGTGATTCTCCTCCACGGGCCAGCTCTCTTCGTTTCCACCCTCCCCTGGCAAGGGTGTCAGTTGGTTTAAATTCTTCGGGTACCATGGAGATAGCTCACCTTCCAAATATTCGGCCAAAGGCGAGTTCTCATACACGATTGATTCCATGTTGTGGGATCATGCCGCAATGCCAGGAGAGCGGAGAAGGTGGGCGAGGGGTGACGTAAAACAGGTGATGAGACAGGCGCTTACAGACCCATGTCGCAGAAGGGTAGGCGCCAGGCAGACAGAAAAGGAAGAGTACCGATCAGTAAAGAATATGTAAATGCTCAATGTTGGAAATGCCTGGGGCCACGTTGAGGCACGTCCGGGGAAAGGAGGTCTCCCGGTCACGAGAGGCTAATTTAGACATGACCCACTTATCTGTTCCTGGCGATGCTTTGATTTAACAATGTAAGGGTGTCTATATTTAATTTAAAGGAGATTAGATGATACATCAAACTACGATGTACAACATACATGTACATATCTAGTTTCCAGCCAATCTGGTTAATGGAGATCAAGGTTTAATGTACGGAGTACTCCGTACATCTCACTGAGTTGGCCGTAAGCTGCATGTAAGCCAGTTCTCTTGCCAGTTTTATGCATTTTCAGGGTTATGCACATAGTGCTGAGTCATCCAATATAATTTTCAAGCCTGGTAGATCTGGCATCCACATGTGTCCATTTTGAGGAGAGATCACCATCCATGATCCTTCTAGAATGACGATCATGCTTCTGTTTTGATTTTGATTTTTTTTTTTCTTTTTTTGAACTAAAAGTGAATGACTATCTTCGAAATAGCTGCGATGACCGAGATTTGTACTCCGTATGATAACATTATATGCAAAGAGACAGCTATCTCAAACATAGATGAAACACAATGTCTCTGATATTGTCTCGGACCAAACGGATACGATAATCAAAGTCCCGGTCCACGGGTTGTAGACAGAGGCCATACAGAGCACTGCCCAAATAAGAGCGCAAACAATCTTCAAGCCAGGGTAACGATGGGGGTAACTCTAATGTATGGGTTGTCATGGTTGGACCACTGCGATACTCCGTGCATGGTGTACATCTGTATGTCATCACAAGTGTTTCACTCTTGGACCAGTATATTCCAGATATTCAGGACCAGATCATCGATTCAAATATTTAACTTCCGACCCAACCAGGATGATGTTTCGCAGGATATCGCCTGCCTTGCTATCCTCCCAGTCATGCGGAATTGCCAGGGGTACGAGAAGTTGGCCCCCAAGGAAGATTAGCAGGTACAAATCTCTAGCAAGTAAGGGGTTGAAGTCATTGTTTTTTCGCTGTTGATGCTAGGGTTTGCTTGGACTACGTGCTACCTTCATATCAAAGTCAGAACCAGCAATTTCTCGGGTTAATTGCTAAGCTGGTCTAGTAAAACGGACATGGATATACTTACTGTTCCCATCATCCACCACTTTTTAGAGACAATGACACTACTAGGGGGAAGATATATGTATCAGAGTATGGTGTATATTGTCATATTGATTAAGTATATTCTATAGTCTATTTTCGTTCAACGCGCATCTAATGTCATGTCATAATAAATGGAAGGTCCTCATAAAGCCAGACGAATTCAGACTGCACTTTCGACATCCGACGTCTTTTGTTCAGCAGAATCTCTCCATACAACGATCACCACAAAACCAACCGACAAGGAGCAGATTATTGCCAAAATTGTCATCCACCATCCAAATCCAATATTTCCCACCGCGATCGGCGACAGCACGGTGCCAATAGCAGCCAGAATATTCCGGACCAAATTCAAATCAGCAACAACTGAGGCACCAGCACCCGGCTTGACATCAACAAGGAAAGGCATGACTGTCGAAGTGACAAGCATGAGTCCGAGTCCAAATAGGAATGCTCCGACGAGGGGAGCAACCCAGAATACTTGTTTCTCAACCAACCAGCCATAGATCAGTAGACCTGCCGGCACAAAGCCAACGCCGTACCATACAGTCTTGATTCTTTCGGTTGGGCGAATCTCTCCACCGTGGCTCAACTGATATTGACGCAGTTTGGCATCACTCAACTTTCCGCCGACAACGCTTCCAATGGCGTATCCGAGGCAATTGCTGATATAGCAGAGACCAATTTCGATGGCAGAGAAGTTATAGGGTGCTGCTGAGTATGCATAGGGAAGGGTAGTGTTGAAGCAGTAGAGACTAGCAAAGCAGATGCTGACATAGGCGATTGTTAAAGCGACCGAAGGAACTGCCAATAGTCTCAACTTTGCCAAGGGGGCAAGGGCATCACGCGAGATTACTTGGTGCCATTGTAGCTTTTCCTTGTTCTCAGTGGGAGGTTTCACCAGTGTCTCTGGAAGACATAACATCGTAAGCATCGCCGTGCTGAATGTGAAGATGGCCATGAAGTACAGGTTTGCTCTCCAGCCAAGCCATACTTGAATGGCACCTCCGATAATCGGGGCAATCATGGGCCCAATCAGGGTTCCGAGATAGAACCACCCTAGAGCTGAACCACGCTCGGTCGGAGTGAATACATCGCTGATAACACCTGCTCCAACACTCTGAGCTGATGAACAGCCGAGTGCTTCGATGAGGCGGAACACGGTAATCAAGGGAAGCGAATTGGACACAGCGCAGATGATCACGGCGATAGTCGATAGCAGGAAGCTGAAAACCAGCACAGGTCGGCGACCATATTGTTGGCTTAGTGTGCTCCACCACAAAGGAGCAACTGCAAGACCTAGGAGGAAGACAGTTGTTGTCAGGGCAACTTTGGTCTCCGTTGTATGGAAGTGGTCCACGAGGGTCGTGAAGGACGGGAAGAGGATGCAGGACGCAAATGGCGCAGTAAAGGCAGATAGGGTAATGATCACAACTATGCTTCGCTTTTGCCATGGAGAGTGAGTTGTTGGATCTCGACGTTTCTGAACAAAGCAGAAGCGATCAAACCACGTTCGAATGGTTGATGTGGACGGTAACTCGATCGATTTTGTCTCAGACATGATGATTTGGAATTTGATTTTTTCTTTCTTTTCGTTCCTTGTAGAATGCTGCTTGTCTGTTGAATCTGAATATAAAAAAACATTGTGTTGAGCAGGGCTATTTAATATAATAAGTAGGTAAGTAGGTAAGTAGTTAATTGCATGGTCTCGAGGATTCGGGATTTCGGGGATTTCGGGACTACGGGGATTTGGGAGAAAAACCCGCGAGGCAGCAATAAGCAGCCTTAGACGTCAGCAAATGAGACCGTACACTTGGCCAGGGCACTTTGAAGGTTTGAAAGGAATTGAAAGGTGAGCGCCCCCAAAACGCCACAATCGGGCGCGGCTAAGTCGGGTGGAAATGGGAAACAGGGATTTCCTCCTGTATCTCCCCTCCCACCGCGAATCCCCGAGATCATTATATTCCCGTTGCCCTGTACTAGCCGATCCGGGACAATGAACAGAAGCTGTATCGCATGTTCGGAATCGAAGCTTCGATGTGACCTTAACAGAACAAATCCGCCATGTTCTCGATGCCTGCAAAGGGGGTGGACTTGCGTGAGGGCGGAACGCAAGAAGCGCGTGCGAAGAACCAAGGGGATTAATTCCCCTCCATCACCGCAAACCGGGAGTGAGGATGGGCCTTACAAAGTCCCAGACGTAGCAGTATTCGATGAACAATCTGTCGATATGTCATTCCTCGACAGTTGCTCACCGGACGAGGTCGATTTTCTAGCCCAGTTAGCTGACCTTGAAAATTGCGTCGATATGAGCTCCTTCACTTGGACACCACAAGATAATCCCTCGGTAGTCGGTGATCACAGCCTGCCGCAACATCGCACCGGTGGATCGACATATGAAATCGGCGGCCCGGAGATCGCCATTAATGTGGGGTATCTATGCCCAGACAATTTTCGACTTCCTGCGGACTACGTCCTGGAACTAGAAGGCCCGGGAACCGTGCCCATATATCGATTAGAAACATATGCCAGGCTCTTCTTCGCCCATTTCCACCCTTTCTTTCCTATACTGCACATTCCGACCTTCTGCTTGGCCTTGTCCCCCGCGGTGCTTGTCAGAGCGGTCTGTTTCATAGGAGCTGGGTTTGAAAATGGTGCAACATCGAAATCAGATGCGAGGCTTATTCATGGGTCCCTATCATCCCTACTCGCCAAATGCTGTCTTCATTGCGACAAAACGTCCCCGAAACTTGAAGAGCTTCAAGCCGTAGTGCTTTTCCAGCTTGCAAGTATGGCAAACGGGGAAAGTGCAGCGGAACGCGCTGCGTCGCGGCTCCTACACCCACTCCTTGTCGCAACCATACGGCAAGCAGGGCTTCTCAAAATCCATGGTGAGTGCTCAAAAGCTGTACGGAATGCACATTCATGGCAACCATGGATAGAAAAAGAGTGCAAGAAGAGAGTGCTTTGGGGCGTCTTCACAGTGGATTGCTATCAATCCGTTCTATGTGGCAGTAAGCCACTTCTTCTACCGACAGATACACGCGCCTCTTTTCCCTGTGATGATCAAAGCTGGAACGCTTGTTCCGCCTCATTGTGGGCTGCGCTCCCAGCGCAAGATCCGTCTAGCTGTTTCTTGTCCTCTGTCAAGGGGCTCATGGTCAGACAGTCTCCATCGGAGTCAAATCTAACCAAATTCGGCATGAATCTGTTGATTTTGGCAATTCACTCACTGCTGCTGGAAGCTCAAACTTCACTACTTCCCGTTGATCTGTCTGCCCTAGAGGGGGCATTGCAAACATGGCATATGTCGTGGGAGCAGTTTCGAGGACGATCCCAGCACCAGTATGAATTGAGTGCGGGAAACCTCCTTATTGCAAATAGTCTCTCACTGTATTATCTGGCATCCCACTTTCTGAGAAATGGGCGTCCGGTACTAAATGAGAGAGCTTATTTGGAGAAGTCGAGGGTTTCAGGCAATCCATTTATAATCAGGGAGCAGGGTTATCAGGATGAAATGACGAGATGCGTTCGAGAAATGCTTGTTGAGTTTCAGGAGGGAGAGAATGCAATGGCGATGCTTTTATAGATAATACCACGGTATCGATAAAGATACTCTTTGGGAAAAGGGCGCTTTTTATATCGCTATACACGAGAATAGTTGGCCCCGGCGTTGTGATGTCTTTTTGTTGGTCCTTTTAGATGGTCTTCAATTTCTTTTAGCCAGTCCAGATCCGCGCTTGACGAGCTCAATACCGGAGTCCTCCCCGATTGTGCTCCGGGAACAATTTCTTAGAAAAGCTGACGGTCACCCTGTTCCGGCCGCAGTTATAGCACAACTTCATGCGGAGTATGGATTATACCCGGGGCCCTGAACCCAAGGTTCAATCGAGGTCATGTTTCTAACTGCCTCGAGAAACTTTTCGTTGTCCTGAACTAGCTCCGTTAGATCCGAGTGCATCTCGATTGTGGTTTGATCCAATCCGCTTGGAGCAAAATGAAGTCTAACAAGAGGGACCGAAGACAACCAAACAGTTGCAAAACTTCTCTACCCCCACCATATCCGCGTTGAACAGGGCCTGCATCTCCAGGGAAACAGTTGACCCAGCCACCAACCTCGTTAGCAATGACAACGTCGTTGGACTTTTCAACAAAGGCGACCGCCAGAGTCCAAGCGCTAAGCAATAGACTAGAATGTGAGACTCTCGATTCTGTTAGCACAGGCAAATCGACTGTCATCGTTGTTCGCATGCTGTTTTGAGCCACGTGCTTCGTCCAGTCCACCGGGGACAGCGAAGTGAACTGTCGACCGATATACTCTGCGTCTATTAGCGGCGAATCAAGTTGCGCCGTGGTAAGCTTGTTGCGGGCCCAGACATGCGCAAGGGGATTATTATAGGATAGTCGTCGTCCAGAAGGCAAAGATCCATTTTTATAGGCATGGCCAATGTCGTCGAAAACCAGATTGCGGCTCCAACCATCTCAGATGACATGGTTGGCCGACCAGACTAGATAGGTTCTTGGGGCCCCATCTTGACTGTTGGTCACAATACTGAACACGCTCAATTGTACGCCAAGTCCCCAGGAGGAATTTCGATCATGCTCAAAACATGATTCTAATCCCGTCAGACAACAGTAGACAAATCCCTCCTTGCACACTACTTGAACAAATCTTCCCGAGACCGATACCAAGCGGGTTCGTATAATTGAGTGGCTTTCCAAGTACACTCCGGTACAGACCCCGATATTTCCAGGTCAATATTATCTGGTAGCTAGAAAACATGCTCCCAAGAGGTTGAGGCTGGGAATTTGACTGCTTTCTTCATGTAGTAGCTTTGCAGGGCAAGACTTGGGTATGCATCCTCAACGGTATCTTCTAGTATTCCAAACTCTGACAGTTGTTCATTCAGCTCTTCCAAGGTGTAGTCCATGGCTTGAAGCAGATCAAATCTAGGTAACGTCGTGGGCATCATGGCCATGTGGGTAGCTGTCCCGAGCACTCTCTGCCAAATGCCATGCAACATCTTTTCCTTGACAGAAGTGGGCGGTTTAATTACTATGCCAACATTGTTGAACATCAGAGATGACCCGGTGTCATGTGAGCAGAAGATCTCGAGAGCGAGTCCAACTGGTGAGGGCACCGGCGACCCATGGCAATGCAGATTCCCTGGAACCGCAGGTGGTGGCCATGGACGTCGACGACCCTCAGTAGTCAAGTGACGTAGAATGCGCGTCAACCTTTGAACTCGGTGGTTAAGCTATGATACTTGAAGAAAAAGCGTGAAAAGGAGTGGACCAGGCCGCCGAAGCGTTGTGACACCGTGTGCCCGGATGGGACATCTGAACCGGGGAGACTTGAGGGTGGTCTTCCGGCAGACTGGCACTCCGTACCGACCGCTGACGCTGATGGCAACTCCGCAGTTCCCAGCGTACATACCGGGTAAGCAGTATATAGAAGAGGAACTCCCGTACAAGACAGCCACGTCTGCATTCAACGAGAATTCTTGTATTGATCCATTCGGACGTCATGGAGATGCCGATCGCCAAAGATGGCTCCAGATCTGAACCTGCGCGCTCCAGCATCAATTTTACAGAAGACACCGTTTAAATACTATACGGAAAGCCACCGACCCGGAAGCTCCCCGGCAAAACTCACAAGGTTTGCACCAGACCGCCGAGATTGGGTGCTCTACGACTCCGACCAGGAGAACGAATTCTTATCGTGGTGGCTGGAGACCGACTATGGAAAGCAGCTGACCAAAAATTGAAGATATAAATTCAGATTATCGGTTGAGTCGCGTTCCGCAAAGATGTGGAAACACTTTGACCAGGTGGCAGAGCTCAAGTCTGGCCGACTCACGCCGCTTAATCGCCCATATCGCCCACACCACAAATCCCATAGAACAATACAATAGGTAAGCACTTGAAATCTAACTAATGTCGCAGAAGCAAAGAGAAGGGGGTTATATATGGCCCTGGGACTTTCGTTGCTCCCCAATATACAGTGTCTTGATTCGATAAGACCACACCATTGTAAGGTTTGGACCAACCCGACCGCTACATCGAGTATCTGAGGATCTTTTACCTACAGTACCGACCGGAAATACCCACGAGTTTGTCTTGCGTGGATGGACTGTCTTGCTCTCCGCAGTTGTTAGGACTTGACCAGCTTCTGCACCCACTACCTGGCCTTGCAGGTAGTCCAAAGAGTGGGCAAGATGAAGTTGATTAATATGTCCGTGAAGGTCTGAAAGACTGCTCAGTGTTTTACACGTTGAATACTGACACATAACAGGTGCTGTTAATATCTCGCTAAGCGCTTACTAGAAATACTATCAACGCAAATGACCTGTTCTCACTCGACTGGCTCGAGATCTACTCTCTATTCCGGCTACAGAAGCTGGTGCGGAACGACTTTTCACCGTTGCAAAAAATATATATCATACTCGTGGATGGTCTCTGGATGAGTCGACCCTGCGAGAAATGGTGATGTACGCGTACTCGGAGGGATCTGAATTAGGGAAGCAATCGATCAGCCGGGTGGAACATGACACGGCAAGTGACGAAGAATGGGAGGAGTTCGAAGGAGAAACAGAAAGGCCTGGACCGATCAGCGATGATGAGTGGGGTTCAGCCGAGATGAGTGTTGACAAGCGCTCTGAGGATGATGAAAACAGCAAGGCAGACACAGTAATATTGGAGAGCCCACCTACGGATGACCAAGCTGCCTAGCCTGCGAGAACAGCGCACACGTTAGAGATTGATTGTCGTTAATTTACAACTAGACGCGCCTTTAAAGGAGAAAATGTCGGGTCAATTCATCCCGTGCAAACCGCATATGGATGACCCTTCAAGTCACAGTTCTGAGCTAGCCTTTTTGCGTGTCCTGACGGAGGGGCTTTAGGATGGGATTGGTCGACACCCATCCCCATCACAGACCACTGCAGACCATCACAATAGCGCACTAACGCCGAACGAAGCAGGGAATCGAGCTCTATAGCAGCCCTCACTCAGATCTTACATTACGGTTCCGACATGCGAGAAAAGCTACTGTCTCAGGCACATTAGCAGAGGAAGGTTGACAATGACTCTGATTCACTTGTAGGTCTCTTGGTATGTATAACCATGTTGATTTGCCTTTACCATAATATATACTTGAAACATAGCGACGGTGAAACTCGCTAATTTGATTGCTCCTCCGAGAAACTAGCCTACTAATACTTGGCGCTTGGATCCTCGGGCAATTGAAAGCCGGGGCGCGACAACGAATAACAACATCGTCGGTTTGAATACTGTACCCGTAAAATTTAATCTCCGTATCTGTGTTTCTAATTGATGAAACAGTCCTCCTACCTCTTTCAGGCTCCCCTGAGTTTGCTTTCTGCGAAATTCTTGCGGTCACACAAACGAGTAAAGTCATCTCTGGGTATCCGGGAACAATCTCCTTGAAAGTAATGTCTGATCTACCGTTACGATATTTTTCCACTTGATTTTAACCCAGATGGATCTTCGTAGCTTATAGAATTTGTCTTGGGATTTTCTCTCCTCGAATGCAACTCTACAAATCCCGGGAACGTTGGTATCTGACAGACGAGAATATTCAAACCTCTGATTTTCGATTTAAGCCTACCCCTAACGGGTAGATTGACGATGAAACTGCACTTCAATGGCTCTATTCCTTTCATGAAGCTTCAAAAGAAAGGGTTAAAAGGGGTAGGCTAAGCCTTCTTTTAATGGATAACCATGGCCCCAATATGATATGACTATTGAATTTATCACTTTTTTCGAAGAACAATTCATTATTCCTTTATATTTTCTACCCTCTACTACACACCTTTGTCAACCGCTAGACGGCCAAGAATTCCAATGCTTAAAACTCTATTTCCGAAAGGAAAATAGTGAGGTTGTTATGTGGGGTGGAAATGTGAGCAAAAAAACGAGATTTTTTTACGGATGATTCATGGAGTTAGAGAACAAGAATTAACCTAAAGAACTAACCGATCTTCTTTTAAATCTAGGGGTATATACCCCCTAGATCCGGAGGTTGTGCTTAGTCCACGCCAAAGGGATCTTGATGCTCAAGGGTCCCTTAGGGCCTTACCCCGCCACCCCAGATATTCCAAGCTCTATCACCAATTCGCCGTTAGATACAACTCAGCGGGTTAATAAGCTTAAGGCTAAGCTTATTAATGATATTGAGCAAATGGAGTATCAATCTCAAAGGGTGAAAAGTCATATACAACGAAGTATGGATACAAATGCGCTCTTAGCCCAAGAGCTTGATTTAGTGAGGGCCACTCTAAAGAAGTCCCAGGTATATAAATCAGCTGTAACTATCCCAAGAAATGGGAAATCGATTCTTGGATCAAGGGGCTCAATTCTTTCACCTCTCTCGGCAAATAGGAAGATGGTAAAAAGGATAGATGCTTTTTCTAAGAAATTGCAACAGCTACAGGCCAGACATGCCAAGGATTTGGAAGCAGAGCAGCAGGCCCAGGCGGCGAGGGATTTATTAGAAAGCCAGCATAATAGTATAGGTGGCTATTAGTAAATAGTGGTTTAATACATTGTTTATTGAAAAAATTGTAATCTCGTGAGGTTCACCAATGCCAGGTAGGTTTTGGTGGGCTTGACGCAGTTACTGCATGAACATCCTGAGTCGTTACAAAATTTGTAGAGATCGGTGGGCCACCAAGAGCAGAAGCATCAGCGGTGTTAGTTATCAGGGACCTTCCCATTATTCTCCTTGATTTAGGCGCAATTATGGTGGTATAGAATGGATGCAGTGAAGGGACCGAGGCAACAGGCAGGTGCCAAGACGCTACTTCAAGTGGAGCCAATCAAAAATCTACCCTGATTCAGCGGAGAGGGTCCGCGCAACATTCCTATTTAGGTATATATATCGCGCTCTTATCCGATCATTAAATTTCCAGTCCTTTCCATTGCTATATCGACTATAAACAAGTATGGGATATTGGAGATAGAGCTTCCCGTCTACTTGACCGGAATTAAGTTCATCATTCTATGTACTCATTTTTAATGAGTTCTTAGCAACCTAAGCGGCACTCCCACGGCCCGTGTCTAGTTTGACATGGCGACAGCACTGTTTCAACCCCATCCAGATGAATACTACGTAGCAAATAGGGACGATCGTTATATATGGAGTAAAGGAGATGTCAAAACGCGGGATTTGTTCATCCTTTTTTTTTTCAATCGGAGGAGAATTGCCAAAAGGGGATGTAGGTAGTATTCAGGGTCCAAATCCCGAGCCCCCACTTGATGTGTGGTCATATTTAATTGGAACAGACTGACCAAGCATCGCACTAAGCGTTTTGGATAAATAGCCCTTGGCAAGCCTCCCTGTACCCCTGGTTTCTATAAATGACCCGATGCCCCTGGTAAGGCTAGATTCTGGAACATTTTGTAACAGACTTGGTGACTAAAAATCTAGATGGCCACGCCAAGACCTTCTAGATTCCATTGACCAACAAAATCGCTTCCTGCCTCGCGAAATAGAGTTATAGACGGACATGCCAAGCCTCTGTCAACATGTGGGATTATAGTTTCTACCGAAATTCATGTCTCTTTAGGACCTCGGGCTCTCACCGAGTAGTGAGGTAAGTCTGGTTGTCCATACTAGGTTCTATTTAGACCCTATTCGGACTTTAACCGGACATTACTTCATGGCCTCTTTGTCCTAGCAAAACCATCTGGTAAGCCTTCACGAAGGCAGATTTTGTCGTAGAAAAAGCCAAGCCAGATGCCCAGGGCTTCGCGGAAGGCCTTCCCGAAAGCAACTTCAAGTCGCGTTTCAGATATTCTTGCCCTCATCTATAATTAAGGCCTTTGGCATTCCTTACTACATCCCATGAGAACAAGCGGCCCAGCTCCATTGTTTTGTTTCAAAAAAATTAAAATAGCTCAGCATCATACAATGACCAGGCGCCAGGATGCATGTGAGTTGCAAAATACTTGGGGTAGAAAGTATATAAGGACAATATAGCTCCCTCACTGGTAGCTCCAAAACACTCATCTTGAGCAGCTTCTTCCGTTCGTTCCTATCTCAGTATATCTACTTTCGTTGGGCTGGTTCCTCAATTCGTTCTTTACAAAACCCAAACAAGACTTTCATTCTTTTCATAATGAAGTTCTCCCTTGTAGCTCTCGCAGCTATTGCGCCCATGGTTTCGGCCCATTATTTCTTCGACACCCTCGTTATTGACGGCAAGGAAGCTACCGAGTATGTCCGGTCCAATACCCGTGCCGCGAAGTACAACCCAACCAAATGGGTCAACACCCGCGACGACATGACCCCCGATGTGCCTGACTTCCGCTGTAATAAGGGCGCATTTACCTTCGCTGGCCAAACCGGTACTGCTGAGGTGAGGGCCGGATCCAAGGTTGCGATGAAGCTTGCCGTTGGTGCCAAAATGCAACACCCTGGTCCTGCCCTCGTGTACATGTCTAAGGCCCCTACCACTGCCAACAAATATCAGGGTGATGGCGAGTGGTTCAAAATCCACCAAGAGAGTGTCTGTGACAAGAACAAGGACTTTACCAAAGATGCGTGGTGTACGTACGGCAAGGATCGTATTGAGTTTACCATTCCTACGAATCTGCCTGACGGAGAGTATCTGATTCGACCGGAGCACATTGGTATGTCTATTATAGCATTGGTATAAGCAAAGGTACTAATCCCCACAACAGGTGTGCACGGTGCCGCGGGCGGGCAGGCCGAATTTTACAACTCGTAAGTGGAGTTTTTTCAGACCTTTCCTTATTTTCTTTATTTCTCTTTACTTTTCCGCAGCAAATTTTGACGGAATCTTCAGCTGCGCTCAAGTCAAGGTTGTCGGTGGTGGCAATGGAACCCCGGGACCTACGGTCAAATTCCCCGGTGCTTACAAGAAAGACGACCCTTCGTTCAACTTCAGCATCTGGAATGGCTACAAGGAGTACCCTATGCCTGGACCGGAAGTCTGGAATGGAGAGTCGGACTCCAGCTCAGCTTCTTCTAACGTGGCTATCAGCAACGGTACAGCAGCGGCTACTACCCCTAGTAAGCAAGCCGAGGATACCGACGCCTTCACTCGTTGCGCACGCTCCTGCTTCCAGTACCTATAAGGACTAAGCGTATTCTGGATCTATTGTTGATATGTTGGGGTTTCGGGAGTTTTGATATTCCTCTATGGATCCGCCACTTATATCAGTCGTTTCGATGTTATCGCTTCTTGCTTAGCGGATCTTTTCTTTTATCACCCAGAACTATGTTGTATGATAATGTGGCAGAGTTCCCAGAAAGAGAGAAAATCGCGCCACTTTATTGTGAGTTCGTCAAGTTTGTATAGCCTCTACATAATGTGTGGTAGTTTGAAGATACGATTTATTCTTTTTACATGATTCACAAACTCATTCGACTTTCGTTTCTTCATAGTTACCAGTTCTTCAAGATCTTCATATTGTACTTTTCATGCTTTATGAATCTCATTTATTACCTCGCCAAGTCTACCGTGTCATTACGCTGGTGCTTCCGATTACCCACAGAGCTAAGAACGACAACACAATTTAGTAGCCCGATGCAAAAGCGACGCCACCAATTGGATGACACCTGAATCTATCCAATTGAAATTGGCACTATAGCGCCCTAAACCTAAACTAGGTTGCGTGCTTTTCAGGTGAGCTCTACAATCGTGGCCAATGGTAATGTACGTTGGATACACAGTAGGTGTGAGGATTAGGTACTGACATGGATTATACATTACCCCCGGCAGGTTTTAGATGCCGTCGCGCCAACCGGGGTTTTGCCAGGCAGGAAATCAAAAGGTTACATATAGGCATCTCTCTTGCGCAGAATATTCCTTTTTAAAAAAATTCCTTCGGGCACACCTGAAAAGAGCACCCAAAAGAGTATCCAAAAAAATACGACAAGGCCATATAAGCGGCGGACTATTCTGGCCAATATTGAACTAACAATCTATACCCATAGTGCAATTTTCACTTGTGCTAAGATCATAACTAGAGAAGGGGATAGAACATGTCTACCTTTTACTCTTTGGGCGTCTTTCTTATTCTTTCTAGAAAAGAAGAGTTATTCTACATCCTTTAATATTACCAATCTTAATCTCCTCGGTAATGGCTTTCTATATGGAGAAGCCTAGAATCATATGGGCTCCGAGTGGGAAGGACGTCTCAAATCGGCTCCTCTTATCGCATGACACAGACCTTGGAGGCTCCTATCCGGCGCAGCCCCCCACGAACCTTGTGTTCAGGCTGTACCTAGCCCTGGAGGTATACTCCGCATAACACTGGACCAATCACACAATTTATTTCAGTGGAGAGACGGGTGATCGTCGCATTCTAGTCTCGAGGTTGGCGGACTCCAACTGGGCGGTGAAGGAAGTAGAGCCCGAACTAATTCTTGGGGTCCAATCAACACCATTCACGATGGCTGATAAAACCCCATTTTACCCGGGCTTTTGCGCATCGGGGATGTTAGCTCATAATGAGGCTTGACCTGAGTCAGTTTGAATGTTTGCCAAGCCCTGCTATTTTGATCCTGTTGCAGATACGAGGTGTGCATAGCGACCAATAAGAGTCATATAGGCCATGGCCCTAACCAATCTGACACTAGCTCGTGCATCCCCCTGGTCAAACTATAATTAACTTAAATGCCCAGAACGCGCTACAACGTCCCCGAGGTCGCCGACCCTGTATGAGTTTGTATTAGCACAAGGCGCACTTTTGCACCGCCGACTGCTCCTAACGAACTTGAAGGCGGACATGCGCCTATAAAAGATATATGGGATAGTACTTCGCCCTATGGTCTCCTCGTACTGTAAATTCCGATATTAACACTTCGAGGAGATTAATGCTCTAAAAGAGCCTCTTACCCTTTTATTACAAAGGCATCCCAGCAATCTATGTCCACGCACCCAACTGTTCGAGCCCAACCCCGAGTGCACTGAGTCTCTGCCTTCAATATGCCACGATATGCTCCTCCATCAGAGGAAAGCTCGTACCCGTTTGGCTATAACGCAGTAGGTCATAATGACTATCGAGATGACGGTGCGCATTCGTTTTCTTCTTCTTCCCTTTCCTGACAATCCGAGGAGTATGGACTGATAATAAACCAGATGATGATTGTATATTTCCTTCGTTCCCTGCACGGTCTAAGAAAAAATGGGCTCGACCTACAACAACAGGACTTATATGGTTTGCACTTGTGGTACTCGGCTCCTACGTTGCAATCGCCGTTGTTGTCACCGTCCTATTTGCCGTGAATACAGACAATAAAGGTGTGCATCAAGGAACCGCGGAATACGCTCTGTATAAGAATACCATGTTCAAAGATTGTTATGGCAATCCCGCAGCTGACAACGCGAACAACTGCACTGTCATCGACTCCTACTTGAAAAAAAGTGTGCCCGACCTTGCGTCGCAGGGGATTTCATACGCGGACAAGCTGGAATACTACGATGAAACTCTACCAGATTATCAGAGGACTTCGTACAGCTGGTGCCAAGTAGCGGGTTGCTTCAACGATTATAAGGTCGTCCCAAGCGAACCACGTTCTACAGCATTTTGGGCGACCACCATTGGAACGTCTACCGAGGTTTATATGATACTGCTTGCGGCGTTGTGGCAGTTGTTAAAGCTCCACAAGGCCCAATACACCGACGAGACGGAGTCATGCACAATGGTTGAATTTGATGTTTGGATGATCCAACTCTGGGAGCTGGTCTCGGTAGGTTGGTGGTGGTTCGACTTTGGGCGACACGTCACCGACCAATCAACATACCCAGCACCTGGGATTCTTAGCTGGATACCGTTTTGGAAGTATGGTTATCTGTTGAACTTTCATCCTTATTCGTGCGCCCTCAGAAATAGCCCCAGGGCGGCGTTGGTGGGCAAGTGGCTGATGAATACGTTGGCATTCGTGCAGTGGGTGATTTCGGTTTACATTTGGAATTCCAACACAAACACCCAATCCTCGTATTCCACATACGACTGTCTCGCTTCACAGATACCAACTGCACCAGGAACCTCGACGTGTCCCGTGGAGCAAATTTGTGCCCGAGATCTCCTCTTTCGCTCTTACGACTTTGCCTTCTCTAACGAGAGTGTGGATATCACCGACCCCCAAATTACGATGTTTGTGGCCTTCTGTATTTTGAGCGTCGGAGTCGTGGGAAGATTCCTTCTGATTGGCGTGTTGCCGGTGGTCCTGCATCTGATGGGGAAAGGATCCATTCAAAAACTGAGGGCCAAGGCGTACGAGCATGATATCGGTTACGCTGGAAGCGTTGGAGGAGCGTCGCTTGTTTGTATCATTGTTGGGGGATTTACCACTGCTGGCGCGATACGCGCTTTCTGGCATGGTCGTGAGAGTGCTTTTGTCATTGACTGGACCTGCAAAACGGTGCATGTCAATCTGAGCGCTTGGCGATATTACTTGGATGTGGAGTATGAGCTACCATTACGTGCGGTGAAGATGTGGTTCAACGTTTAAGTTGGTGGGCTGCGAAATGTTTGGGTTAAATATCTATAGTTCTTGTGTTTAATACTATAATAAAGGACTGACTCCTTTGCCATAGAGAGTAGATATGTTTTATATTGTAACCCCAGAAGGGGCCCGCTAGAATCAAAGGTTATACATAGAGAAATATGTTTTTTTTACCACCTTCCTATACTCTTAAAGGGGACATTTAAAAGAACATCTAAAAGAACATCTAAAAGACATAATAAGGTCGCATGAGCGGCCCTCTATCCTTGTTGCTATATTCATTCGAAAGTGTGAATCCGTCTCAGCAAAACACAAACTCAGACTTGCCTTAGCTCCCTCGTTCAACAACCCAAAGATCTTGACCCTAACTTCCCTTCTCCTGACTTACATCAATACACTCAGAGCTCTCTCCTCCCATTCCATGATCCTATTGTTTGCAAGCTCTATCCCCCTGCTCAGACGTGTGAGCTCTGCTGGTTCAACCACGGCAAAACAGCCTCTAAAATGGCTTTTCCCTGCTCAGGGAACAGTGCATGCGACGCATCGGCAATAACCTTTGACGTGGCTCGATTCGGATACAGGTCCGCTGTCACATTCCACTGGGCTTTTGGTTGAAAGGGGTCATCCGCAGGAATCAGCTCGAGGACCTGCGTAGTATTGGCACCACCCCAATGAGATGCCAAGCTACCATAAGCTTGCACAGCTGCGTGCTCCATGGCAAGAACGTCGGGGTACCATCCATCAATCCAGATATGAGCATCGTGATTCGGTGCAAAGAAGGCCGTTTGAAGAGCCTTGAGTCTTTCGGGGATAGGCAAAGAGATGTTGCCAGTGATGAAAGGCATTTTGGCGATATCGGTCGGTAGGTCGATGCCACCTGGGGCTGCTACCACAATTGCTGGTATTTTCTCCGGGTAGAGCACGGAGCTCACTTTGGCCAGGAAGGTACCAAATGCATGGCCGATCACGATAGCTTGCCCTCCGCCGATTGTATCAATTACAGCTGCAATATCGGCTGCCAGGTCTTCAAGTGTGACATTGGTAATCGGTCCCGTAGACTCAAAGGTACCCCGTGGTTGAGGTCGTAACACACGGTACCCTGCATCTACTAGGGAGTTACTGAAGTAGTTGTAATCGTCGCCTCCATCTCGTCCGTACGAGGGGATGATTACAACTGTGGGACCTGCGCCTTGAACAAGAACTTGAATGTTTGCCTCCCCACTCCGGACAAACTGAGTAGGCCATTTGTAGTTCGCAAGCGGCTGAGTGAACACGGGTAAAGCATGTGCACAAGTCGCCGCAAAAGCGAGAAAAATACTCGAAGAGAAGAACATAGTCAAGTTGAGAGGAATGCTATGCTGTCCGAACTCGGTGTGAGGGCTTGTGGTTCTCACTTCTTGGAGCGAGGAGGCCTTTTATATGTGAAATCCACTGCTTCTCGAATTGATCTTTCATGAAGTTCGGAACACTCTCACTCCGTTCAATTTCCGGTCTTACAACTACTACTGACTATCGGACATTTTGCAGCGGCCTTGGCAAGTGGATGACGGTGCGGCTGCAGGTCAATTCATTGCCGGGAAGCCGATTGCAAGAGAAAACCCCGAAATCACTCAACGCACTGTATAGATGCGTGCTGGTCTCCTTACTTGTTACTTTCCGGTCATCGACACCTTTATATGACACTACAATTCCATGGTTCCTACTTGAAGAGTGAGTTGTGTACTATGGGGTGCCCAATAGAAAAACCATACTATGACATAAATACCATCGTACATTTTTACGAAATGAAGTAAAGAGCGAGAATGAACTATCATTTCTTCAAGAGCGATCTAGATGATAGGCTACTGCCAAAATGGCACAATTTTGACTTTACCGCGATGTCGAATTTTTCTACCTACAGACGTAGGTGGGTAAATGGTGATATTCGGGGATATTCGTATGGCGGGTCGGGGTTTCGGGAAAAACGAGAACTAGTGGATTTTCTGTCTTAGAAACGGGATATGGCCATCGATTTCGATCAGCGCATCTTGACTCGTGGAAAATTTGCCCTTAACCTGAGCTACCATCAATATTAGCCCCATCGTGTTCATTGGGCGCTGTGGCCTTCCTTATATCAATAGCGAGGGTTCGAACTAAAATTAGACTTCACAAGAATAGTCGGCGGCTTTATATAGCCTTGTCGTGTTGTTTTAGTTGTCTTTTACGTATTTCTTTCTAGATATCTTGTTCCCCTTCTCAAGCCTTTTGGATGATAGACGTAAGAGGCTTAATTTGCGGAATATACTTTTTAAACTTGTGTGTATCAGACTGAAGGGTAGCGTCTGAATGTCGGAGACTCTCTGAGGCAAATGAATGGCTTCGTACGTGGTCAATCCTTTTGCTTTCTTAACTCACTAGCATCAACAGTAGTGTTCTTTCTGCAAAGCCCAACCCAACCCATAGCCCATTCGTGGGGGCCCATAAGGCCCTCATTAAAGCCTATCTTAGGCGACCTCTGTAATCGCTATATTACGACCTTCCACTAAGTATATAATATTCAAATTCAGAGTAGTAGCTATATAAGTATATGTTTCAAATTTAAATAAAATCCGACCGGTAGAGGTCGCTAATATTAAAGTTTTGATATATATTTGGGATTTTCATAGCAATACTACTACTTTCTCAATGTACTTCTATAATCTATAGATCATCTAAATAACGCGATTTCTCGCGTTCTTAAACGTAACATTAAGAGATAACTAGCAATCAATTCTAACTTATTTAAACTAATAAAATTTTACCTTTTAGAATAAGGCCTAGAAACGGAGGTAAAACGAAGAGTAATTTAAAAAACCCTAAAAGGGGGTTCAACTTCTGAATTCTCGGCATATTTGTGCTGTTTGGGACCCATCTGGGGGCCCATTAACCCGCAGCGGGCTTCTCCTTAGGCCCTTAGCCCACCGTTAGGCCCGAAGGTAGGGCCCAAAGCCCAGCCCACGGTCGGGTTGGGTTGAGTGAGTTGGGCTGGGCTGGGTTATGGGCTTTGCGGAGCTCTAATCAAGAGTGTGACTGCTGTCTACTGTTTTCCGGATGTCTTCTTCCCTTAACGTTAATAGCTAGTCCCTATCTTCCATGCTCTTCGGCGTTAGCTACCTGGAATTATTGGCTAACGCATGGGGGCATTCTCTCATTTTTGCCCTGTTGACGTATGTATGCAAGGTCTGTTGCTCGTTCTGGATCGTGGTCGTTGAATATGTTTTTTACGAGTTTTTTCCTTCTACCTCATCTCTATCCCCTCTCTGTCTCCTCTTCCCTATGCACAAAAAAGAGGATAACCTCTGAAGGGAGATAGAAATATATAGGACTCGGGGAATTTCCTGTTCGGTCCTAGCTTGGATATCAATGCCCTATATGTCAGGCACCCATGCATGCCCTATCTCACCAAATCTAAGAGCCCCACCTTTCAATTCCAACACCGCTTACTCAAGTCGCAAAGCCTACCTGAGCGTCTAGAGTTGATCAATAAGGAACATGTCCACCCCAAAAGTATGGACGCAGCCAGGGTGGCAGGAATATTTATCTTCTCGAAATGCTGGGCTGCCATATCTCCCGGCTGTCGCGGAACTCAGCACAGAGGTGGTACGAATACTTGGCGGAAACCCGGGCAACATGCAACTGCAAGGAACCAATACGTATCTAGTTGGCAGTGGCCAGGAACGGATTCTGATAGATACAGGACAGGTAAGCGATTTTGAACATCTCATTTTAGTACTTGGAGACTAAACAAAATAATCATGTCGATAGGGATGTCCGATCTGGCTCACCACTCTGGTCAACTATCTTGACAAACACCAGTTGAGCATATCCAAGGTACTGCTGACCCACTGGCATACCGATCATACCGGGGGTCTTCCGTCGCTGCTGGCTCAGTATCCACATCTGGTTGGGTCGGTGCACAAGGCCCATCCGGACCAGGGCCAACACTCGATTCATGATGGACAGACTTTTACTGCAGATGGAACTACCCTGCGAGCCGTGTTCACGCCTGGGCATAGTCAAGACCACATGTGCTTTGTCTTGGAGGACAGTGGCGCCATGTTCACAGGTGATAATGTGCTTGGACATGGAAGCAGTGTTGTCGTGGAAGATCTAGGGCAGTACATGAAGAGTTTGAAAGTCATGACCCAAAGTGTGGGCAATGAAGATATAGCAGTTGGATATCCTGGTCATGGTGCCGTGATAGATGACCTACCAGCCAAACTCATAATCTGGAGCAGACATTGGGAATTGCGAGAGAAAAAGGTCTTATCAGCTTTCAAGGGGAACACGAAGAGAAGGGCGTCCTTGACGACACGGGAGATCATCGTATGTCTCTACGGGCCCGAGATGGAGGCGATGGCGGGCCCTTTCATAACGCAGGTTCTATCAAAACTAGCTGATGAGGGGAAGATTGGATTTGCTGTCGCAGGACAAGAGAAGAAGTGGTTTATGCTATAGAATAATTTTGTTCAATGCTTAATTTGGGTGGATTAGAAAAATGCATATTATGGGAATTCGGACATAGTCCGGCTATTAGTATCAACTCTCCAAGTGCCTAGGCTAAGGGCTAAGCCATACTCCATACCCCTTGGGTTGTCTTTCTCGAATCGTGCTTTTCGATGAACTGGATATTCAAATTATCCAAGACTTACATAGTCAAGTATAGAGGCCACATAAGTGGCCGACTGTATCTAGGTACTTGTAGCCCATTATTCCAAAATGACAATACTCAAAAATTGAATGTTAAAAGGCCCACATCGAAGAAAGAGACCAAGATCTATCCAAGCCAATAAGTAGCATCATTCGTGATTTTCTGCAACCTCTCACGCAAGAAAGTAGCCATTCCTGGCATAATTTCCGTTGGCAGCTCCGATTCATTTGTTAAACCTTCCCAACTTAAAGCCCCACCTCTTTCGTTGTAGCGCTCAGTAAGCTGTAAAATGAGCTTGGCCAGCTCCGACAGCTCTGTAAAGACGTGCATAGCCGTGACGTCATTCCCAGGGGACCTCTTAAGCCCGACACCGGGAATCCCCAATGGCGTCGGTTGACTAAGTAGCCCAGTTTGAGGTTGATCTTTCGCAAAGTTCGAAATTGCCATGGCATGTATATCGATGATTGAGATGCAGATTGCCGAGACGAGCATCCCCACCTCCGCTCGCTGTGAGCAAGAACATATCAAAACTGTAGAGAGACGATGGAAGGCTACTGTGATAGTTTGTGCAGTTGCGTTGAGAGGACTTGTGTCGACGGGTAATACTCGTCTCAATTGCTCTGCTAACACTTCTAGTTCGGAGAATATTTCTAGAACGACTAGCAGGCAATCCGGATCGGAGACTTCGTGGCTCTTTGTGGTACTATGGTCTGCCTGTGCCGCTTTGTTGTTGGGCGGAGTGGAACTTGAGATTGGGATATTGGATGTCACGTTGGTAGGTGTGGCGGAGCCATTGAAGCGGGAGTATAATTTCGCGCTCTCGTCTACAAACTGGGTTGTTGTTGTTATATCTCTCGCAGAGAGTCGGTTTGGTTCTTCGCTATTCCTTCCCTCTGAGACCTGTTTCTTTGACCGGTAGGGGCGGCCAGTCCGTCTTGCTGGGCTGTAAAAGCATGTGTATCCGAGCTTGTCGCAGCGGGAACAGAAGGGTTTCTCCCTTGTACAACGTACTTTTGAGGCAGAGCATTTGTCACAGGAATCTTTGAGTTTTGGGGTTTGTAACGAAGACGCGGTATGCGGAGTGGTTTGGGACGATCTAGAAGTTTGAATGCGATTTCGGTACATGGCGTCGGTCTCTGCTTATCATGAAAGGATTATTCGTAGACCGAAGTCCTGCGAATATAGAGAGTTCCCCTGTCAGCATTTCCTTTTCGGGTATCTTCGACTGGCTTTTGTCTTTGCCTTCCCTTACCTATGTAGATCGCTTGATGTTGGTCCCGCTTACAACCCACTTCCGCCCCTCCTTGCCAAGAGATAAGAGATATGCAAGTGAAGCTGTGGAGTAATTGGCCGCATCGAGCTTTATCTGGGTAGTCTTCCAGAACAGGACTTCAACTTCACAATTGTGGGGTACTTTCAAAGGGTAGAGCCAGGGAGAGAAGCTGACGTCGTGGTGTAACCTCGTATCCCCAGCTAAAAACTTTGGCCAACGCGAGATTGAGCTAAACAAACACTAGCCCAATCAGGTTAGATTCCACTTGACGGGCCGAGCATCCAAGCCAAGGTTGAGGCGCCCCTGGGGAAAAAAGTACCACCGTGCGATAATGGAAGCCTCTACACCGGAGTGTCCAAGCCTTATCGGGGACTCGATGCCTCTTGAAAAGAACCACTGGCAGTCCATATTTGCTCAATGTACAGCTCATGATGATCAGCTTCATTCATATGCGGAGTTCGATGATGGTCTGTTCGCAGATGCATCGATAGACGACCTAGATTTCGATTTGAATGTCGGTCTTGACTCCAGTGTATACCTTGACACCTTTGGAGCGGGTCATCCCAGACCCTTTGACACTGTTTCAGACCTCTGCTCTGTTCCTATACCTCTCCACTCCGATGGACTTCACAATCATAATGAGCCGACGCGGGATTGCTCCACGCTTCCCAGTCTCTCCACCCCACTATTCGCTGTGCCAGATACAATCCTTACTCCAGTCCAAACACCACCCCGAGCTGCTGCAGCTTCTTGTCACTCACAACTTCGCACCCCTTGCATAATAACTGCGACGCAATCCCTTCGCTCACTCCACATCCCCCAGACGAGTTGCCTCTCCCGCCGAAACGCTGGCAGCCATGATAGCAGTGGACTCGAGCCACCACGCATGTCCGGCTCAGTTCTTAAAGCAAATAAAGATGCAGGCATGTCAGTCTGCCGCATGCTACAGTGCGTCTGTGCTCTCCGCCCACAGAACCAGCTGATACTAGCAATCATCTGTTCCCGACTAATTGCGTGGTACCACGCGATGATCCGGGCGTGCTTTATGAACGGACCCAACAGGTCCTCCATGCACAGTATGAATAGTGGGTCCCACGAGGCAAGGCCATCGTTGGAGAAGGTGATTCATCAACCCGTCACGATCGGAAATCACTCGGTTGATGACCAGGCACTGGGATTGACTATTCAAGCGCAAGTCATGCTAGTCGAATTGAAACATATGCAGCGACTAGTCGAGACTCTGTCGACTCGCATACGGGAAACCACTAACTCCTACCCGAAAGAGATGCAGGGCTCTGGAGCCGAAGCCTGGTGCCCATCGGCCGGGCTCCCGGACACCACGCATGACGGGCTAGTGGCGCACCTGTTGAAAGAAGTTCATGCAGCTAAGGCTGATTTGATGGCAGCTTTGGCATCACCATGATCTAGGTCCTCCTGGGTGAAATGATAAACAAATACATATGCTGGACTAGAGTCATATCCGACTTGAACGATCTGCATTCGTAAAAATGTACAGCAAGGGGAAGAAGATCTGGGTGTACATGCTCTCGCATTAAGAACCCGGTGTAACTACTAGTTTACCCTGGAGAGAACATTCTGTCTAGATCGTATCTGTTCCTCCTATCCCTATTTCATCTGGTACCTTGATATTGTCACGTGTTTTCCCCACGTGTTGCCCTGGACAACCCATTCACAGGTCAACACGAGACTTGTAGTAATCGACTGTTCTAGACACGCGATCCTCAATCTCTGTTGATTTGATGCGCCATTACACGGTTGCTCGAGCTTGTTGATAACATCAAGTCTCACCCCACCCCGCGTCTTCCCCGCGTTAGAGTTGATCCCTTGATTGACTTCACCGCTTCTCTGCACAACAATCTCGACACATTCCCTCACTTTCAGAATTGTTGACCCAACCATCATCTCAGTATGAAACCTCACTTCTTGTTCGGAAGTCCTCACATCACGTCAGGTTTTCTCCACGAAGCTCGGACTCCCCGCTCGTCGAGGCACGAGTCTCCAACACGATGTGATACAATGTACATTCCATCTGATGACTCTATTACTCCCACTGTCTTCAAAGGTCTTTACGAATCATCTAAACGAAAAATTAAAGACACAGTTCCACATATCTCAGAGGATGCTGAGGTTAACGGCTCGAAGTCACAACATGCTAGACGCCAGCCGCAACCCCTGTTGACAAGATCTACTCGGAGAGCTCCGCTCCAGCAAAGCTTGAAGGTTCTCCAGACCGGAGTGACAACAGTCGATGTCCCTGGAACAGGTGGTGGTAAAGAAAACATTCCTCCTGGGTTCTCCGTCATCGCCAACAAAACAAGCAAATCAAAGATCCATTCACCAGTGTCTAAAATGGCCCGTCCAGCCGTGCAAAACGCTACTCCCAGAGCACGCATAACAACCAAGCCCAAACAAGCGCGAAAAGAGCCACTGAAGCGAGCGGCTCTGGACGAAACTCGAGACAATGTCGTCAGAATCAGAGTCTCCAAAAAGATAGAACATTCACCACCTGCCAAGACTATTTGCGCCTCTCCCTTGAAGCATGCCCACTCCGCCGTCGTTATTCAACGGGCGTGGCGGTCATTTACAGAACGACAGAATAAGCAGTTGTGGGCTACAGTCACTCCCAGGATGGAGTTGGCATATGAGGTGATTGCTCGATGGTGGCACGGTGTCAAAGCCCGCGAGCTGCGAGAGCAGGCAGAGCAGGTGAAGCTGGCCGATAGCATTAAACAAACGCCCCGACGCAAATCTGCTGGCCAGAGATCGTCTGTTCGCCAGAACCAACTCAATTCTGGCCGCAGAGGCATTCGGCGCCTCTAATGGCGGCCCTCATTTTTCTTTCCGTTTTCCTTCTCGTTTTTCTTTCTTTTTCACTTTCCTTCTAATATTTCTCACTTGTCTTTCTCGACCCCCTCATCTTTCTGGTTTGTTTTTCTTATTCCCTTCTCTAATTTATAAAATGATACCCCTACCGCGTTTTGACAGGCAGGGGCGTTTTGTCCCTGATTTTATTTTGTCCTCGGATTGCCTTTCTCATGTTTCTTTCACTTCAGCTCATGTCACCACCAAATAATATTGATCGTTGCTCTGTCCCCTTTGACCTTATTTCACAGAGACTGCTCTATGTGCTGCGTATGAATGCTTGGGCTTTTCACCACCCAAAATCGAGTATTCTGGAATAACAGCCGGGAACTCGTATACTGCTACTTTTCTACTGTTCTTTTGCCTTGGAGCACCTTGCGCTTTGTTACCACTTACTCTACTCCGGGAGTAAGTGGGCATCGCTTTTCGAATGAAATTGTTAGTCTCAACATATCATAGTTACTAGTAACGTACGTAATATCATCATAGTATATATAGGTTTGTGGGTTTACGGCATGTAAATAGGCTGATGTTTTCTCCGATATTCTTTTTACGTGTCTTTCCAAGTATACATCCATGGATGTAATCTTTGTTTGATTTGGCTGTTTAGGGAAGGAACCTCTCACGTTATTGCAGTAGCGGCAGTAGCGAGTCCTTTCCCAGGATAAAGTAGTGGACTCCACGGGAGAGTAACTTCTCCTTAGCAACACCCCATTCATTCAATCTACGTACAAGTTTTCCCTCGCAGCCCTCATTCCGTTTCGTTCTTTTTTTTTTTTTTGAAAAAGATAATATTTCCTCTTCCTATGATGGCGGATGTCCAGCATCTGCGTCACCCTATTGTAAGTACAGAACCATTACTGCGGTACCTTTCTCTCCCGGTCCCAGTTGCAAATCCAATGAGATCCCCATGGGTCGATACATCGTGAGAATATACACTGACGGATGATGTAGCTCTTTTGCACGCAGTGCCGGCAGCGCGGCCACACTGATGTGGGCTGCAATTAGCTGATGCGGATTAGAATGGCCGTTCGATCTGCTATTGCCCCCGCTCCCGCATGATCATGCCTTGGAGTGTTACTAGCACAGTCCAAGAAACACAAATCCCACTGAGGTAACTGGGGAAACAAGGCCAGGAAGAAGGGTATGTCCTGTTGTTTTGTTGTATTCAACCACCCAGTCCACGATACCGGCATTCTTTCCCTTGTTGTTTCTGCGTGCCTGTTGGCGTGATCAGTTTTTGACACAGACAACTAATGCTAATACTTATGGTTCAGCTATGCCCGCCAACAAGAGGCCCTGGAGGGAGCATAGTGCTGATCCACATCACAAATCACACTTCGCTGGTCCAGATTGTCTGCTCAGTGGCGGAGAAAGGCAAAGGCCTCAGGAAGGAGGCAGAGGCTGATGGCTATGGCGGAGAGGGTGAGTTCTTTCTTATGCAGAGCATCGATTCAGCTTCATCCCCACAGGAACAAATATTAATCAATATAAATCAGGCCCATCGCCCCTCCTCCCACTCCCCGGCGCCCGCCCCAGCAGACCCGAATGCCACCAACAATGCTGGTAAGAACCCTTATTCATGTACGTACTATTGACACTATTTGATGAGGCACCCTACAATGGCATGATTTAGGAAATGATGGGGTTGGATAGAAAATGCTTCCCGAATTCGAAGTCAGGTTGAACACAGGAAAGTCTTTCTACACATTTTAAGCCACTTCTACTACTTAAATTCTAGCTATAACACCAATAAAGGAGGAATTGCCTAAGCAAAAGACTGCCAAAAGCCACCGAGGCTGCAAGCACGGCCGGCTATTCTTGTAATTGGTATGTTATACATGTAGGAACGCACCTGCCATACATATCATGTCGGACTTTCAGGGTAGGAACGTATTCTCCACCCGCTTCTGGTCCTACATACCGTACTCCCAACACAACCGGCGTAAAATGGATTTATCTCACTGTCAATCATACATCTCCTCCAATAATCTGGTTACCGGCAATCTTCTAAAGTAGGGTGGTTTTCATTGCACGTTCGTGGATCCAAGGCATAGGGAGCGATGGGAGTTCTTTTTCTAACAAATCAAACCTACTTCGATCCCCAACTTTGATGAAAGATCTCTTCTCTTGATGACATTGTCTTCTTTTAAAATACAAAGGTAATAAGAGTATTCAAACCTATCATCTTTGAAGAGAAGAAACTATTACTGAAGCCTATGGTATAGCTACCACATGCGGGGTATCATCTCAGCGACATACTACAATGCTTATAAGAAAACACCACGAGTGTTCGATTTCCGAACCCGTGATATCGTAGCCATTTCATCATCACTGCCTCTTACGCCAGATCGGATTGTTATTGTAAGTTAGAAACCATTGGAATCTATTTTGTGGCCCTGGAGGTATACAGCCACCCGGTGCCACCGAGCCACCCAATGATGTCATAGGGTGCACGCCCCAATATAACAATCCCACCCTGTTTCTTTCGATTAACATATTTACCACAATCTACAAACCTCTACATCGCTTTCCATTACATTGATTCCGAGACTCAAGAAAATCCCTTTGAATTCATTCAATTCTACCAAATCCAAACAAACCACCATGCCGATCGAATCAAATCAAGACAAAGGCGTCACCGGAGCCGCCAAATTCGTTACCTCCACACTTGGAAACACTCTCGGCGGTGTCACCCGCACAGTGGGTGGAGTGGCAGGAACTGCTGGGCGAGGTATCGGCGATACCATCACAAGCGCGACGGGGAGTGCGGGCGAGCCGATTGGCAATGCGCTCGGTAGTGCAAGCTCGGGTCTAGAGAACGGAGCGAAACGGGTCGCGCAGGGAACGGAGGATGCTGGGAAATGGAAATGAGATATTCTGCCTCTTGCCTCTTCCCTCTTGCCTCTTCTTCTTTGCTCCAGAGTCATCATGATGGGTTGGACTATCGCGCTCGGGCTCTTTTCGAGGCTGAGGATTTAGCGTCCTCGCAGATCTGGGTTCCTTGAGCTCTTTCTGGACTTTTTTGGCAGACTTCGCGACTTTTTCTTCATGTACCCTCTGCTGTTTGTTTTAGTATGTAATTAGCGCAGAATAATTGCTGGCCTTGGTCCGCTGTATTTGGTTCCGTAACCCAATGGCCTTTTCAGACCTGTGTACACAGTCCTTTGTATAATTTTCACAATGTGTGACTGGATCTTCACTTCTTGGGCGTTCACTGCGAGCATCAATACGGCTTTTGCGGTCTGCTTATCGTTTCGATGCCGATCAAGGGTATTCTTGGTGTACACGCGAAGCACGGTGTAATCTATTGAATGAAGTTAGTGCCTTCAAGCCGCGGCCTCAAAGTAGGCAAGGATGATTGACATGTAATAAATAAATGTGGCGTGGTAAAGATCCCATAGGTTGAGTTGAGTCGATATTAGGGAGAAAGGAAGGGAAAGAGGAGGAAAGAGAAGGTGAGAAGTAGAGGTCGAATCTGCCTTAGCAGTACGGCTGCCTCAACAGGTTCAAATTGGAGCATATAGTAGAAATCGATGTATATAACAATGTATCAAAGGTCGAAGGGACGGAGATGAAAGCGGACAGGCAGTATAGATCAATAATAATTACGTCAAAGGTCGCATACTTAGTCGTAGGTAAAGCCAACGCTATATCAAGAACTATATTGAACTATGGTCTTCCGCTCCTTGCATTTTCTTGAAAATACTCTCCCACACCTCCGCGCACGGTACCAAGCTGTCATGGTCAGTGCCAGGCACTACCCTCGAATCAAATTCAATCACGCCCCTCGAGTCCCCATCATTCACTTGATGCCAACATTTCTCAACATAAGCTTGGCCCTTCTTGCCAATCATGCTATCAGATACGCCAAACATTGCCTGAACTCTCAACGGCACTCCGTCTCGTCCTTTTTCACGCTCGACCAACTCGCGCACAAATACCTCGTAGTCTTCACATTTGTCCCACGTGCTAGGCTCCTTCCGTAGACACTGTAGCGCCTCGTTATTAGAGCCAACCGTGTCCTCCTTGAACATACACTGCATCATGGAAGAGTCTATCTCCTTCTGCTGCTCAAGGTCTAGTCCATAATTCTGCGCGATGTAGAGACGATTCTTTGCCTGGTCATCGCCACTCTTTGAGGGAAAGGAAGCGGTGAGTTTGGCAATCATCGTTCCACTCGTCGCTATTGCAGATCCATCATTGGCGAGAAAGAGACGTGGGATATGATGCATGAGCTTGAAGGCTGGAGCAGGGATATATTGGGCCATTTTCAAGGAGGTCATTCCTGATTTGGCGGGGTCGACCCATGGCGCTATTGTGTGGTTAGATCCCGCGCTCTTATGTTGGGATATGCCCATCCAATATGAGCAATGTGCCCAAGAGAAATAAACTGATCTGCGGGAAATGCAACATACCTAGCAGAGTAACCATCGGTTTCTCAGGACACAAAATATCCCGATAGTAATATAAGGTGTTCAACAGGTACATAGTACCAGCACTATGAGACGCCAACGAAACATGCTGGATGCCTACATGGGCCAAAAGCCGTGGGACAGTCTCGATCCAAGTGGAGATTCGCTGCGCCAGCGGCACATCGGTGGAATTTCCCATTCCGGGACTATATGTGATGCGCCCTTAGTGTATGCTGCATATACCAGGACTGGGGTATGCCTACCGATCAACAACTAACACGCGCACGCCCCATTTCTCGGCAATCGTGTGTAGACAGATTCCGATGTACCGGGATGAAAACATGCCCGGCACAAAGAGGAGTGTTGGCGTAGTTCCATTCTCATTAGGTTCGCAGCCGTACTCGCCGTAAGTCACATTGAGAGGGCCATGGGTAGAAGTTGGCTCAATGATGAAGGAGCGATGGAAGCGGGAGTTGGAGACATAAGAGGCGGCAAACGATTGGGGGGATGTTGGGTTATATTCCATTGTTTAGATAGTCGATATGAAAATATGCATGTATGGTGAGAGATAGAAAAGGGGAAGGATTTTCATCTCGTATTAAGGTGAGAATAGGCATCTCTCAAAAGATAAGCCTTGATGTGGTGGCCTAAGGCTGAGAATTGTTTTTTCGGCCCCCATTTCTCTGTCCAATGTGTCTAAGTTATGGGCTTCTATTGGTCCCTTTTGTCGGTATATCAATATATTGCATCGATAGGATATCTATAGAATATCAAAAGGAGGCTGGGGAACATCGAGGCGGAGAAGGCCCACTTTCACCCCTCAGCCTCATGGGATGTGCACAAGCCATTAAAAGTGTTCGGAGAAATACCGGATATAGAAGCCCAAAATTGTATGAATTTGAATTTCCAAGTTAATTCTACCCAGATGACCTTCGCTCGCATGATAGGCCCTCCAGGTCGGTCACTCTCTATGCAGTATCTCGGTGGTCTTTGTCCATCACTATAGTCGAGCCTATCTGCGGAACTGCATGGAACATAGATGGTTTCGGAAACCATGAATCGATCCTGCAGACTCCTGTTCTCCGTCTGATCTATTCAGGCTTCCCAGTGCTGGCAATCTTCTTTGTGCTTTCCGTCCATATGCTCTCCTATCTCTCCGGCCTTCCGCCGGGGTATCCACCTCTTTCTCCTCGTTTGGAAGTTCCTTGTTCATGAAGACGAGTCCCACATAGTATTTCGATGTATTCTTGATTGTACTGCCCATACTATTTCTTTGTCTCTTGCTCCTGGCAGCAACCTTTTGGCGGCTTGTCGATGAGCCGTCAACCCGATTGGCAAGGTGGCCCGAAAGGCTTTACATGCTGACCGAGGCAAAAAAAAGGTCAAGGAAGACATTAACAAGTCTCAGTCTCCGGTATCCATATGTCTCATCTTTGGATCCTTATTTGCGAATCAAAAATTGCGCTTACTCCACAAGCATGTAGCTTAGCATGCTTAGCCCATGTACTAAAATCCTTCGGCCTACTTGACCGGAGATAACCGAATTCGTAATAGGCCCATGTACGATAATCTATAAATGAACTTGTATTGGCTTTCGATAGTGGCTACTAAGCTTCGCCTCCCTCCCCCGCGCGCCTCTCCCTTTCTCCCACAGAAATTCCCTTGATACTAGTAGCAATACCTGTCAGCCTTTAACTTGCTGAAACTTTCTATTCCTTTCAGGAGCAGAGTTAGCATATTCAGAACAAAATGGAGGAATCGAATACAACGCAGAATGATTTGCCATCTAGCAAAGGTGAGTCAAAATGCAGAATAGGTGAAATCAAACAGGATTTATTGACGATAGAAACAGACACATCCCTGACCAAGTCAAGTGTCAACCTAGATAAAGCAACAGTATCCGACTTATTTGCAAAGCTCCGCTTGGGAGAGAGGCCAAGTGAAAATGACAAGAAAGCAAAAGATGTCGAATCTTACAAATTCTGGAAGACGCAGCCAGTACCACAATTCAATGATGATGGAGGTAAAAGTAGGGGAGGACCTATCAAAGTGATCAATCTAGATGAAGTGCCAAAAAGTCCCTACCCAATATTAGATGGTTTTGAGTGGGGAACAATCGACCCAGAGGATGAGAAGGAGGTGGGCGAGCTGCATGAATAACTGTCAAATCATTACGTTGAGGATGATGATTCGACCTTCCGACTCAACTACTCGCCGGTGTTTCTGAGATGGTCGGTCAATTCCTACCCAAACCCGAGTTCTTCTTCCTTCAAGTTCTAAATTGACTTCTTACGCACAGGGCCTTAACTGCTCCAGGCTGGCAGAAGCAATGGCATATCGGAGTTCGCGCTTCCACATCGCAAAAACTAGTCGCCTTCATTAGCGGTTTACCGGCCAACATCAATGTTCATACACAAACGATTAAGGTCATCGAAATCAACTTTTTGTGTATTCACAAAAAGCTTCGCTCAAAGCGTCTGGCGCCACTCTTGATCAGGGAGATCACCCGGCGCTGCTACCTCCAAGGCATCTACCAGGCCATCTATACCGCTGCGGCAGTCTTGCCCACTCCGGTGGCATCATGTCGATACTATCATCGTCCCCTGAACTGGCTTAAGCTGTACGAGTCCGGCTTTTCGGGCATGCCAGGGAACTCCACAAAGGCCCGACAGGTTGCAAAGTATCATCTGCCAAGCACTACCCAAACGCCCGGCCTGCGTCTCATGCAAGCGGATGACCTCGATGCCGTCCATGAGCTGCTGGGGCGATATCTGCAACGATTTGACATCAGTCCGACATTCAGCATAGACGAGCTACGGCATTTATTGTTCTTTGGAGCCGGTCAGGCGAAAGATTCCTCTAGCAAACGGGTGGTATGGTCGTATGTTGTGGAAGATCAAGAAACCCAGAAGATCACGGATTTTGTCTCTTTTTACTCCATCGAATCCGCGGTGCTCTCTCATTCCCAGAACGATGTGATTCGAACGGCATATCTGTATTACTATGCAACGACAGATAACACTCCAAACCTTCAGCAGCGCATCCAGGGCCTTATAAACGATGCCCTTATTTTGGCGAAAAAGGTAAGGTCATGTCTATTTCTATTAACCTAGAATCATCGTCCATCCATCTCTCCCTTATTCTCGAGCTAACTGGTATACATTTCATCAGGCTCAGTTTGATGTGTTCAATGCACTTCATCTTCAGGACAACGACCTATTCTTAGAAAAGCTTCGCTTCGGCCCTGGCGATGGCCGGCTTCATTACTACCTCTTCAATTATCAGGTGGGCCCAGCGGTCAATGAGGATACTTCAGATAGTTTGGACAGCCAGAGGCCTGGAGGTATGGGTGTGGTCATGTTATAGGGTTTCCGCGCCTGGCTGCTAGCCTTCAAAAGGATATCTCTTAAAAACCGTTTAAGCACAATGTGTCTTGGTTTTTTTCTTTCTTTTACTTTTTCGAAAAAAATCCTGATTTGGTTTTCTACTGCAAAGTGATAAAATCAAATAGAATCCAAAATCAAAAGAAAATGTTCATTCGGTGGAAATTCGGGTAGTTGCCTAGTCGATGCAGTTTGCATCGGGCGATGGAATATCGATGGAATATGCAAGGAAGGCTGTGGGCCGACAATGATCGAGGCAGAGAAGGTCCACTGTCACCCCTCAGCCTCATGGAATGTGCACGAGTCATGAAAAATATTCGCTTCATTCCATCTGACTCATTCCTTTGGGTCTCTCAACTCTAACTTCTGGGAAAGTGTCCTAATATGATCATAGTTTCTTGTGCCCTGTGTACTGCCAGTATAAATGAAAGGTGAAGTGCCCTGCTAGCTGGGATACACGCAGCGACAGTGTCAAAGACAAACCAGATATATTTATTCCTCCTCAAGTAGCAAGGGATCGGGTTGCTCCATAAGTCAATGTATATTTAGCCATTACAAGATTTCAATATCCCAAATGGCCTCGTGAGTAACCTCCAAGCCTGCCGTTAATCTTGATAGGACTCTGATCCTAGTTTAGGAGGACCAGATTAAACCTCACTACATGCTGGCGTTTATCTTACTTCGTCCCTATTTTGTATGGGCTAGTTCTGATCAATATGGCAGCCTAGGTTTCATTGTTACCACTAAAGATCCCGTCGTTCTAAAGGAGGCACAGTATGCGATTATCAGGATCAATACTTCTCAGAAACAGTATATTATCCAATAAATGTATTGCCTTTATTGCTTTCAATCTGTGAGTCAGATCAATGAGTCATTTAGGCGTTGGGAGAGTTCGTTAGGGAGTTCGATGGAGGATAATATTGAATATTGCTGCATTTACTATGACGCAAATTGATATTGCAAACAGATGTTCTACTCAGACACGGGATCTAATTGTCACCAGGTCGAGAGGTAGATGTGTGACTCATTCTATATAGTACTATCAAGTCCAAGGACAGCACTAAGAGTAGGTCGGTGACACATGGATAGCAACCAGAACAGCGCTAAAGTAAGTTAGTTATATTAGGGATAAACTAGCTTCGCGTGCAATAACATGAAAGGGAAATACATGAAACGGTTCACTAATTCATACAAGTGTATACATTGTATTTCGACTGTAACTATGGTTGCCAGTTTAGGAAGTGGTGTGCTTGCCTACACACTGAAATATCGAATCAGAAGAAAGTAGTTTGAATATCTAATCCGATATCGAACATCAAAAGCGTCACCATCATGCCCTGTGCTTCTATCAACGAGATATTTCATATCAAATCATCCCTACTAGTGTAGATATCGCATCATACAGCTGCGGCCCCAACGTAGATCTCCCACGAATATAGGGCAAGCATTAGTTAACGTACAGTTTAGATCGACACCGATCTAACCTAGAGCCACTTCGAAAGGCAACCATAGCAACCATCCACGCGTTCGATCACCGTGCCACACCCATACTCCATCCCCATCCGTGATGTCACTCGTGCGGAGTGTCAAATGAGCATCTGAAACGTATATTGAACGTTAGAAGTAGGTTACAAGCTCAAGCCCCCATCTCCGAACCCATGGATCGCTGATATGATATCAAATTCATCCACAGGCCCGACTAATTCCGCACTCGTATTGTCTGCAACCGCTAGACTCGCCCTTAAAAGGGTCCCTGCTTAGAACGGGTGTCATATTGGCCAGGGATTGGCTGGCGATCGAACGAATGACGGGTCGATGTATTGGAGGTTCTTCCGCGATTACGTAGGTCGGGTGTTGAAGGTTCGAGATAACTCCCGCTGATACCGCTCATCTCCTCCCTCTTTCGGTGATCATCGATGGTTATTTCCGTGGTTGGAGGTTTGGTGGTTGGGGTTATTGCGATGGACATGAAACTGCTGGAACCGGCACTTGTTTCTTTTGCCGCTTACCCTGTGTATAATAATACAATATATTGGTTAATATTCAATGTTGTAGGTTTGGTTCTGGTTTTGAATTCAATATTGCTTCGCATGGGTGATACCCGAAACGTGTTTCAGTCCTGTGTCATCTCAGCGCCCTATTAAAAAAATGATATCATACCGCTTATCCATATATTATATGGTGATATAGAAAATTTCAATAATCGTCGTGTCATGTGCGAAGTTTCTCAAATTGCATCATGGTCATTTGGACCGTAGATGCGACCGCCAGATACCTGTAATAAACTGGAACTGTCAGATGGTCATGTTAGTGGCTAGACGGTGTCCCGAGTTCTTCCCGACTGCTAACACCTAGATGCGACCGTTCCAGGTTCTTCTCTCCGTTCGCGGTCGGCGAACTCACCCAAGGATTAATTATTCGGCGTTCGATGCCGTGCACTGAACGCGCTCGGGGTTCCCAAGTACCCAAGTTCAACTGGACGATCATTGGCAAGTCGATTTTGGACCCGATGATCAAACATGAGGCCCAACCATGTTCTGCGAAGAGGAGGTCCATGGGCAGGTGGGGTTGATTATCAAGCGTTTTCTAGAAGATTTGCACCTGTCATGTTGAACGGTGGCGATACGTACGTCGAAATTGAAATCTTAGGAATGTCGGGGGTAAAGTATTCCGGTGCCTAGGACTTTCAAAAGTTCGGGCGCATCTTACGTGGATTCGCAGGGATGAAGGTTTATAGCGATGGCAAGAGCCGCGATATTGCGCAAAGTGGCGTGTGCCAAGGCGTATCTCGATGCTCTATTCCGTATGAGAGGTTGCTATATTTGTTCGCGCAAGTCTTTGGATAGTTACTCTGTATATCTGCAATAGAAACGATGAAAGGACGCGCCACAGTGTCGATCGTGTCCTATTCCCGGTGATGAATTGTATGCATCGTACATTCGTACACGTAACTATGTATCTATTGCGAGGAAAAAAATCCGTGCCAACATACTCTCCCGTACTAGGCACCTAAGTAAACTAGGTAAATAGGGCGGTGCATACTCCGTAAACAGGCTTTCAACACCCAGACAACTTACAGATCTCAATCGGACCGGACCGAGTCAAACGGCCAAGCCTGTAGCCCGTCGATCCCGAGTCAAATAACACAGCACTGCCACTGCAACCCCCTAACTCAACGCATTATTGTCACTCCGTGCGACGGCTTGGCACAAACGATAGCACGTAAATAGTCAAGACCGATGCCAAGACTGTATTAATGCACGCTCGTAGTGTCGGCATGATCACCATGATCGCCCTTGGCGAGACCATTCCCCCATACATTGGCATTCGATAACCGCACTACCGAGACCGGGCGTCAACGAGCTCGTTTTTGAGAACTCGATCTTGTGTAGCACAGTGCTTGGCATTGAGAGGGAATCCTATCATGGAGCGGATGGTTATCGCAGGGTTCAATGCCAAGCACTCTTCAAGAAAGGGGGTGTATCGAAATAGAAATCCATTGAACCTCTCTCAACCCCCTTTGTGGAGAACTCGGCATTTCTTTTCCATCTCCTTGCTCTTTCTACCCCGTATTGTCATATTGTCACCCCCAGAAATACTCATTGTTCTTCAGGACCGTTCGGTTCCATACCACAGCCCACGTCGTACCGGACGCATTCTGAAGATCCAATGCCTAGATCTTGGCAGTTTGCTTCACCACGCGCTGTCGCCAAGCATTCCTCCGGTGTGGTCTGGAGCAACTAGCCATCTCCTTGCACTATATGCGCTGCCGGGTCGATCATTTATCTGCTTGTTCGACCTGTCTTTCCGATCGGTTGTGAACCTCAAGGTATGTCTTGGCGGGGGATCATGAGGTTGGTGTTTAGGCTGTGACGTTCCTCTGAGGAAATCTGCTCAATGGAACGGTGTTCCTCAGTGCGAGGCACGGGGTGGACTTGGCAGTCGGTTCTTTGATGTGAAGATATGGGGAATTGGGGTATGTATCGGGACTCGGGTGGTGTCCATACTGGAAATATTCTGCACAAACCGGTAATTGGTATGATTTATTAGTCCTTGTGTATTGTCTTGGTGTGAAACATGTCCTCCGCAGAGGGTTCTCATTGTTCTCGGGGAGAATATTCGTCTGCCAAGATCATAGTGACATTCCTATGTTGTGTGTTGTGGTATATTGATTAGCACAAAGAGAGGATAGCGTCTTTCCCAATTGGGACATAGATTGAAATCAAATCAATCATATCCGTCAATTGAATGGAAGTCAAGAACATGGGATATATTATTTTTGAGACAAGAAACAAGAACATCTAAAGTCAATTCATAGAAAGTAGAAACAGCAAACGCCGACCTGACTTTGGTCCGTAACTACATCAGGCACAGTGCAGTAGCCCCAAAGTGGAGGGAGTGAAAATGCCTCATACATAGTTTTGGTGTTGTACTTAGACAAGTCAGACAAGACAGGCAAATCCTCGGATTATTTTTCAAATTTCCATTTACCCGTCCCGCCTATCGCGCATGCATTGTGCATCTGTCCAATCCCTTTGCTTCTATTCGCTCCACTTTCCCCGGTTGTGTTCCCGGTCAACGATTCTGGTATTTATTATTATACACATTGTACACTTTTACTTCAATTTGGGGTAGTTCTAACTGGAAGAATACGTTCCAACACTGTTCTAAGAGTAAAATAAACATCCCGCTCGTGCCATCCCCTGGTCGGAGTCCGTATCCACCTGCACAGTTCACACCTTATTACGCTAGACACACGTACTAGTTATGTATACCATCATTACTTACGCTGGCCTTGGTACTTGGGCACTTGGGGTAAGTGCTATAGAGCGGGTCTTCTCAATCCTCAATTGAGTATGCCACGATAGTTGAGCGGAGAAATTCCCTGCAACAATCCCATCGTGCCACGAACACAGCGCTACTATGGTAACCCCTTCAGATCAACCCATACGACATATTCCCGTATAGAACCTCCCGCAAACTCCTCACTCCTTCCTACTCCACTTGGGAGAACTTCTCCGGGGGGTTGGGAGGGGGTCTTCTTAGCCCATTCCACAATATCCCAACCATATGGTGAGAATTGCCGCCCAGGATTAGATCCCTTTTTTAATTTCGCTTCCCCGTTGTTTTTTCGCGGGAAAGGGAGTCCAAGCCCAATTCCAATTCCAAAGAGTGAGGGGTGGCCAAGAAATCACCCCGTTTCTATTCCCGTCTTCGATGTCGCTGTCAGCGCGGGAACTTTTGTCCTGCATGTAGAGTACAGAGGATTTTGTACGGAGTGATCGTATCCTTGTACCTTTTTGGATACGATGTATATTTTCAAAACACTGTTTTGCGCCCCGGCTGCCTTGTCCCTTATGGGGAAACTGAAGAAGGAAAATAATAATAAAAGTACTCCGTACAGCGAATCGCTTTCTATGCAAGTCCGCCGCTCGTCCGTAGACAATTATCATGGTCCAATGGCCCTGAAATGTACTCCGTAAACTAAATAACAAAGGTCTAAAGCAATAAAAAGAAAGAAAAACAAATCAAAGCCCGGCGGTGGGAAAATTATTGCAATATAAATTCAATAGCTTCAATCCAGGATAATCCCCGCTGCAAAGCCGTTGTGTTGCTAACAAGCTTCTTCCACAATTCAATTCCAAACTCAACGAATTAATTCTCCACGGTCACCTAGTTCAGAGCATGCAATCCAGTGAGCTTGGATTCTGCTTACAGGGATTATGCCTGCTCGAACAAATGGACTGCGGGGTGATCTCCTCGGATTCGAGAAGCTTGTTGCAATCTAAACGAGGGGGGTTCATGACCCTACAGGTTTCAAGAGGGGGTTGTGGCTGCAGTTTGCATATCTCCGGGAACCAGTATGAATGTTAGCCTCGGTGATCTTTCGGGTTACTGGTGGAGCTGAGATTTCAAGTCATTTTTTCTTTTCTTTTTCTTCTGGGAGTTTTTTATTGTCCGAGTTATGCGATATACTTTTGGAAACTGGTTTGCGATTTCAGTTTACGCAGGGAAGATCTTGCCCGGTCAGCCGATCTAGGGCTGATCGTGATCGCGGCTGACCGCTGTTCTTTGTCAACGTGGGAGTCTTCGTAAGCTTAATGCAGGTTACTCGTGCTTGTCTGTCGGGCATAGAGAGGGATTTTCCTTTCAGATCTCGGTGACTAGTGTGGAGATGGATGATAAAACCAAGCTGCCTGCTGAAACTTAACTCATTTGTACTCCGCGAGATGTGTTGTAGATCGATTTGCATGCCCAACTTGGCGATCATGATCACTTCGCCTCTAAATGACGAAACAATTCCAGATCTAAATTTGGAGGATTAATTGAGGCCGTGCTGGGGAAGGGGTTAAGTTGGACATCCCTAGAAAATATGACTGCCTTTGGACTTGGCACTGGAATGAGAGCCAATGGAGATAATCGATTCTATCTACAAATTACTCGAGGCACAGCCTGTAGGCTATGTGCTATGTTTATGTATACCAAGACTGATCTACCGGGAAGGAGCAGAGCCAAGAGTCCATTTTGAGGTGTAGTTCGGATGGCAGTGGATACTACGTTGTGCTTCTGTACACAACCCGTACGGCGTATACGGAGTAGTATATTATTGTACAATATGCAACATGCCATTTACCCAAGACCTTACCCGAGAAGCTCCGACGGGCTTGAGTCATGGGGATTTGTGATATTGTGTAAGGCTCACACAGGATAACGGGAATTGCTACAGACACGGCACGTTTTGCTAGTAGCACGGCACATTAGGTAATATTCCCTTTACATAATCAATTTTGACCGAGATCGTTACCATACATTACCACAGCAACTACATTACTTACTACTGTAGCAACTACATTCTATCTACTACTGCTTCATTACTATAAGAACCCGACCATGAATCAATTCTCTCTAGTCAATCTTATTGTGCTTTTCATCTTATTTACATGCTTTTCACACTCTGCAGGAGCGGATTGTATGGCCAATTTCTCCACAATTTGAGCACTTCGAGGGTGCTTTCTTCTTAGTGACCTTTTGGTTTGATGTTTTGATGTTTTGATCTGATATGTTCTCTTGAGCTGATCTGCGAGTTGGTGGTGGTAATAGAGGATCTAGTATTGGCAGATACATAGATGACTCATTACTAAGGCCAATCCTCCAAAATTGATGGATATCGCTTAGTGGGATTGGTTGATGTTTTGTTAATAAACTAGCGATTCGGTGGGCACACGGAAGGCCCATTGTCCTAGTGAATATATTAGTGCAGTTTGATAAAGGTGCTTCGGGGGTAGCTCTCTTAGCTATAGCAGCTTGATTAGAGATCAAAGATATTGAATATCGTGATGTTCTCTTTATAATATTCGAATAGAGAAAGTGGGAGCAGAAATTTAGTCTCTTAATCTTATCTTCTGCAAGATCAGATTCAAGTCGCTGATACTGAGCCTGTAAAGCATTATTAATTCTCTCAAAAACATGAAGCATATCACCTGAAGATCCCCCTATATACTTTTTTAAAAAAGCGTGAGACCCCTCCACTCTTGATGTAGCCCAGTTACCAAGAT